GTACACATAAAGTGCAGAAAAAATGCATAAGCGATTATTGGGCAAGCTGAGACAAATGCAGTCAATGAAGTAGCATGTGCCTGTCCGCAGGACATCGATGCCACCCACATCGAGGCACCCAAAAGCACAATGCAAAAAGAGTTGCACGAATCATTATCAGCACATTTCGTGACTATGGCAAAAGAATATCCTACAGCAGCCAGAGCAGTTATCAATTTGTGCGTGTGTGTGTGTGTGTGTGTGTGCCTCTATCTATGTTGCATAGTTGCAGTTGGTGCTTTGCCAATTCGTGTTCACATCGTTATCCTTGCCCCGGTTGCACAACAATCAAAATAAACTGCTGCCAAATTGACCATTGGCCAAACATCGTCAGCAGCAGCAGCAGGAGCCGCAGCAGCAGGAGCCGCAGAAGCAGGAGTTACAACAGCAACAGTAGCCATCTCCTCGTCCTCTCCTCTCCTCAGCTACTCCTCTTGCGACGGCTGGCCATCCTTGGCATTGTCACGTTTTCGGCATGGGCCACAAGTCAAAACGAATGTTGGAACGATCCCAGCAAAAAAAAATGCTGCCATTTTTTGCTTGCATTTTTTGGGTGTAGATAGATGGATTGATATAAAAAGCAGATAATCGAACGAATGCAGTTTTGCTCCAAATGGAAAATCATAAAGGTTTTTATTGGCCTTAAAGCCGCTGAAAATGTGGCTTAAAACTAGTTTGATAAACTGCTCTCAGTTTATTATAAGAAAAAGCAGACAGAGTACAAAAATTATGACTGTGCTGAAGAGTAGAAGAAAAGTGAATCCTTCCTTAGACAGCCTTCCTTTATAACTTTAATTATAATTGAATTGAATTGGGAATTTTAATTGCTCAAAAACTGAAAACACTTTTAATTTAAGTAGATTAACACTTTTGAATATGGAAACTATGAAAATGGGGAAAAGGGACTTTTATAATTATAATCATTACTCAACTAAAAATCACCTCAAGAATTTTATTTTATTTTTTCAGGCATTCACTTCTTCATAATACTAATTAACCCCACGTAAGCATTTACTGGAATTATGATTGCAGAGCTGAAGCGACTGCTCTCAAATGGACTAACATGGAGCACATTCACACCTGGAAGCCACTCACTCCAAGTGGTGGTGTTTACCTGGAATTGGACAAAGGCAGACCGTTCTAAAGTGGCCGTTTTTCATGCGATTTGCGATATTTTATTGTGGAATAATGAAATCGCTCACTGAGAGATTCCAATTCAATCTACGCGCATCGCTGCGGAGACCCATTTATGGATTGGCATTGATTTAATACCGCGTCCAACGATCTATGTGCGCTCGGGAGAGACTGCTGGCCAGTCTCCCGATGACTTGCGTCCCCCGAGTCCAAGGCGCAAGGCATTTTGCACCTTCGAAAGGCAAACGTTCGGTGGCTCCAAAGTCCGCGGCTTCGGCTGATCTGATTCCACCGCCTATCAGCGCTGCAAATCAGCAGTGGAGACGCCACCAAGCAATGGTGGATGGAACTGGACAGGAGAGCGGACAGCAGAGGAGTAGCCTCAACTCAATGTTTATTCAATAAACCCGATCGGCGGGCAGACAATGTCGCCAGCTGGCAGCCAGTTGGACATTCCTCGCTGCCTGGCAGACATTCCCTGCCCCAACCAACCCGATGCCGCCTTCTTCCGCCTGCAATGCGACAAGCCACAGGAATTTCTTGGTGCGTGCTCGGCACAGGTTCAGCTGGCTGGCTGGCTGGCTGGCTGGCATTGCGACTGCGACTGCGGCTTGGGCTTTTGGCGTCTGCCAGCTGCGCCGCTGATTATGATAATGGAAGCGACTTGAGAGTTGAGTCTCTGTGTCTTGCAACATGCAACTTGCAACTTGCGATTCACCAATTGCTTTCGCTTATGATCGAATGCTTGAATGGCAGCAGCAGCTCCGTTTGACTTTCTGATTAATGCAAGAATTCTTTCCACTCAACGTTCCTGCTTCTGTTGTTATTTATTTTTGTATTTTTTGTGTTTATTTTTTTGTTTTATTTTATTTTTTTTGTTTGGCCTGCAATTAAAAGCCATGTACCCTTGGATTGTCAGCTAAATGGCAAGTGTGCAAATCATTATATACACGTTCATGCCACAAATGTTGATGAGCTACCTCGAAAGTTTCTTGATTTTTTCTTTGTGGCTCCTTTGCGGATCCAAAATATCCTGCTGTTGAGGGTTCTTTGCAGGAGTCGCTCGATAATTGGCAAATTCAGTTATAAGAATTTGGCTTAAATCGCCATTTAAAATTCCAACCAAAAAAACAATTTTTTTGTTGCGGTTTTTAAAAGCTTATAGGAAGGAATTTTATGAAATGCTTTCAAATTGCTTAGCGAAATTGATCAAATATGAAATCCATGTTTCTTTAAAACAGAGTTTTTCCTTTCTTTGTGGAAGAAAAACGCGTATAGAAACTTAATTCGTTATTTTCAATGTATTAAGGGAATTGAAAATGGGATTAGAAAATGATTCGTTGTAGAAACAATTGCATAGCTTCCTATCTGCAATTTGTAATACAGTCAGATATATAGCTAGATATATATATTGTTTATATAATATAGATAAATAGGTCTTTATTTATTGTGTGTAACATTCAAATTGTAGAATTTATATCAATAAATTAGGCTTCTCGCATTGTAAATCTAAATTGAAAGAACAAGTTTCGATCTTTATCTATCTTTACGTCGGAATTCTTGTAAAATACCTTCTGAAAACCCCACTCTATAAAATAATCGTTCATTTATCTATAATCTACAATTGTACCAGAGAATGTCTATTTAAAATTATAATCTTATTGGAAACGAAAGCATTATTTCTTCTCAAAATTGTCAAACAAGTTCAAACTGTGCTGACTGCAGAGTATAAATGCTTCGATCTTGCCACACACACAGACACACTGAGTGCTCCGTTTGGATGCGTGAGCCTTCAGCTGCAACTTGTACTGGTTTCTGGTGTCGCCTGCTGTGCCTGGCCAGATGTGCCCCGGCCTGTGCTGACGAACGACGATCGACGATCGACAGTCTCGTGCCTGCAGTTGTCATAACGTTCAACACGTTTGGCCCCGCGTCGGCGCCGCCAACGTCTCTGGCCTCAGCTGGCTGCCACAGCCAACGGGCAACTGGCTGCCTCACCTGGCCACTGCGCTGCCATAAAAGGATTTGTCACGTGCGAGCTTTTGTTAATCAAAATGCAGCAATCATCGGGCAATCTCCATTGTATCGATGTCGGCGGAGGCATCGCCTCCACGCCGGGCCTTGCATTATGCATGCCGCATGTTGCTCCTGCTCCTGCTGCCCCATCGATTGCGGCATTCCTGCTTTAATTCAGCCAGCGACCCAAACAAGGACTTGCCCCCAACTCCGACTCCGCCGCCGCCTCGTCTCGTCACCCTTCTACCCCCGTTTTGCGATCATTGAAATTTATAATTAAGTGCAAAAATCTTGTATGTAGCATGTTTGCTGCCCCTTCCTAGTTTGCCCCCTTGTCTGTGGTCCCAGCTTGCCTAGCAGGCTGCGATTGCTGGTCGCTGATAGGCAACGTTGTCTCCTTTTTTGCTTGACACCTTCGCATAAGGAGCAACGCGACAGGATCTCTGCGATTCCAAAGATAGCATTGAAAACTGATGCTGCAGTTGATCTCATTTGAGAGTGATCGACGAGCAGATGCCCTGTAAAAATAGCCACAAACAAGTGGATACAACAAGTAGAATCTAGATCTAGTTGAGACAGCTCGACTAGGAGATACCCTCTACCCAGTTGTTAAATGCATATCAGGCTTTTGATAGTACTTTTGTCAAGTGTCTTTTATGAAAATCGGTAATCGATTTGTATCGATAAAATTAAAAAAATATGAGAACTATTAGTCCAAATTTGAAGTCGCTAGCTCTCAATGTGCTAAGATTGGCTTGCTTCTACTAGTGATGCTGATGAAATATATATATATATACTTTATGGGATCGGAGATGCTTCCTTCGTCAGTTATAGCAGTGCAACTTGAGCACAGGGTATCTGGCAATCAAACAACCTAGACTATAACACTTTTATTTATTAGGGTTAGAATGATTAACCAAAAAGAAAGACAAACGCGTTAGCAGGCTATCAGCAGGAGCTACTTAGTGTCAACAAGGAATATGTCATTACGAGGGAAAGACACGAACAGAAAGACAAACGAATGTGCTGTGCCCATTCACAAATGCCGTTAGACACACACACACATAGATACACACACCCACACACACACAAGAATAGACAAGGGTAAACAGACACACTTTGTGTTGGCCTGGCTAATTCATGATTTTGAGGACGCCCAAGCAAACAATCGAAAAGCAAGAAATACATTTGGCATTCATTATGTATGTCCTTGTGTGTGTTTAGTGTGTGTTTGTGTGTGTGTTTAGTGTGTGTTTGTGTGTGTGTGTGTGAATCAAATCGAAATTGCATTTGTCAGTGGTAAGTGAAAAACTTTCAATTTACTGCCACAAATGCAAGTGGAACTTTAAGTCCTAATGCAGGCATTGCTGCCCTAATCCTCGAGTCCAGTGACAGCAAATATAACAGCAACAACAACATCAACAACTGTTGACCAGCCAAAACACACACAGTGCTGGCGGGGCTGTGTGGCAGCCAGCCAGCCATGACGAAGGTGCATTTTATTTGGCGAGTGCCAATGGACTTTTTGCATTTGCCACAGTGCAAACAACACAAACAGGAGAGAACAACAACAACAACAAGAAAAGCAAATCCTGCTCGCAGGATACGTTGCCCGTTGCCCGTTGCCTGTTCTGTGTTTGAACACGAGCCTACACTTTGGTCATGGACATGGAGATGGACATGGGCAAGGGCATTCCACATGCACCTGCGATTGCACTTAAATCCTGCTGTTTGTTTCGTGCCGCACGAAAAAGGGGTCACACACGAGAATTCGATTTAGATTACGACTTAGATGCACAGACGCCACTTACCACGTTGACAAAGTCCTGGAATGTTACATAGCCAGGGCCATGCGGCAGTTGTGCCTTCTTGGCCCGCTCCAGCAACAGCTCCCGCTTGTTCATAGGCACTTGGGACAGAAACTCGGGCGATCGCAATGCGACTAAAAATTCGCAAACTGATATCTCGCCAAAGCCCTCCGGATCGAACTGTTATAAACATAATATATATTTAATATAGATGATTAAGTTAAGATCTCCTTTTACTTACCATATCAAATAAAAGTTTCCATTTCTGCGTGTGAGATAAGAATCGAGAGATTTACATAAGTTATAAGGATTGCACATGTAAATTACAGAATTTGCTTGCAAATTGAAATCGTTTTACTTTTAAAATAATAAAGGGAAATTTATGAATATATCAGCTTAATAATATATTCTTAAAAGTCTGTCTACAATGCCACATTCAAAAGTATTTAAAAATATGAAAATACCTTTGAAATAATTCTTTTTCTTTTCTTTTTCTTTTCATATTTTTAACAAGTTTCCTTCTTGCGTTCTTAGTTTGAAACACTTTTAAATCATTAGAAAATGCGAATCCAATTTAAGCAATTTCCAATTTGCGAGCAAAAAATGTATTCAAACCTACATCTCTGAGCAGTTCCCGACGCAGCTCGGCCTCATCAAAGTCGGAGTTGAGTGATGTGTGTTCCGTATCATAGCCGGCATCGTTTGTGCACTGAGTGGAAAGGAAAATGCAATAAATATTGATTGATAAAGGAATCAGTAATAAAATGGAATACTCACATAGCGCATCTGTGTGTGTGAGAGGGTGCCAATGGAGGCCAATGAGCCGGCAATGGTCGATATGTGCTCGATGTCCGCCAGCGTCTCCTGCTGACTACTACCGCCTGCATTCTGTTGGCTGGTGGGTAAGTCCAATGCTCGCGAGCTGCCTGGCTCGGAGCCGGGCCACATGTCGCCTTGCGTCCGTGTTGCGCCTGATCCGCTCCAGGATTATTAATGAATTCGCTTTAAATGATCTTACAACTAAGTCTGGCAGTGTTTCTGATTTGTTTCTGATAACTACTGTGCTGCAAGAAATAGAGATAAAAGAAATACATATTAATTTTAGTTCTGCATTTATATTTTCAATCAATTCAATATCAACTTGAACAAATTTTCAATTCCATTTATAAACAACTTTTACACACTGTGCGAGCTTTTAACAGAGAGCTTTTGTGCCCTTCCCAAAGCTTGTGTCTTTGATATGTTGAAATGCCAAGAAACGATTCGACGTTTGTTTGGTTGTGTGCGTTGAGCTGCAACAGAAGAACATTTTGTTGGTTGTGGTTCGAGGTTCAATTCCCATCGGAGAAATGTTTTTGAGAGTGTGTGAACCACCAGTTAATTTATTTCGCCCCGCAGAAACATAATTTGTTGCAATTTGTCGTGCTTGGAATTGCGGCATTCGCTTTACGTGGGCCAGAGAAAACTTAAATTCCGTTTAATCATAGACTAAAATCGGTACTCAATACCTTAGCCTATTTCATGCCCGGAATACAGATCTTTTAGATAATAATTGCATGAGTCTCAGTCTCCGGTCATCTCTTCCCCTCTTTTTTATTATAATTTGCAAGGTTATTGATCTGACTATGATGATGATGATGAGGTAAAACGGGAAGTACTTGAACACAATTAAACAGCAAACTTGGCAGTTGCTTAGCACCGGCAAACCGTTAGCCGACCCAACACACAACACAACACAACCTAACAAAACAGCAAAAGCAATGCATTTTCATGTTGATGTTATTTCCCCACTCACAACTCAAACCACTTTCCGATTTCCGTTTCGTGGCGACGAAGTGCGCAGAATCCGTTTTCGACTATTGTTTTGCCTTTGGTGATTTTACATGTTGACTTTGTTCAATTCACTTGTGAATCGCTGCTGCTGCAACTCACAGTAAGGAAGTCTTGAGAAAATGTTGCTTCTTAAAACCACATCTTGATATCGTTTATCGCGTTTACCGTTTGTTATTCCTTGTGCTTTACCACGCAACACGCAAAAAACAACAAACAAACGTTCGACCGGGCGGCAAAATGGCAACTGACAAGAGCAGAGAGCGTTGCCAACTGCCTGCAAATGTGACACGAGTAAAGCTCAAGAGAGACTCAGAGAGAGAGAGAGAGAGAGTTGGCAAGGGTTGCTTGTGGTGAGTAGTTGGGTTGGGTGTGGGTGGGTTGGAATGGATATGCTTGATGAAGTTGGCAATGCACATGCGTCACTCGTTGCTTGTACGCGCTTTTCAACTCGCTGGCATTTCACGTGCCACCAACAACCCCTCCGCCCCCCGTTCCATTATCAGACGACCAACCCCATGACGCAAGTGTCAACATTTGTAGTTAACAACACTCACAGACTGCAGCAATTTGCTCGAACTACGTACATACATAGCTTTATTGTAATAGGGGTAGGAGTTCCTTATGTAGATCCCAAAAGCAGGTGTTCTCCCGTTCCTCCCACATATGGTTGTGAGAAAACGATAAGACACAGATGTGTGTGGCTCTCATTGCAAAACAAATCAACTTGGAAATATGACCGTCTCATGAATTTATGCACAACAAAAATAGAAGAAAAGGAAACCAATCTTAAAAGTTTGAAAACAAAACACAAACTTATCGTATATGCATACAATATAATAATAGATATATATATGTATATATGTACATTTAATTTAGCCTAGACTCGTAAGCATAATTTGAAGAACATTCTTGCAGATGGTTAAAATCCTGACACATGCGGTAAACAAATTAAATAGTTGGATGGGAACCAAACAAAACACGATTTGCAATGAACACAAAGCGGACAAGTTAATATTGGATCTGTGGTTACAGCTTAATCTCTAAGTATATAAACTCTAATAAAAAAAACAAATCGAGACATACGCATACATGTATATATATAAATAACTAAATACCCATACATACATGTATATATATATATATATATATATATATAATTGTAGTATACACATTATGAAAGACTCCAATAAATTGCATAGGGTTATTTAATTAAGGATCTATTTAATATGCAGCTACTTCGTTTGCCTTTTTTAATTACTTTCTTAATTTTTGCTTTCGTTAACAATATTTACAATATTTCCGACAGGGCCTTAATCTCGTCTTAAAAAAAATCGCTCGCTTGCTTACAACATGATATATATATATAAATAATATATACTGTATATATAATCTAGCAATCAATATTATATATATATATATATTTATATAGATTTAGCGTTCTTTTTACCTAATTATCTGCCATAATTCTCTCATGTCTTATTTTTTTGTTTTTGTTTTTGTCGCATTTAAAATTTGATTTTGTTTTGTTATTGTTTCTCTTTCAAGTAAACATTAAGGAAAATCGAGGAAGAATCTGAACGATAACACTTGCTGCTGTCTTAAACACAAACATATTACAACAAACTCGAATAGTAATCCTAGTGGCCTAGTTCTCCTCCATGCGCTCCACACCCAAATCGCACTGTTCGATGACCAGGCGAGCAATCCGCTTAATCTCACAATAAGGACTCTCGTGCGCAATCAGCTCGGTCAGTATTTGTATGCCATTCTCCTGTTCCACCAGCTGGCAATATTTGTCCGGATATACCTAAAATCAATCAATATGCGATAATGACTCCGTAACAAATCCGTTGTACTTCATACCTGAGTGAGATTGGCCAGCGCCCAAACGGCCCAATGCTGACACTGTGGCGTCTCATAGCAGCGCACCAAGCTGAGAATGGGCTCAAAGCTGCGATAGTTGATGTTGCGCTCACTCTTGATGTTCCAACGCTGTATGGCGGCCACCATGCGTTCGAGGACGTGTTGTCTGGTTGGTGTCTTAATCGTCCACGCATCGGCGCCATCGGACGCAATGTGCGCCAGCACTCCAGCCGCATTGTAGCTGACCTGGAAGCGCAGTTGGTTAGCATTGTCATTGGCTAGTCTTCCACCTTGCTGACCCACCTCGATGCCATCGCTCAATGAATCAAGCAGACGCGCAAACACCTCTATAAACTCCTGCGTCATCAGCTTGGGCCGCAGCCATTTCACCTCAGCCACATTGCCCAGCAGCCCCATCATGTTCCTCAGCAGCTCGTCACGATCGGGAAATGTCTGTGAATAAGTTTCACACAATTTGTGTTTTAAATTCAAACAAAAATGCGCCAATCGAAAAAGGTTGCGACTCAATTGTGCTCACATTTAAACACTTAAGGAAATACTCCATGCCGCGTCCATCCAGAAATCTCTTACAATTAATAGCAGTCTCATCGGTTACATTCCACATGGTCGACCACGCAACCTCCATGACATCGTCAAACACTGAGCGCGTCAGTCGATCCTTTATCAGAGTCAGCATTGTCTAAAAAAAAGCAATCAACCCCAATAAATCATTGGGCAAAAAAGGGGAGTTTATAAATTGATTGCAAGGCTTACGCTGACCACGCCCAACTCGCCGAGAAAGAGCTTCTGGCGGCCGTCCACCTGGCAGGCCAGTGTGTTGAGCAGATAGATGGCGATACGTTGCACGAATCCCTCCTGCTCCGTCTTGGACACACCATGCAGCAGTATCTTAATGAGGCGCTCGTACTCGAACAGCTGTTGTGCATACAAATTATTGATTAATTTGAGATAGATTCACAAGATTCTATTACAGATCCTGGCCCTACCACATCGGCTGGCATCTGGAATTGTGTCAGCGTCAAATAGCCATTGCGCAGCATTGTGTCATCCGTCAGATGCATCTCCATGCCATTGAGCAGCGTTCGAATGATGTGATTACGCAGCAGTGTGCCAAATTTGGAACGATCACGACCCTTCACTATGTAGAACAGTGTAGCGCTAAGCAGAATGAGATTTCAATAGATGATTGCGTTTTTTTTTCTTTCTTCATAATTACAGCACTTACCTGCCCGATATTTGCATGTGCTTGAACTTCAGATGCCTATCCATGGCGCAGAGCACCACATCCAGCGCTGTGTGGATATCTTTGCAGTTCTCAAACCGAAATAGATGATACAAATCGTTGAGTACCTGGCAACGAACAAGTGATAAGTTTAATATAAAGTTGGAGTAGGGTTGTAGGTGGGTTGGAGTAGGAGTTGGGCTTGCCACTCACCCTTGTCAGTAGAACGGGCCTGTCGTGGTAGTAGCGCGCCGCAGTGAGTATTTGCTGCTCATTGGCATCGCCGGCCACTTCGAGAGCGGGTATATCATGCCGTTTACACGCCCAGTGCGCCGTGTGATAAAGGCCGAGGAACTGCAGCGGTCGCTGGGTGCGCGACGCCAGCCCCGGTATATCGGTGGGGCCGAAGTGCTGCTCTGTCTTGGTATTGGCATTCGTTGACTCCTTGGTGGCGACACCGTTGCCCGCCAAATTTGTGCCCGAGATATCCAAATGCGTCAATTGTCGCAGATTGTCCATGAGCATCTCGAGCGTCTGATCGGGCAGATCGTAGGTGCCATGGCCATTACCCAAACTGGATATTGAAATGTCGAGGGTGCCGAGGCGTCGCAAACAGCAGATCGCATGCAACTGATTCGCGATGGGCCACACATTGAACAGGATGAGCGTATGCAGGTTGGGCAGCATGCCAAGCGCCTCCAGACTAAAGTTGGCCAGCACGCACGACGTCAGATCCAAATGGCTCAGATCCTGCAAGTGTGCGAACTGCAATCGATGATGCATCACAACGCCATTCAGCACCAGACGGCGCAGATGTGGGCAGGTCAGTTGAAAGTCCACCGGTTCCTTCTCGTTTGGCTCGGCATTCTGCAGCAGATGCGAACTGATGCCTAGCTCCAACGAGCGTAAACTGTCGCCATAGTGGGCCAGCAGGTGATGTGATTGCACCGTTATCTTGTCACAATACCACATGGACAGGGCAAACAGTTTGTGACGCATCAGCGTCTCCAGACCTGCCACATAGCAATATGATAAGAATTAGCTATTGTTGTTTAGAATTAGAATTGCGAGTGTAAAACTAACCGGAGCTGCTCAGTGTGCTGTAGCGCAGATTCACAATCTTCAGGGATGTGCGACGAGTATCGCTAAATAGATTGATCACTTTGTCGTCCAGTGGCCGATGGAAGCGCTGATATTTCTCTAGAAACTCATCGCATATCTCATTTGTTAGCACAATGCCAGCGTTGAGGGTACGCTGCCCGCTTTCCGTATGGCTACTGATTATGTCCAGACTGTTGCACACCTTCTGATAGGCGATCTCCTTCAGTGTTAGCGGCTCCTCGTCCAATGATCCATCCTCCATTAATCGCACCTTGCAGCTCATCTTGTGCGTTTCTATATATATATATATATATATATGTGTGTGTGTGTGTGTGTGTGTGTCTGTGACTCAACTGCTTGCCTCCGGATAAGTTTCTGAGTCAGTTACTGGAACGACAGATGAAAAATATGTTGTGAGTCAGTTGAGAATTTTTTAATTGCACAAATGCTTACTTTATTTTGAATAGCAAACATAATAAATCAAAACTGATCCTGCTTCGAAAATAGGTTGTTGCAAGTACAACGTTTTCGAAACTGTTACAAACCAGAATTGATAATTGAATTTAACTTTTTTGTGTTATTCAAAAAAACACTTTAAAAAATATGTGTCAATATTGCAAGTTCCGAAAATGATGATAAACAAAAACAGTTAGCTTAGTCATCAAAATATGTTAAGAATGGTGACTCTTTGGGATATATATTTTTAAACTGATAAATAAGAATAGAATGATATCATAGAGATACTCAAAGGATCCAGCAGATCTATTAAGATTTAATGAAGCCATTGAACCTAGCTAGAAATCAATATTGGCAGACTTGATCTGTGGATTATAAATAAAACAAAATACTGAAAAGTGCTGAAGTCATGCTAAAGTGATTGTTTTAATAGCTTTGGTGCTTCTTCAGGGGGTGCTGCGAAAGACGCATTACGTAATAAGTCATAGCAATTACTTGCACTAGTGTGCGTGTGACTCTGTGTGTGTGACTCTGTGTGTGTGTGTGTGTGACTCTGTGTGTGTGTGTGTTTATTTTTGCATGCGTGTTGGAAAGCGAATAAGAATTTGGAGACAGGACAAAGTCTGTCACTGCGATTTGGACTCTATTTCGCCAGCGCTAAATGTCAACAAACATCGCAAAGGGCAAATCGAATAACGGAAGTAACAAATGACTGACAACAGCTAACTGAAGCTGAATTTCTACTGGTGTATTGGTGCGTAGTCAGTGAAGGGGTGAAGCTGTGTGCGTGCGTGTGTGCGACAGACAGACAGTCTGTCTGCTCTTATCAAGGCAAGGCCAGCAACAAAAAACACAGCCATATTTTAGCCATCATCGTTCGCATCAGCTGTGTGTGGCCAGCACAGGTGCCAGGCGCATTTAAATTTCATAATAAGCACAAAAAAAGGACCTGTTTAGTTTTTCCCATCTTTGTTTTTTTTTTATTTTTTTTTTTGTTGTGTACCTTTTTTTATTGGCAAGAAAGCTGTTCGCGAGTCGCGACTAGCGACTCAATCGTCGCCGTCGTCGATGAATTGTTGCTGCTGCTGCTAAATGCTGCTGCTGCTGCTGTTGGCGATGTCTTTGTCAGGAAATTGGTTTATTCTAGCATTGAATACGTTTGATTGCTGGCGCTGCACTGTTTGGAACGCGTTCACATTCCAGGTGCGCCACACAAACACTAATTTATTTGTTTTTCGCCCAAATTACACTTTATTATTCACTTTTTGGCATCATATTTTCTATTTTCTTTCTTATGCTTCTTCTTTTATGTGTTAACGCAAATTGAAGTCTGTTATCGCCAAATAACAGTGCTCTGTTAACATAACATAACATCTTTTGGCACTGCCAACTGTTTCAGCATATATCTATCGCCCAACTGATTCTTGACTTTCTGTTTTCGATTCCGAAAAATCGATGATGTTCAGTTTAAAGTTTAGAAATTTAAACACTGTTAACGGAAATCAACTGAATCAAATTTTATTTTTATGGGAAACTAGTTTTTATTTTGTATATTTTAAGCGCTGAAATGAATAAAATTTACATTTTGTTAGTTGTGTGTGTGTTTTTTTTGTTTGCTTGTATGCGACAGAATAAACTTGACACGTGCAGAGTTAAATCACTTGCAAACTGGCTGCTTATATTTATACAGAACTGGCGACAATTGCTTGGATCTTTGCGGACCGCGTTAAAACCTAAATCACTCTCAACTTACTCTTTTCCAATTGCCCATCATTACATCGTATTATTATAATAGATACTGTGCTTTTCCCATTCGTCTCGATTCGTTTCGGAAAAATGTACAAATCTTGTGACTCGCGTGCGCATCAAAAGTAAAGTAATAAATAATTGTTCGTTTGAGTTCTAAGTAAAAAAGGCTGTTGCTTGCTGCCAATTGAAGGTCCGAATCCATAAGCTTAAAGATCATAATCATAATCGTAATCGTAATCCACTCTCCACTCTCTCTTTCATTCACTCCATCGTCTACCCGGACAGATCGCCCTGATCGAAAAGGGACTGGTCATATAATTCAGCGACGACTCGCCGTCCACCAAAGAAGCGTCCATGGAGCGCATCCTTGCCACGCATCGCCTCAACGCCCGCTGAGAATTCAACAAATATCTTAACAATAATCTCCGCCTCGTCATCGTCCTCGTTCTCCGTTTGTTTCTCATTGAAAATGATGACACGACTAACGATGCCAAACTTGCTGCACTCCTCCTGTATCTCCTCCTGCAGCGTCTCATCGACATCATCGGGTCCGACCATGTTTCGCAAGATGATGACACGCGAGTCCTGTGGCCGCATCAGCCTCTGCATCACCAGCTGACGTGCACTCTGACCCTTAATGGACATGTTCTCCTGCTGCTGCAACGTCTGCACATCGCCCTCATCCATTAGCTTCTTTTGCAGCTCCTCCTGCTGCTTCTCCTGCGCCTTTTTAATGTTCTCCGACAGATTCGCTGCGGTTACCGCTGCATTATTTGCAGCTGCCGAGAGCACCGCTGCTGGCGCACCATTGCTGGCCTCGACGACGACGCCTCCAAGTGGCACGGTGGCTGCACCGGCGGCGGACACCGCACTGGCCAAGGCGACCACCGTTGGCGGCGTTGCGAGCAGCGCGGGTGGCGGCAGTGTGGGTGCCACACTCTGAAGCGCGGGCAAACCAACGGGCGGCATGCCCAGCAAACTGGGTCCACCCAAGCCCGGTGCCTGGAATATGCCTGGCGGCAGCAATGCTGAAACTGTGGGCGCTGTCGGCAGCGCCGCCAGTGCGGGATGGAGGGCAGCAGCCGATGTTGCAGCACTCACCACCGGCATCGCGTTCACCTTGGCCGCAATGCCCAGACCCGGTGTATTCTGCGATAGACCTAATACCGCATTGCTAGCCACCGCGTCCAAGGCCTGTATCTTGGCCGTGGCTGCTGCGGCGGCAACAGCAGCTGCCGTTGGCATTGTTGAATTCGTTGTTGGACAAGACAGCACATTCGGCGGCGTTATCGAACGTCCAACGCTACAAATGAAAGCACAGTTTTAGTTAAAGAAACGTTCAAAGATCAAGGGTGGCTTCCTTGTTACTCACCGCAACAGTTGGCCGCCCAAATCGAAGAGATTCATGCTGGCAATGGCCTCGTCCATGGCCTGTTTGTTGGCATACTCGATGAAGCCGTAGCCCTTGTGTGTGTGCACAGACGAGCCCTGCGCCAGTTTGCAATATAGAATCGGACCAAATGCCTCGAACACACTCTTAATGTCATCCTCCGACAGGTCGGGATGAATGGAGGCCACGTAGATGCGATTGAAACTCTTTGCTTCCTCCTGCACCTCATCGATGACCTGTTGCGCCTGCGGCATATTACTCGGCCGGCCCACTTTAATGTTGCGTCCACCCATCAGGGCACCATTCATCTGCTCCAGCGCCAATTGCGCTCCCTCCGGTATCTCATACTCGACAAACGCGAATCCCTTGTGCTTTTGTGTGATCGGATCCCATGACATATTGATCGATTTAATAGGACCAAATGGCGTAAAGGCGGCCCTTATGGTGTCCTCCTTGAGCTCAAACGAAATGCTGCCCACATATACCCTGTAAACAGAAAGCGATCAGTTAAATGCGAGTCTAAATAGTGAATGAGATCTAGGAGGAGAATTCTCGCTCAGATCTTATCAGCTAGATGGCACAGCGAATAGAGACCGCTTCAATGACCAGCTCCAATAACGCGGAACACTGGCCAAGCAGTCGATAGTTCTTCACCAAATATTATTCATATTTTGCATCACAACGATAACTTTGAGTTGATGGTAATTGATGATGATGTTGTTAATTACCTGCACATGAGGGCCAAGGCCTGTTGTCGCTGCACCTGGGTACGCTGGGTGGCCAACTGTTGTTGCTGATGGGCGAGGGTTTGCTTCATCAGGACCATCTTGATGCTCTGCTCCATGGCATACTTTTTGGCCTTGCTGACGAGATCATGCTGTTCCGATGTCAACTTGGGCAATGCACCACCGAGCAGTCCGAGGAGAGCGGAACGCGTACCGGGTCCAAATTTCACATCACCCGTCTGTTTCAGATCATACAGTGGCTGCGAAAGGTAGGGAATTTTCGTATCCGCTGACTTGCCTAGAATTGGGAAGACAGATTAGTGCATCTCATACGATGGGACGGGGGGCAAATGGGCCCAACATCATCATCAAACCGATCAGCTATGCGATCGATTTTATTTGCAATTTGCTTTGAATACGACTTTTTTAGTTTGATTTGTTTTTTGTTTTGATTCATTTTCATGAGTTATTTGTGTCGACCTTAAATGCAACAATGGACACCAAATTGTTGTCCACCGTCCCACCACAATATAGAGCTGGTGGCTGAGGGGGACGGGGGAACACCAACGGGTCAAAATGTGATTAAAGTGAAAGAGGTTGACATTTGAAGTGACACAAATTTGAAAAACCGATGCCTGCAAGATAAAGACAAAAAGGAAAAAATAGAAAAAAATCATTAATCATAAAAAGTTTTGCTGGACGGCGAGAACTAGTAGTAGCAGTAGCAGTAGTAGTAGTAGTGGTAGTGGTAGTGGTAGTAGTAGTAGTACATATTATGTATCAGTGAGTGTTCTGGAGAAGATCTGGAACTGCTTTGCGCACGTGCCAATTGCCAGCCGGCAGAGATGATTCAGATGCGGTCACAGAGATTCAGATTGTTGGCTACAACACACAATAACAATTAAAAGCTATCGTTGCATTACTCGCTTTAACTCATTATTCATACAGGCAGTATTTATCTCTGTGCTTTCGATTATCGATTATCGGTATTTTTTTCATTTCTGCAATTGGCAAAACTTTGCATATCGTCTTTTGCTTCACGGTTTTTTCTTTGGTTTTGTTTTCATTTTCTTTAACAAATCATTTGTGATGCATCTTTGCATTGGACAAAAATAAGATTTCGATTTACGTAAAGAGTAGTTTGTCTGACAGACTCTGCAAGTCATTCGAATTGTCATTCGTTAAGGCTGGAAAATGCAAGAAAACAAAAAAAGGAAAGCACCCGTAAAATAAAAACATAAATTATCCTAATATAATTTAGAGTATAGATTTCTTTTGGAAATACGTAGGCGGTGCGAGTATATTAAGTACGACAGTGCGTGTTTTTGTGTGTGTGATGGTGATTTATCTTTCTTTTTTTTTTTTTTGTTGTAGATTTGAGATAAATGCAATATTAACGAGTATTTCAATCTAGAAATCATTATAAAGCTCTTCCAACGGACATCCAGCCGGCAAAACGTCGCCGCACAAATCGAAACCAAAGAAGAAATACCAAAAGAACTGTGCACACTGAACAAATCGCACTGCTCCGCGATCGATTGTAAAAAGTATCGATACATTTAATTGTAACATTTAATCAAGCAAAAGCTGCGGTGATGACACAGTGTGCACAGCTCCTCTAAATGTAATTTTTGTTTTTGATTTTTTGTAAAATAGAAATTATAAGCGACCTTATGTGCGTTTCGATACGGTTATCCATGAGTTGGGGGGCGTGGTTTATTGACTTGAAGGGTCACACATTACATTTGCTCAGTGATAAAAAAGAGAAAAATAAAAAGAAAAACAAGACGCTGAAACGATAATAAGAGCAACAATATGTTTTAAGTTGGTTAAGTATTTCCGCCGTACCTTAATCATGGTGTTTTTGTGTGTGTGCGTGTGTGTGTGTATATAGGTACTATATGTGTATTTTGATTTTCTTTAACTTTCGTTCTTTTTTTTTTATATATATCTAATCGGGCAGCATACGTGGATTTTCTCGCTAAATCTGGCTAACCCATCTACATCATCTTAAAAACGTGCTTTTTTATAAGTTTGAATATCGGACAACTGTGTTGGGCAAGTGTTATAATTTCAACTGCTTCGGCTACAAAAATTTTTTAGTCAAAATGTATGTGTTGATATTAAAACATTATGTGATACAAATAGAGTTATGACTGTCGCAGTGACTGTTGTTGATGCCGACGACCCATCTCGGGGCAGCGAGCGGAGGGAGGAGAACCGGGTTACCGCGACGACGACGTTGATATCGGCAAAAAGGTTGGTTAAAAGCAACAAATGCATTTTCATCGATGTTTGTTGGTAGTAGTAGGCAGTAGTAGGAGTATTGGCAAATACTCTATAATGGGGCTCATCACTTGTGATAGATGACGATTCTCGACAGTCGATAAGACCACAACAACAAATCGTCGTCGTTTCGGGGCGGAACAAACATAAGAAAAGAGCGCTTACAAAATAAATGTAAAAAAAAAGAGAGATATATATATATATAGAAGAAAAAGAGAGAGAGAGAGAGAGAGAATAGTTATATATGCTTTTTTGATTAGTTGTTTTTTTTTGTTGTTTTGTTGCAGTTTGGTTTTTGTGTGTATTGTTGCAACGGGGATTCACCGAATTGGATACATACACTCTGGTTGGAGAGCCTAGCTTAGTATTAAATATATGATATATTAATATATAGGTTGGTTATTTATTTTTTTGTATTTTTTTTCTTAGTGTGTGTCTCGTGCAACGCACTCTCTGACAACACATTCGATTGTTATAGATAGTTTTATGGAACACTTGAGTCGATTCGCAATTAATGTTTTTGGGGGGATCGCGTGTGCTTTTGACTGACTTGACTTTGTTTCGTTTTCGTATTGGTTTTGGTTTTCGTTATTGTTTGACTCTCACCTCACCTCACTTGAGATCATCGTGCGAATTTGAAGTCTGCAATTACTTAAGCAGAACAAAAAGAAAAACCGATTATTTAATAGCGTCTGTGCTGGCCCTTAAAATGCAACGAAGTAGAAGTAGTAGAAAAGAGAGAGAGAGAGAGAGAGATGTGTATGCAATGTATATGTTTTTTTTCAAGAGAATATAAAAACAACAAAAAAATGTAATAATAATAATAAGAATAATGATATATATAGATATTTTCCATTTTGATGCCTTGCTTGTGGATTCTTTAACCTATACATACATATATTTTGTTTGTATTACTTTTGTTTTTGAATGAACTCACTACATACATACATACATGTATATAAATGTATATATATATGCAGATAAACACATATACTTATACATAGTACATAAGCAATTCGCGAGAATAGCGAAGACACTTACCCGAGTCAGAACGCGACCTCTTTGTGACTGGCATTTCGCCGATTTCGCGCTGGTCATCCGAACGTGGCGATCTGGAGGCTCTGTCGTTGCTGCCCTGCAATTGCAATTGCGAAGGTCGCTGGGTTATTATTATCGAAGAGAATTCGTAAACGGTTAACGTATAGCAGATACACACGGATACAAACTTTAAACTACACACACACACATGCAAAAAGTGAAGCTATTGTTTTTTTCGCGCACACACACACACACACTCGCACTCACATCACACGTTTGAGTGAAGTGAAGAGCAAAAGAAAACGCGAAAAAATGGGTGCAAGGCACGCGCTGCGGCTGCGGCGGCCATTAAGCCACGCCAAAATACAAAGGCCTAAACGGGTACGAAATAAGTGGAATTGTGTTAGAAACATACCATCCTCATTAATTGCACAAATATAACTTTGTTTTGTGTATTTAGCTATGAATTATGTTGTTTAAATACAAGTTGAATTATTTTTTGCGAAAAACTGACGTGACGTCAAGAAAAATGGATACGACGAAAAAGTACTTGCTTTGTATCGATACCAGTATCGCCGCTGATTATCGATATGTATGCCTCAAAAGTGGACAGTGCCGATTTATTTATTTTATTTCACGAATAGCTGTCGTTATTTGTGGAGCATAAGTGTCGTCAGAAAATGTTTTCCAAAAGTATCCACAAAACCCACGAGTACCCACAAAACATAATTGTGGCTAAACGTGTTTTTTTTTTTTTAGTTGATTCTCTTCTACACACGTACACCATGTACGTGACACGCAGTATAAAACTACCATCTCAGTTGTTAAAAGCGCATACCAAATCCCCCCATTTCAGTTACCGATTCTAACTGAAAGCAGCATGTGCAAATTATCTAAGAAGTGGAAGAAATTCATAGATTACTGCAATGTACGTATTGTTTTTTTTGTTTTTATTATTCAACCAGTGTCTTATTTATTACAACTAAAGCTAATTTACACATACATATTTACATATTTACTCTCGTTAGCCGAGTCTCGCAGATTTTAATTTTTGTTTTCCAAAAAAAAAAAACTAAAGCTTAAGTACAAAGGCAATTGTGGTGCGAGCATTTTTTTTTTTCTTGGTTTATGGCAGTTGCAAGTTATGACCTTGGCTGATCAGCGAAGATCAGAAAATGAAAATTGAGGAACTTTCTCGCTCTATCTGAAGTAGAGATAGACACAATGTAAGCAATGACGTCAGTAGTCCATAGCTTATATATTTTTACTTATTTACCACAGTTTTGAACCGTTATGAATCACAATTACTGCCTCGTTTTGTGCAAATATTCGCGAAACATTTACCTGCTTATATAATTTTTATCTGTGTGTGTGTTAAAGCTATCTAGAATTTTCATTTCAGTTTCACTTTTCATTTCATTTCAAATTCAATCAAATAGTTTCGTACGTATGTATGTAAAAAATTTCCGTCTACCGTTCTCAATCTAAAAACTTAAAAACTACACGATTGAGCAATCTATAAAAAAAAACCCAATTGCCAATGGTTTGGGAGGCATTTTTTCGTTCTTGAAATAAATAAATGAGACCAGACTAATTCAAAGAACGATTGCTAAGTACACGGTTGCTTCAATTAAGTATGTGTGGGAGGGGGGATAACGGATATTTCATTCTTGAAATAAATAAATGAGACCAGACTAATCCAATAGAACGAGGGGGGTAGGATGAATTCAGCTAGTAGGTTGCATAAGCTTTGGCTAAAACACCAGCAACCGTTGCGTTGAGCCGGGGCGGCGACAGCAGCTCTTTCCAAGCTCGAATGCCAACAGATCCGTGCTCAACGACAACGATGACGAATGAGGATGGCAAATTACTCATATGTGTGTGGGTGTCTCCGCCTAGGACAACAGATTGTCTTCCATGCTGTGTATCAGTATCTTTTTGTCCTCCTTGACACACGGCGCCTTCCGATCGCGTGACGAGAATGTTTGCTCCACCAGCTTGGGATCAAAGCACGGCTATAAATACAAACAATTATTGCAATTAATAACCAATCCAATTTTGGATGAGGAGTAGAACACTTTTCACTAACCGTTTCACAAATATTCATGTTGCAACAGTTCTCTATCGTAATCTCGCACTGCTCGGTGGTCAGCGGGCGATTGGTCAAGGGTGTATCACTTGAGGAATTGAGACGCGCCTGTTTGCGCACCACAAATGTCTTTTTGATGCGTGGCCGCTTTGGCTTGTAGATCAGACGTACGCCATGCACCGTCAACGCCACCAATCCCGATGTGGTCACCAGACCCAGCACGATCACAATGATCAATGGACCCTGCACCGGTGGCGCTGGGCCACATTGACCCGCCGTTTGGTATTCGGTTATGGTGGCGGTGTCATTGCTGTTGCTCCACTCCTCGCAGCTGCAAAAGAAAAGCGGGGAACATTAATAAAGAGAAGGCAATTAAGGTGGGTCAATTTCACTACTCACAAATCCAAGCAACTGACTGGCAACTGCGTCTCCGGATGTTGGCAGTAGATGGCGCACTGTTCCGTCAGATTGTGTTCGCAGCGTTCACCACCAAAATTGGGGCGACACTCGCAACGCATTGCGTCGCTCTCCTTGTCCATGCTACAGTGACCCGAATTGAGGCAGTGGCCATTGCACTTGTGGTACTCGCAACGTTCGCCATAGAATTCGGCTTGACAGTAGCACTTGGGGAAGCCGGCATCGGAGATTTCACAGGTGCCGTGCACACAATAATTATGACACTCGGAGATCTCACAGCGTGCACCCTTAAAGCCCACCGGGCAGATGCAGAACTCGCCCCTGCTCATGAAACTGGCACCGTTCAGGCAATGCTCCCGCTCCAGTTGGCTGATCCGGTCGCCTTCGGCACTGCGTATGTGCGTCCGGTTGTTCAATCGGGTGTTCAGCTGTTGTTTGACCTTCTTCACTATGCTGGCACAATGGGCATCCTTCTGTAGGCGCTGATAGAAACCGGTGCGTGTCACAATTCCATATGCCTTCTCCTTGCTGAAGGGTTTCGCCAGTTCTGGCTCTGCTTGCGTTACATTTGTCACTTCCTGTGAGTATGTGGGCTTGGGATAGCTCCAGACCGCCTTGTCCATTCTGTCTGTCCAGTAGATGGCATCCTCGTTGATGGCCAGATGCTTGGGATCCTGATGTTTACCTTTGACGACCACCTGGCGATCGCTGCCATCGAGTCGAGCACTTTCGATGGCAAAGAATATGCCCACCTTGTTGTCAACCCAAAAGATGCGATCCGACAGCTGATCCACAACAATACCCCGAGGCATATCAATGTCTGCACTGATGATCGTTTGCCTGCCCTTGCCATCCAAACCAATACGTTCCACACTGGCACTCTTGATATTTCCGTTCGTCCAGTAGAGCTGACGGCGACAAATATCCACGGCAATTCCATCTGGTTGACCGCCCTCCCCGCTGAGATCCACCAGCACTTTTGGCAACTCTGTGGCTAGTGTATCGACGCTGGAAAAGAAGATCTTCTGCTGACGCATATCGGCCCAAAACAGATTACGATTGAGTGGATCGTAGGCGAGTCCCTCAACCGAATCATTCCCTGTCCGCTGCACCACAATGGGCGTTGAGTCATCGCGTCTCAGTGCAAATATGCTTCCGTTTTGATGCGTCTGATCGCTGAAGTAGATCATTTCCTCGGCCTCGTCGAATGCCAATGCCGAGAGATCCTCGAAACGATGTGCCGATGCATGGATCTCGCCCCATGTGCTGTTCAGAAACACAATCTTATCGCGCAACGCGATGGCAAAGTCTGTAAAATGCAAAAATGCAAATGTTCCATTAATCGGCAAGTCACGCACGCGATGAATAATCAATATCGATATCGATGACAATCGTATAATAAGATAAGAGCAGCCCATAACTATTTTATTTATAGCATGCCTAAATGATTATTAGTAAAAGGTGGCGGGGCAGCGAGGGTTTGCAGGTGGATTGCAAGAGCGTATTGCAAACGGAGATCAATCAGATTTGATCGATACGGTTAGCGCTAGCTCTGCACTACTAATGGATCATCTTTGCGAGCAATGCAAGTGCTGCAAATCACGCACACGATGCAGATTCAATATCAATATCGATAACAATCGTATAATATAGATAAGAGAAGCCCTGAGACTACATAACCACTACTGCTATCTATGGCATGCAAAATTGATTATTAGTAAATGTGTGTGTGTGTGTTGAGGAGGGGGGGTTGTAGGTGGGTTGCAAGAGTGTATTGCAAATTAAGTTCAATCAGTCTCGTTCGATTTGGTTAGCGCTGGCTCTGCTTCTTCCTAACCATCCCAAAACGTATTGTGTTTCTGATCAATGTACGCCATATTTGATTTATGAAACGCATTTAGAATTTCGAATTGAATTTCAATCAATTACGCGCCAGTTTTATACACTCTGCTAACCAATATAAAAGAGAGTATATTCTTAAATAAGATTTTAAGTAAATGCTTAAGAGATAAAGTTTCGAACTTCGTTGATTAACGCCCCCCAAAAATCAGGTTTAAAGTGAAAGTTATTGATGAGTTCTTGTGGAATGTAAGCAAACCTGTTGTTCCAGGCCTCATTAAAACTGTTTGCCACCTGTTGACGACTTTTCGAAAGAAAAAAAAAACTGGAAACAGATTAGTACGCAATTTGCCACTTGTCAATTTGCAAACTCATGTAATTAAAAATAATAATATGACGTTTTTCCAAAGGGATTTGATTGCACAACTTTCTTCAATTAATTACATTTATTTTAAACGATTAAGTCTGGCTGATAAGATAACCCAGGGGAAATTTGAAAATCCCCATAAGCTGCATCAAACAAAATATGCACATGTCAAGACGTAATAGAACTGGGAATGGAGCAAAGGTGCATTCCACATCCACATTCTTGTGTCGTGTGGAAATCTCCAGAATTTATTTCAAATCAACATTGATAAAATGCAGCGCAACTTTCAATTTGGCAAAAACCGAGGCGACAACAAATAAAAAAAACCGGTTGCTTTAAGAGGGGCGTTTTAATTTTGGCCAATATGGCAGCTGTTAATTACGCACTTAATTGAGTTCATTATGATTAAGTACAGTAAACAAAAAAAAAAAAACAAAATAAAGCAAAACAATCGTCGCGGAAATGGTAGAAAACTCCCAAGACGGAATCAGCAGTTCCGTAATTGAGATACGTGTATATATTTGCACACGATCTATAGATCGAAGGCTGAAACAGCTGTTACTTTTTCTTTATTTATTTTATGTTGAATTTTTTAATTCGCGTGTCTTTCACTTTCACATGCTCACGTGCATAGTTCAATAAGCGACTTTAAAATTGATTGTTTATTGCAGCTAATTGTTTATGAAATGACTTATTATGTTCTGTTTTGGGCCAGCGAACTTTTGTGGGTCACAGTCGCGTGCAAAAAGCATCGCATGGCTAATTCAGCTAGCCAGCGGCCAGGTTAACTCCGCTAAAGACCAAAGCAAATAGCAAATAGCAGCAAACTTAAGACACGCTTACATAAACAAGTTTATAGACAATTAGGGGCATTCATAGACATGTGTTTTCTGTATTGGCGGACCTTTCCAAGTTGCGGGGAGACCGCTGAGGGTCTTAACCTTCGCTTGAGGTCAACGGTTTATCGGTGCAGAAAATGTTGAATTCGTTACATATATCAACACATAATCAAAAAGCAAACAAGTTTACGACTACTTTTGCGCGATTACTTCAATTATTCTTTGACAAGTGCAATTATCAGTTAGTGTCATTTGACTTAAAGTAATAGCCATAAATCAATCTTCCACCTTGGACTTATTATTATCTAATGTCGCAAATGAATCATCAACAATAGTCAATAATATTATCTCGGAATAATGGCGTGAATCGAAAAAGTCCGATTTAACTACTTCAGATAGGTTTTCCAGAAAGTTTTTGGACCCTATTTTAATTATTTATTTTACAGTTTATGAATGCAGTTTTGATTAAAATTGTTACGAATCTGAATACATTCAGGTAGTATATAGGATATATGCGAAGCTTTGTCAATTTAGCATATGCTAACAATATAAAAGGTTCCCCTACGGCCTGGCCTTATAGCGTGTGTTCATTTAAAGTGATGTTTTCAAACCAAAAACTAATAATAATTAAAAATTGAAAATCTATTTTTTGTATATGTATTGTATTTTGCGTTGTAATTTTTGTTTGTATTTTGTTTTTCGTTATTTATATTATACATAAACACAAAGATCATCCAGTGATCAATGACATTGACCCTACGTCTTTCAGATAATGCAAATGAGCTGTGTCTTATGCGCTAACCGATTGAAATATTTATTTGGCAAGTCGGATCTCTAAGCGGAGATTTATTGACCAGCATAAATGCATTTTACGGCTTGTCTAAAGTCATAAGATAACATAATTCAGATTGTATTCCGCAAATATTCTTAGATTCTTAAAATATATTTAGCAATTCAAAAGAGAAGAATTTTTATTTAAAACTGAGTTTATACATAAACATTTGCAGCTGTGCTCAAGATTGGATTCCAGCCTATTACATATTTAAATGAGTACAGTTTATCATATGTATCGATACCTTTTCCTGTATTCTGCTTTAAGGGCAGGTGCATTGATCTTCTAGAATCGAGATCCATAACACACAACGTTACAAATATTTATCGATGACTTTCTGTATACTGCTTTATGGTGTATTGATCTTCTAGAATCTAGAACTTAAGTCTGTAACCTGTTTGTTTTCTTTTTGTTTATCTAATGAACAAATATCAAGCGTTAATAATAGTAACGATGTACTTTTACTAATGTCATTGCAGGTAGCAACAGGTTGCAATATGGCGTACTTCAATGCTAGCGTCTGCACGTGGAAACGCTCAAATGACCAATAACTTATCGGAGCGAATGCATGTACATATGCGCAGATGTGTGAATGCCATACGCACACATACACCCACACACGCCTGTGGATATATGTTTATGTACATTAAGTACAGTTCTTTTATTTTCTAGGAATTTGTTTCCAATTTCTCAGCTAGAGTGCCACTAGCTGAAATTTCAACGCAAGAACTGTTTGAAGTTGGATTTGAAATGCGAGCTCGAGCATAAACAAGATTCCCAGCTTTTTTGTTTGGATAAAACGAAGCTGGGAAACAGCGACGCGGCAACCAACATTGATGGCAAAATAGTCCAATCAGCAAAAAAAGAGAAAGACTGCTGGCATACGTGACAATTAAATAACTCTAAATGGCGGCGGTCTCCCGGTGTCATTGCCGGTTCACGCCATATATTCGCTTATTGCAGAGAACTAAAATAGCACTGTGCTCTTTGCTCTCTCGTTTTGTTAAACTGGGGGTGAAAGTGCGCAGGGACCTACCAAAAAAGAAACGGAAGAAGTGTTGGCAAAAATGCTACTATTGCAAACCAACGTGTGTTCTATGTTATGAAATTCCAAATAGCTGAACTTGAAATGACAAGCGCCACACTATCATGAGTTGATAAGACCAATGCGTAAATTCTGAATGTACAATCAAGAAATTTTGCATAATCAGCTGATAGATAGCTATAAATTGCACGAACTACACGACAAGACACGTAGGAGTGATACAATAATATGGCCAAAGATATCTATATCTATATATATATATAGATATGAGAATCTCTATGCGTAACAGTGGAGAATGTTCTCTAAATGCAATTTTTAAATTGTTCGATTACATAAGAAACAACGAGTATATATCATAAACAAACACCTGAAAACTTAGCAGTTTGGCAACGTTGCCACCGCAATGCAACCGTTTCTAACCACTCTGCTAATTCGCACTAATTGTATAATATCTTACCCCATCCCATTGGAGATGCATCTGTTAGCAGTGTGTTCAAGTTGATAATCAAAAACAGAGTCGAGAAAATAAGCATTTTCGATTTATGTGGCTGCATTCCTTGTGATGCCATTAATGGCTGTTCTTGGAATCGATGGAATCGTTGTAAATGTCGAGCGGGAAGCATGTCTTGCTTATTATGGTTATTACGTGAACATGTAGCGCAGGATGTTTTGAGCGCAACCAAGCCAGAGAACCGTGCACCCAAAATACTTATAATCAACTAAGTTCATTTTAGCTGGTGGAAAATGCATCTCTGGTTTTATGTGATTTGCTTTACTGTATGACAGTGGTGCCACGTTTTCATTGATTTTTCATAAATATGCACTGTTTTTTCTACATGTGGCAACTCACATGTCCCACAGCATGGCGCAAAATTCGAAATTGTAATTGGTCTGATGTCGGTGGAAAAACATGGCAAATGTTTTTATTAGCCAAATCGACTCGTCTGCTGAGCCCAGCTTAGTAACCATTTCTGGTAGTCAGTAAAATTAATATAAATGTAATTTGTACGCTTTTTAATAAAATGAAATCAATAATATTATGCATAAAATCGAATGTTTATACCCTGAACCCATAAAAAACGGGTAAAAAGGGTGCAAATGTATGTAACAGGCAGAAAGAAGCATCTCCGACCTCATAAAGTGTATATATTCTTCATCAGGGTCAACAGCCGAGTTATAGCCATGTCCGTCCGTCTCTATGAACACTCAGATCTCAGAGACTATAAAGCTAGAGACTTTAAGTTTGCAATATAGGTGCACGTTTTTTTACTCTTCCTACCTGAGCTTGATATAAGAAATGAGTATACTAGCAAATCTGCTCACATTTGGGTGCAAAACTTATTATTGGGAAATTTGCCAATAGTTTATTAATATATAATATATTTAATGTATTTAACAGCCGTGTACAGGGTAAATCGTTATCGAGCTCACTCGACTACTGCACTCTTACTTGTTATGGCACTAAGCTAGGGAATTCAAAAAAAAAAACAGCTGAAAAATTCAAATGGGACTGAAAACATAAATGCCACTGTGAATAACGGTTTTTACTTGCTAACGGTATGTGCGCACTAAGCAGACAACGTATAGAAGCGACTGAAGAAGATATTACTGTGAATAACGTCATTTACTTGATAACGGTATATGTCGCATAGTGCAATAGATGAGATGAGAGAGAAATATTTCCAAGAGAGAGAGAGAGAGAGAAAGAAAGAGAGGATATGTACTCAAGCGATCCGATTTTCCAGTCAGTTTGTCTACGGCCTAGTATGTAAAAATGTACAACAAGTCGTTTCGTGTAACGATATTTCGACAGTGTTGGTAAACATGGTGAAAAAGTGAGTCTCACTTATTGCGCTGCCAACAATCGTTCCATTTTAGAAGCAGATTAAACGTAAAGTACGATGTACAAAAATGTTTTAAAGGGAGGTATTCGTACAGCACAGAAGGCCTGGAAATTACGAAACGGTGATTACTCACACATTCATTAAACAATTTATAACAACAAACAAAAAAACAAAAGAAAAAACACTACGGCTGCATAACAAAATACACGTCTGAAGTGAGTGAGAGCGAATCAGCTGGTGTGTGGCCCATTACCAAAACGTACCAAGCGCTAGTGGGTCACACTGAAAGCGTGTGTTGTTTTTTTTCTCTCGTCACCAGAAGCCGCCAGCCGCAGTTGCCCGCAGTATTCTGCTCTGCTCTGCTCTTTAATTTCTGCTACAAATTAATTACAAATACAAATACAATTCGGTTATTAAATTTATCACAAGTGTTAAATAAACGTCATACTTTGCAGAACTTGGCAAACTCAATTTGGATTTAGCTAAAGCCAATTCCGATTTCGAGCAGCATTTGTGCGAAGGTGAGGCAAAAAAAACATCCACCGCCCGCACGCCCCAAAAAATTAAAATAAAATAAACCGCTTGCAATTGCAAATCAAACGCGCTCTCTCTTTCACCCACACGTTATTCATTATTTAATAATCCTTTTGTGCTAGCTCTGTTCCACTTCTAATTACAGTTGCAACCAGTTTCAGTTCCCGCAGCCTTACCCGTTCCCGCTTCCCCGCCTTCCAGTTACAGTTACTAAACAAAACCCATAGCAACCAATCCTACATATTGGCACAGTGGAAATTGGCTGAGAAGAGCTTTCAATATTGTTGTCGCAGTTGTTGTTGTGCTTGCTGTGCTTTTACTAACGCCCCATTGTTACCCCCACGCCGCCGCCAACTTCTTCATCGTGCGCTGAACGACGCTGATAAGCATTCTGGGTATCTACGTGCAGAGACGTGCCACCTAAATACACTCGTCTCATCGAAACAGTTCGTCAAAGTGCAAAAGCAATTTTATCGCGACTATTCGAGCGTTTCACTGGGTGCACCACTCAAAATAAGCGACGCACCACTGTTGGGTGATCTTTGCAGTCGTTATCGTGATATACTTGGACACACCTCGGCAGACGTCGTTGGAACGGGAGAACGTCAACAAGGCGATAAGAAGCAGCAGCAGCAGCGGCACATTCACAGCTGTTGCTCCAATCAGAATTCGTCGTTAACGAACGGATGCGATAGGATGGCCCAAGGCAAGGCGGAATTTGAGCGTTTGCCCACGAATGTGGTGCCAAAGCATTATGAGCTAATGCTGCAGCCCGATCTGCAGGCGTTCAGCTTTACGGGCAAGACAATCGTGCAAATCAATGTAAGTACCGTTTTGTTATCGTTGCTTTTGTTTTCCTTTTTTCTTCGTTCACTTTGCAGCCGCGGGCAACTTTCGCTTTCACCTCGACGACTGCTGCAAATCATAAATATGTATGTCTGTCTGTATGTCTCTCTCTCTCACGCGCTCTTATCTTTAAGTGCCATCGTGTGTATGTATGTATGTGTGTGTGTGTGTGTGTGTGTGTGTTTGTTGTATTTCATTACTGACGCGTGCGAAAATTGTACCGTCTCCTTCACACACACGCACCCTCATAATGTGTGCATGTCTCTCTTGTGTGAGTGTGTGTGTGTGTCTGCTATTTATTTTCTCTTTATGCTGCAATTTGCATGCAGGCAACGTTCGCACATTGGGCTGATGAGGAAGTGTTGTTTCTTTGTTGACACCAGGCAATGACTTGGCACATTATTGCAAATTTATTTGAAGCGCAACGCATTGCGCCACCCACTCAACACCCCATCATCCCCTCTTGCACTGCACTGCACAGTCGACGCCTCTGCTGATCTCATAACGGAAAATGTCGACAATTGTGTTTACGTTTCCTGCGCAGCAGCTACGGGATTTTTGATCACTCCTCGAATACACTAAAAGAAATGAGTACCTATATATACATATACATACATATGCACATATACATATATATATATATGTCAAATATTTGTCTAAAACTAAGCGATCGCTTCCAACAGAAATACAGCGTAGAAATTTTAGCCAAAACGAGTTTTAAGCTGTTAAGCAGGAAACCGGCAGGAGAAAAAAAATAAATAGCATACAGTAAATATTTGATTTAAAGAACCGAGAACATGTTCTCGCTTTGTTCACACAAACAATGGCCTTAAATTAGCAAGTTAAAATACAGCTCAGCATGTATTAGATGCAAAGAACTTTCTATTATTAATATTATTAATATGCATAAAATAATCGTGTTCACTTTAGGCAATGTTCACTGCTCACATGTGTTCGACCTTGAAATAACGGTTCATAGCGCATCTTTATCGTTTGCATCACTTCCACTCACCTTTCGCAGCGTTTATCTTTTAATACACTGTCAGACAATAAACCGTTTTGATTGGGACTATAATATAATAATAATAATACGTGTGCAAATAATTTTAGCGGTTTTAGAAAGTCACTTTGTGACTATATATATTATTTGTCTATAAATTATATTTTTACATTGTTTCGCACTCTTAATTTAAGCTCTTCGTCTTGGCTTGAGTTGTCTGTTTTTTTTTTTTTTTTTAATCTCATCTCCCCTCTTTCGTTGCCCACAAGGTATCTTCGAATCGAGCAAACTTCTTTCTTGTTTTTACTCGTTTTTGATAATGGTTAACTGCCAGCACTTCTGACGCACGATCATTGACTTATTGCCCCTGCTTCTTCGTCTTCTTCTTCTTCGACTTCTTGGCTTGAATTCCTAGAAGCGCGTTCTTTCTAATTGACTGTTATTATTATGATGATGATTATGATTATGATGCTTGTTGCAGGTCACAGAGCCAACGACTCTGATCACGCTGAATGCGCTGGACATAACCATCGATGGGGCGCAGTTTGAGTACGAGTGCGAGAAACTGAAACCGCATCGCATCAGCTACTCCAAGGAGAATGAGACGGCAACGCTGGAGTTCACCAATCAGATACCGGCTGGAACGGCGGGTGTGCTGCACATGTCCTTCACTGGGGAGTTGAATGACAAAATGAAGGGTTTCTATCGCAGCAAATATTTCACGGCCTCGGGTGAGGAGCGTTATGCTGGTGTCACCCAATTCGAGGCGACAGATGCCCGTCGCTGTTTTCCCTGTTGGGATGAGCCGGCCATTAAGGCGACCTTTGACATTGCCCTGGTCGTGCCCAAGGATCGCGTGGCCCTCTCCAATATGCCGGTGAAAAAGGAGGACAATTTGCCGGGGGAATTGCGTCGGGTGCGCTTCGATCGCACACCCATCATGTCCACCTATCTGGTGGCCGTTGTTGTCGGTGAATATGATTTCGTGGAGGCCAAGTCGGATGATGGTGTCATCGTGCGCGTCTTTACGCCCGTCGGGAAACGGGATCAGGGCCAGTTTGCCTTGGATGTGGCCACCAAGGTGCTGCCCTATTATAAGAGCTATTTCAATATTGCCTATCCGTTGCCCAAAATGGATCTAATTGCCATTTCCGACTTCTCCGCCGGCGCCATGGAGAACTGGGGTCTGGTCACCTATCGTGAGACATTCGTCCTCGTCGATCCCAAGAACACATCCCTGATGCGCAAACAATCGATTGCCCTCACCGTTGGCCACGAGATCGCTCATCAATGGTTCGGTAAATATTATCTGCTTAAACAATACTTGAAATCTTTATTAACAATCAATAATTTCAGGCAATCTGGTGACCATGGAATGGTGGACGCATCTCTGGCTCAATGAGGGATATGCCTCATTTGTGGAGTTCTTGTGCGTGCATCATTTGTTCCCGGAGTACGATATCTGGACACAGTTCGTGACGGATATGTATACGCGTGCCTTGGAGCTGGATTCGCTGAAGAATTCGCATCCGATTGAGGTGCCCGTCGGTCATCCCTCCGAGATCGATGAGATCTTCGATGAGATTAGCTACAACAAGGGCGCCTCGGTTATACGCATGCTGCACGATTACATTGGCGAGGATGATTTCCGCAAGGGCATGAATCTATATTTGACGCGGCATCAGTATAAGAATACATGCACTGAGGATCTGTGGGAGGCACTGCAGGAGGCAAGCTCCAAGAATGTGGGCGCTGTCATGTCCAGTTGGACAAAATACAAGGGTTTCCCTGTTGTCAGCGTTGAGTCCGAACAGAAGACGCCTACGCAGCGCATCCTGCGCCTGGAGCAGAGCAAATTCACCGCAGACGGTTCGAAGGCGGATGAGGATTGTTTGTGGGTGGTGCCCATATCGGTGTCCACATCGCGTAATCCCACCAAGATTGCCAAGACCTTCCTGCTCGAAAAGGCCAGCATGGAGGTGGTGCTCGATGATGTTAGTGCCGAGGACTGGATCAAAATCAATCCCGGCACCGTTGGCTACTATCGCACACGCTACTCGCAGTCGATGCTGGAGCAACTGTTGCCGGCCGTCGAGAATATGGAGTTGCCGCCGCTGGACAGACTTGGCCTGATCGATGACATGTTCGCTATGGTGCAGGCGGGCCAGGCCAGCACTGTGGACGTGCTTCAGTTGGTTGGCTCCTATCGCAACGAGACCAACTATACCGTGTGGACGGCGATCACCAATTCGCTGGCCAATCTGCATATCCTGATCTCTCACACAGATCTCATGGATGACTTCAATAGGTTTGGACGCTGCCTGTACGAGCCGGTCGCCACACGGCTCGGCTGGGAGCCGCGCGAGAATGAGAATCATTTGGATACGCTGCTCCGCAGTCTTGTGTTCACACGGCTCGTTTCTTTCCGCAGTCCGGATATCACGGAAGCGGCACGGAAACATTTCCGCAGCCATGTTAATGGCACCGAAGCACTGCCAGCGGATCTGCGCAGCACCTGCTACAAGGCTGTGTTGCTAGACGGCGACGAGGCGATCTTCGAGGAGATGTTGACGCTGTACCGTTCCACGGATCTGCACGAGGAACAGGATCGCATCTCGCGTGCCCTCGGCTGCATTGGCGATGTGAAGCTGCTGCGTCGTGTTATCGACTTTGCCATGTCCGTAAGTAACGCATAATGCTTTAGATGAATCTGGTTGCGTACTTAAACTGCTCCATTTGTAGGGTGAAGTGCGTGCTCAGGACTCGGTGTTTGTCATTGTCGCCGTCGCTGTTAATCCCAAGGGTCGCGACATGGCCTGGGAGTTCTTCAAGGAGAACAACAAGCAATTGCTGGAACAGTATCAGGTAATTGACTAACTTTCCTCAACTTCTATGACTGTGCTCTTGGCTCATCGTTATCCTTGTTCATCGTTGCAGGGTGGCTTCCTGCTGACGCGTCTCATCAAATATCTGATTGAGAACTTTGCCTCCGAGGCGAAGGCGCGCGAAGTGGAAGAGTTCTTCCGGACGAACCAGATACCCGGCTGCGAGCGCACCGTTTCACAAGCCGTGGAGACAATACGCCTTAATGCTGCCTGGCTGGAGCGCGATCGGGAGAAATTGACCGAGTTCCTGAAGGAGCAGAATCTGTAGACCGTTCACCTTTTTTTTTTGTGGTCTGGCCTCATACCAAAGCATTTAGCAACAACTACAAAGCAACTAACAACAACACGAGCACGACCAAAGCTGTCACAACAACAACTACAACAATTCCCAATCCCTGTTAAGTGAGCCAAATAGGTTAGCATTATTTAGAAGCAACTATAACTATGACTCCTTGCCTTTCTCTCCTCATCCTCCTCCTCCTTGGTACCTCAATCAGACAAGGCCATCAACAAAGAGCCCAGCGGCATTTAAAAACCGAGCTAAATATCAACTTGCTCAACAACAAATAATAATAATAATAAAAAATGTGCACTTCTATCTTATACGTATACAAAAACAGAAAGTTATGTTGAATTTATGACGATAAATAAATGCAGTTAAAATAATAACTGACTTAAATAATGCTGTTGCACTTCTCAAACTGAAACGCATAAGATTCCCCAAATCAGTTTTCCTATATCAATATTTAATAGTTTAAATTAATTCATATCTTAAGTTGGAAGTCTATACAATTTTTGCATCATCGCTGTTGTTATTGTTGTTGTATTCAAATTTAAGGCATTTCCGCTTTAGCTCCTGCGAATCCGTCCAAAACTTGGCCAGACGCTGATCACTGTTCGAGCAGAACTCACGGAAATCCTTCAGCATGCGCAGCTGGAAGAGTTCGCCATCTGCCGAGTTGTTGATGGTCAGCGCCTTCCACTTCTTGTTGGGTATCATGTGATTCCAGGCCCACAAGAAGCCCACCTTTTTGGGCACATTCGTATTGTTCGTGTGTCCATAAACACAACGCGTGAAATTCGCCTCCTGGCGACTGGGTGACTCCACCTGGTAGTTCTTGCTGGCACAGCTAAATGACAGATGAAATGGCTTAATCAGGATTCCGAAGGATTCTGCCGTCAACTTACCGTATTAGAGCAAACATATTGCCAGTGCAATGGACATATTGGTATTCTTTGGGCATCTGCTGGAAAAATGATGAACAAAATTACCAAGGGACAATATCAGATGAGCAGCTGCGACTTACGTCCTTGTTTAGGGTGAACTTCTCCTCGAGCACGCAAGGCATGAAACCAAATCTGGCCAAAATGGTCTCCTGCAGGAAGAGCATGCGATCGGAACGGCTATTCTCGGGGAACTCTGTAAGTGCACATAAAGAGATTACAAAGATGCCCCTGCTCCAATTAAACCCCAAAATGGTGCACATACCATCGAAGAGGGCGGCGCCATCCGGTAAAAATGTGACGCACAATGGAATGAAGATGGGACCACGTAATGGATCTGATTTCTCTGTAAACGGCTCAGCCATGGGATCAGCGGGCACAGAGACTAGCTGAAAGCCACACTGATTCGCCTTGCGCATCCAACCAGAAATCTTCCAAAGAATTACAATTAATATGAGGAATCTTAGGCAAGCTGAAGTATTTCATTACCAGATCAGAAACAATGGGTCCCGATGAGGTTACCCACTCGACGACCAGCTCGAAAGCGAATCCTGGCTGCATGACCGTGTGATGCTTGACATGACCCCATTCCATGCGATCGCTCTTCTGGTTCACATCGATCTCCAAATGCGACTTGCGACAGACGCGCTCTGCAATATAAAGTGGATTAGTTCCTATCAGGGATCAGGCTACAGGCAACAGGCTATTTACTGTTCATGCAGTACTCCGTCCAGGATTGTGGAGCGGGCGTATCACGCAAGAAATTGGGCACCTTTGTGGGCGCTGGCTCGTCGTGCCACAGGAAGCCGCAACCCTGGAGCTCAATCTCCAGCCACTCATTGACAAATGCGCTATACTCGTTCAAAGGCGGCGCATAATCTAAAAGGATGCAAGGATTTCTGATTGCTAAGAAGCTCATTGGCTGCAGATATGCTCACCTTTGGCATTCTTGTCCTGCTGGACGACATAGTAGAAGACAAAGCCCGGCACAACGGGCTGATTCCAATCGCCAGAGGCGTGGCATATCATGCGCTCCCTGCAAGAAGTGGAGTTAGTCTTGTTGAGATGGAGCTTATAGAGATAAACTCACTTGCGCATTGCCTCCAACAGCTCCAGAGGATGGCGGCCGTTGGTCACACGAGAACGGAGCCATATCAGCGCATCGTAAGAGATGAAGGTGCAGGAGGGTAGCGATTGAGTTTGGGTAAAGAAGCCCACGCCATTCACCGGATGCTTCATGGCCTCAAACATCTCTGCCAGCGTTGCACTCGCACTGAACTTGATATCCATGGGGAAACTTACAACAGAAAAAGAAGAAGAAGCTAACTGGTGAACAGAAGAGCAGAAGTTGTCTCGGGCTGATGCACTTACCCATCATCCTGATCGTCGCGTGGAGCGACTGCAGTCGCAGTTGCTGCCGCCGCTGTTGCCGCATCCTGACTGGGCAGGATGCGAGAAATGCGGCTGGCATCCAGTTTGGGTCGCACATCGATGCTGTGAAGACAAAAGCTGGATTAGCACTGGCAAAGTTGGCAACGCTGACAAACCATTTGTGTGTAGGGAAATTAGGAGGTGAGTATGTTATGTGGCTGTGTGTGTGTGTGCAAGTGCCAGCATTTGTGCAGCGATTACAATTTAGTAAAGTGTGGTGGGTTTGAGCATGTGTGTGTGTGTGCGTTAGTACAAATACCGAAAAATGTGAGACAACTTAGTGCAGCTCTCTCTTTCTCTCGCACTCCAGCTCACTAAATTCAAATTTAGGAAATTTAAGTATGTGTGAGCTAGTGTGTGTGGGGGGGGGGTAGAGGGGAGGGGGAGTGTATGCAAAATCACAAACGCAGCTTTCACTCTTAAAATTTGCAAACCAATGGTAGAAGTGTGGGGAGTTTTGTTTTGGGAGATCAGGATGGGGTACAAATAAAATAGAATCGCAACGCAAGCCTCAAATACAACCAAATAGCGAGAGAGAGAGAGAGAGAGAGAGACAGATATACTCTCTCAATTGTATGGTTGAATTTGTTGCCTGCTCGCTGGATGGCACAAACCTTTGCTGTGGTGAGTTTAATAGATTATGAGTCTTTTCAGTGTTTCTAGGTGTGGGTGTGTCATGCTGCTGAAAGCCAAATACCAAATTAAATCAAATAAATATAACAGAGCCGAGGCATTAATCGCAATAAAATTATAAATATAAATATATAATTATGATTTTCATACGCTACAAGTCAAGTGCAAACAAACTAACAACATACAGCTTAGATCATAGCTACAAAAACATCAGTCACCAATATATTTTTAAAAGGAGGAGGGTGGGGAGAGCAGCGAACAAAAAATAAAGAAACTCAACTCGCAGGCGCAATGAATGAACATTCCCATAATAAATGTGCTACATATTGCGTGTTTGTGTGTGTGTACGACGTGTGTTCGTGTTGGCGTGTGTGTGTGTGTGTGTGTGTGTGTGTGTGTGAGTATTTTGAATACGATATAAAAACCTGGGTCTCTTTCCGGGCAGCCGATTGCTGCCGACGCGCTCACGAAATGGCTCTCCCTGCAGACGGACGATTTGCAGTTGCAGTTATCGTTTCAGTTTCATTTGTCGTGTGGAGAAACAGACAGAGACAGCGACAGAGACAGAAGACATTGAGAGAAACATTAGAAGTATGTTCAGCTTAAGCCTGGCGCCTAGCGCATTATTATGAAAGTAGTGTGAGTAGTTCGAACAAACGAGACAAAAATATTGCAAAATAAATGGGGCCGGGGGGTAAATTGGTACAAAATGTGCGCAGCTGAATGAATGTAATTAGATATTCGGTAAAGTGGATAGATAAATAACCTGGTTAAGAGGCCTGGACAAATTGCTCGTACTGTGTCGTCGCTTGGTTAGACTGTGGGTGGTGGGGCTATCCTGTAAATGTACATTATGTTAAGCGGTAAGCACTACAAATTGCAATTACATAACGTATGTCAGTGACAACAGCCTCTGTTAACTGTCTTTCTCTCTCTCTTTGAGAACTGCAGCAGCAACTGGAATTGCAACTAGAAATCGCTCAACGATAACGATAACAATAACGATTAAACTCGATCAAAACAAAATAAGACAATAACAAACTAAACACAACGAAAGAATGAACTAAAAAATTCGCTGGCATCTTACGCGAGCTTTGCGGCCATTTTGTCGCTTCAATTTGCTGACAGTCTCGATCAGTCGTACAAAATCCTCAATTTGCTCCCGTGTGTTATCCACCACGGCTTCGGTGAATATATCACAGCGCTGGCACCCAAAGCTAACGATCTTATTAACCATGCTATCGCGCGGCAACAGATACATGCGAAAGCGCCAATACTTCAGGCTCTATAAAATCACAAGAAATAACGACATTAATGAGTGGTGAACGAGGTGAATTACGCTCAAAATACTCACCTCCATTAGCGGATAGTCGACGTCGCCGCGCGTGCAAATGTACAAATCCATGTGATTCCAGCTGAAGTTCTCCAGCTTTTCAGTGGTGAAGTTAACGCCAGATATCTCATACGTCTCGTGTTGTGGCGCGTGAAAGCGATAGCGATAATCCACATTGATGGGCGGATAGGGATGCCTATTAAATTGCAACGAAAAGAGAAGTTGCAACATGAACAAGTAATAATGATTCAGTAAGAATATAAGTTCTTGTCATATTGGCATCGATTGCTATTTTCTAGGACCACAACTTGTCTTTCTGTTTGCTATTAGAGATCAGCTCACCTGGGCCTGTAACCCGTTACGGTGATAACAGAGCCGCTGAACGAGATCTTGTGAAAGATGCGTCCAATGGAGAGCAGAAACTCCTTGTTCGACTCGCAGGGTGGCTTTACGGGGAGCACAGCAGATGTGGATTGGTTGTTGGTGGTGGTGGCACCACTGCCAACTCCTGGTCCACTGGCCGAACAAGCGTTGCTGGAGCTGGCTGTCGTCGGCTTCTCCTCGACAACAATTAGCTGAAAGCCCTGGGCCAGCCGCTGTGAGACGATCTCCTTGCAGACCTCCTCCGTGGAGAGGGGCTTGCGGTAGACGGCACGACTGGTGGCATAGTCCTGATTCACATCATCGGGAAGCAGTGTGTACGCGGAAATCACGTAGTCGTTGTGAAGTGAACGCTTGTCCGGAAAATAGTCCGTGGTGATGGGCAGGCAAGCGGGTATCGATAGCGATTTCCAGTCAACGCCTGAAAGTGGCAACAATAATAGAAATGCATACCTAGGCAGTAGACGCCGCAGCGTGCATTTGGACAAGAGGGCGGAAATGGGTGTTCAAGAGGTACGCAAATAGAAAAAGCCAACGCCGATACGAGATACGAGTATTAAAAATAAGTATTTATAGTATTTATAATTATATATATATATAGTTGAGTAACACAATTTGCAATTCGCTTAAGCTCTATGCATAATAATTAAAACCAGATTCTCCACGTGTACGCAAGATTCAGAGAAAACAGCGTGAAAACTTGCTTAACTTTTAGATTTGCATTTTTTGGTCAAACATTAAATTAGCAGCAGGTGCATGGACGTGCAATGGGCGTGGCTGAAAAAGCATGCGAGTATTACAAATAATAATAATAATAAAGGGAATTACACATGCCAACATGCTCGTGCGAGAATTCAACAAACCGTAACCACCTCAATCCGATGTGGATAAATTGTGCATAGATTAAATATACATATATATATATATATAATGGGTGGTAAACATTCAATAGTGTGTCTAACTACATGGAATGTTGTGGGCTGGAGCGGGGCAAGCGAATTGAGGCGGGTGGGTTGATGCTTGATGTGCTATTATATTTGAAATCTACAATGTCCTCTATGAAAAACTTGTCGATTTAGTACATGTGCGTGAAATATACAATGCAGATATAAGCGATGAGAAAATACTTTGATTTCATCTAGATTAGACAGACGTAAGATTTCCCAAAATCATTTCGAGCATTCATTTTGCTTAAACAGACAAAAGTGCCAAAATTTAATTTGAATTTCTGTTTTTTTCTCTCAGCTTATACTCAATACTTGCTTGCTTACCTTGCAAATTTGTATTAGTAAAGTGTATCGATTAAAATCGATAACAGACATTGATTTAAAAACAGCGACTACAAAGTGCTTTAGTCAAGATGAGTATTTGTGCAACATCTACTCTACTAGACAATGTTATTACATAACTACATTTTACAGGGTATGTGTAGGGGATATGTGTGTGTATGTCTGTGCATGTATATATGTGTGTGTTGTAGATGCATTGCTTTATACAAAATTGTGATTATTTTTTGTTTTTGCCAAACCTATGATGATCTTTCCTTTGCCGACCGCCTCTGTTGTAGCCTCAAGCGGTGAGCTTCCAAAATTATTATGGTCACTTTCGACAATCGGTTTCATAGTTGTGTGTTTGCCTGCCGTATTCCCAATAAAAGCATTCCCATTTTTTAAATCGATTTTTTTTGTTGATGATTGAACGATGTTGAGATCGATTAAGTTTCGATTGTTATTGTGAATTTTGATTTTAGAGGTTACATTTCATATCCAATTGGGGTTTGTTGTTGTTGTTGTTTGTAGTCGTTGTTGGCCGCACAGTTTTATTGATGTGTTGGTGGAGTAGCGGGATTTTGTGAATTGGCCATTTAAGACATATACACATATATGTATATATAAATATATATATCGTTAATATAGATCAAATTTCGAATCAATTTTCGTCGATAACATTTAATGGAAAATATGTGTGTTAAAAATCGTGATATACAAAAATACAAATGTGAATTAGTTGAGATATCAAATCCGAATGCCTTAAATACTAAAAAAAATATATATAATAATTGTAGAATGCGGTTAATATTAGGCTACATTAATAGTAGTTATTAACGGACAATCTCCACGATGAATGCGCCCAGACTGACGAGGAATCCAATCAGATACAAATAGAAAACAAAAGCGACCCTATGGAATGTTAAAGGGCTCTCCTGGTCCATCTGCAGAAAGTCCGCAACACTGGCAAAATCACGAACATAGCCAACCCTCTTGGCACGGGAATACCAGCGATTGTGCCACTTCTGTGGCAAACCGGCCTCGTTGACGCGCAACTCGAAGACGTGCAGCGGATGCTTGAAATGTGATCCGATGCGCAACTGGAACTGATTGGGAAATGTCCCGTAGCACAGTCCCGATAACCAGAAAAGTTTGTGCTGCAGATAGCGCTGCTGCAGCTGAATGAATTTCCAGCGTATTGTGCTGATGGGATAGATGTAACCCGGACTCAATTTCACACGCTGATCATAGAAATGCTGGGCATTCGTATAGGTAGACATTCGACGAAACTGTTCCTCGTGTCCAAAGGAACTGACAATCGCATCAATATCACTGGGTACCACCAAAATGGAATAGGGCTGCTCAAATAGTTCCGTTAATGTCCCCGATGGCTTTATGTTTAGTCTCACCGTCCACAGCGATGTGACCCGGCTGACATACAGGGAGACAATGACAAAGAAGCTAAAGACGAAGCAGGCGGAGATTAGCATGTTGCAAGGAAATATCGGAAAACGCTGAGAGACACGCACTTCATCATAGCTGAACGCATGATTGCCTGGCACTCCCAGCAGGGACCAGGTCTGCATTCGCACCGAACGACTTGCCCAACGTTGCAAGAGGATCACAAGTGAACTTAGCAGGACCAGATAGAGCCATACGTCCTTTTTGAATGCCGTATACAGGAAGAAACCAGCTGGAAGTTTATAATCCCGTGGCATCAAAAAGCATCGCTGCACCACCGAATATGGATACGAATAGTCCACTTTTCTGGAGACCTGTAGCGTCGTAAACTGATGTGGACTCAACTCGATTCGATTCTCAGCGAGCATTTGCACCAACGCTGGCATATTGATATTGTTGGATTCGTTGATATACAGCGGATAGATCTCCAGGCACACATTCAAATGCCGCATCAGTTCAGTTATCAATGCGCCACCGGCACCATCCAGGTGCAGCTGCCCCTCGTTCGCATACCAAAACGTGGACGGCACATCCACTTGAACGGGCACACGCAGCTTGTAGCCAAGGAAATCTGGACGATTGGGCACCGGGAACAGCGTGAGTTCGTCTTGGCTGCGACTCAGTTCGATTACACGCAGCCTGGGATAGGGATCCATGTGGTAGAGTTGTTGCTGAGCAACCATGACGAGAGCCGAACGAAATCCATGCAACCACAGGTACTCAAAGAAGGACTTCAGCATTGCACGCTTCTCCTTCCGTTGGAGGATGAATAAAGTCTTCCACTCTCGACAACGTTGTAATTTCGTCGTATGCACCTGTATCACGGGATCTCTAGAATCACGGGCAAAGATCACAAACAGCGATTGTCCATTGGTCATAGGGTTTAACTCGTCAGTGTAGCTATCAGTTGCGATGATCTTGGGCAGCTGCTGAAAGTAGTTGTTGTCACTGCTCAGTGCATCCAGAAAGCCCTCACTGATCGCTCCAGCGCTGTACGTTATGCTGATGGACTGCAGACGATGTACACGTCCAATCCGATCAACAAATTGTGCCACATCCGTTGTGGCATTCGCAGCCAGCAGCTGCAGCATCAGCAGTTGCAACATTTTCCCCGTCAATGCTTGAAAGCAATGATTGCAACGGGTTTTTAAGTCGTGATTTTGCGTTACCCGCCCCATGATAAAAATCTCTCGAAATAATTCCCGCGCGCTAACGATTATTGATTAAATAAGAGCTATGCAAACATACCCGTTGTAATCGCTGGCGTCCACTCCTGCTCCCCAGTGGCACCCCACAGATACGACTTCGCCTGTGTGGCAGTCAGATTGGGCACATTGGCGGCCGGCGTTGCATTTAGCAGCGAATTGTGGCGCTTCTTGAAAACTGAAATGAGACAATGGCAGGTGCATCAGTATAGCTCAAACCGTACTCTAGCAATCCTGACGGACAACGGACAATTCAACGGACAACCGACACTTCTCCCGTTTCAACTCTTAATACTTACAATCAGATTTGTCATCGCCTATGGCAAAGTTTTGTGAAGTAAAAGATCTGGTCAGGCTAATCATGGAGTGAGTTGACATCTGATCAAACTGATCGCCAGCCGACGAGTTGAACTCGTTGTTCTCATTGTTATTGTTGGTGTTGTTGTTGGTGCTATTCGAGTGCTGCAGATGGCGAGAGTAGTTGATCGCCGGCACTGTTTTTGCTGGCACAGCTTGGTAATGATGTTGTTGGATGAGCACACCCGTTGGGCCCTTGGGAAAGATGTGCGTCCAACGGCGTCGATTGGAAGTTAGCTTAATGGTCACATGCGATGGATCAAAGGGATTGATGAGCGCCCGACCCGGGCGCACAATTGGTGCAATGCTGACAATTGTTCGTCTGGCATTCTTCTCTGATGCCAGCGACTCAGACAGATTGGTCGCGTCGGAGAGGGTGGCCAGCATGCCCGAGGTGCCGTGATGTATGTCCGGATCAGACATCTTACGCCGCAAACTGGGTATTTTTGTGGGCGTCAGATTCTCCCAGTCATTGTTGCGATACGCATACGTCTCAAAGCTGGGCACCGACGTCTTCTTTGCCCTCACCACACGCTGCAAGGAGCTAAGAATTCGAATTTGTTAATATTGCATTAATAGTATTTGGCATGGTATACAAATCGAAATGTTACCAGGTGCTCTGGGCGGGCAGTGGCTGAAAGATTTGCTCATCGTACGCATCATAGTCGAAGAGGGAGTTGTGTATATACTCGGACTGATTGCAGCTGAGAAAGTTACGCTCACTCTCCTCCACATCGGGGTCATCGTCAAACGATAGAATCGGCAGCTTGATGCGTGGTATAAAATTAGAATATGCAATCTTCTTGTTCGTGGAGTAGAAGCTCAGATTAATCCAATGCGGCAGTGAGTAGTCATCGGCCGATGTGAGTGTCGTATCCTTGTTGTGGAACTTCAGCAGCGGCACAGCATGCAAAGGCTGCTCGCCCACACACACAAGATCGCTGCCGACGCCGTTGTCGATGATGCGCTGCTTGGTGATGTTGGTGAGTTCTCTATCCACTGAGAATACTCCGACACCGGGCGTAATCACAACGGACAGTTGACCAGTGCGATCGAATGTGCGATCCAAATAATGTTTCTCGAATGTATTCAACGATATGTTGAGCACCTCCAGGAAGTTGCCCTGCGTCGCCGTCGAATTGGTTGCCAGCGGTATGCGCATATTCTGACGTTCATGATAGCGCAGCACAGTCGCCTGATACGAGGTGAACAGTTTCCGCAGCTGGGCGAGCACAGTGCACCAGTCATCGTTGCGTTCGTTCTGTATAGCGACGCGATAGAAATCCTCGTAGTAGCGTCCCTTGTAATCCTGCTGCAGGCAGTCGCGCATATGGGCGGGAAACTCATCGAGGTTCTTGGCCGCATAGAAGGTGCGCGAGAAGAGGACAATGGTCACCTCGTGATTGCAGCCGAGTTTCTTCCACTTCTGAAAGAGTTCGGTGAGAAATCCATTGACCGCTTTCTCAAAGTACAAATCGCCGTGGATATCGAAATCCCACATTTCCGAGGACATTTGCAGGAATAGATAGACCATCGAGGTGCTGCTGCGGAACACAATCTTTGTGTCATCCGTAATGACGCCGCTGGCCACACGCTCACCCTGCGACCACATCTCGTACACCTGACACCGTATCTGCATGTCATTGTAGTCGATCTTCTTGTTCACATACACGCAGGTATTTGTCTGATTGATCAAATTTCAATTAATTGTTATTGCACTCTACCAGAGATACGTGAGACACCACTACATACCAGATACGTCTTGAGACGCCACATTTCCGAGCGTCCCATATACTGATCCTTGAAGGTGATCTCTATGGAGTCGAGTGCAACATCCGCCGGATTCACAATTCGCATCACGACATGCGTATAGGGTTTCATCTTGAATGCGACAGCGATGCACGACTCAATGCTGATTACATTGCGGCCCGTTTTGTTCTGTTCGTTCAGTTCGGTTATCTGCAGCAGCAGATGGGTGCCATTCTCATCGTCGGGTGCATAGATTTCCACCACATCGCCGACCTTGGCTGTCGGATGATCCTGTGGATTTAACACTAAATCGGCATCTGTGCAAATATAAAGGCAATCTAGAACGTTTTCCTTAGATAACATTGTGTGCATTTCTCACCATATGACTTATTACAGCCCCTTGTGTGCGTGATTAATTTATAGGTCTTCATTTTATTTTGTTAGCTTTACGGCTCCATTTACATTGAACAAAACTTTGTCCTTCTTCTATTCCGTTGTTTTCTTGGGTTTTGTTTTTCTTTCGTTTACTGCTTGTGGGATGGTATTTAAGTGTTGGCTAACGTCGCGTGGCGCGCAACAGCTGATGCAAACGAGTTAGTGATGTGCTCAGCACTCAAGATATCGGCAAAGCAAAAGGACTGCGCAATATAGAATCTCGCATCGTGCGGCGATAATCACTGGTGTTATCTATAGATTCTCTGTGATATAAAATATCTATTTATATTTATATAACATTTCTATTTCAAGCAGTTGGCCAAAAATTCTGCAGCCAGTATCGATACTTGATATTTTATTGGCCTAGTGACCTTTGTACCCTCATTTTGCACGCTTATTAATTACAGCGATAATGTTGCCCATTTAAAAACGAACAATTTCAGGCAATCTATAAACTCTAAAATAAATACAAAATATATAATATAAATATAAAAACGATATTGATTATAATTTCATTGAATAATTTTTTTATTATATCGCAATATCAGTGAATACATTTGACTAACAGTTTTGTCAGACAGTTGCCTGGAAAAATCCTCAGTTCAATAATTGCATAGCGTTTTGCATTTCAACTTCCACAACAATTATTATTTTTGTTTTTCTCGTGGGTGTGTTGGGCGTATAAAGTATGTATGTATTTATGTTTTAATGTCTGTATGTTTCTGCTAGTGTTTAGTGTGTCGCATTTAATTGTTGATTAGAACTCGTAACCGTTGCCATTGACGACAACGATCTTTTCGGCTGATAATGTCTTTCTCTTTTTTTTTCGTTTTGTAAGCGCATCTATTTATACATAATATAATAATTATATATATGTATGTATATTATGTAGCTTAAGGCATTGCACGCGCTTTAATAATAGTTGATTCGCTGTTTTTGGACTTTGCATAGTTCTTTTTTGTTTTGTTCTGGGTCGCTCACCAGGATGCGTCGATTAGTAGAACGTGGATAAATATGATTTATTTGTAAGTATTTATGAGTGGGCGAAGGATGTAATTAACAATTGAAGTGTGTCGTTTGTTGTGTGTGTTCTCAAATCTCCCAACATGCTCTGCTGCTTAAACATAGACAAAACTACCACACACACTCCTAAATAACTAAAACGAGTACGGGCTACAATTAATTACAGTTACAAACTAGCGTTGTTTTTAAGGACCGACGACTAACTACTAACGGACTAACTCAACTCAACTACAACTCCGACGACATCTCACATCGCCACAGTGGCAAGGACAACGGTGATGTCGTCCGGTTTGCCGCCACGCGCCTGTATATTATTGCGACGCGCACTGATCGCAAAGGGGGAGAGGAACTCGCTGTTGAGGGACAGAGTGCGTGCCATCAGTGCCAGAGTATTTGCTGTCATTTGTAGCTTGACGGGATCCCTTTCGCCCTCAACGTCGCGCAGCACCTGCAACATCAGATCCTCGGGCACATTATCGAAAACGCCATCGGTGGCGATCAGTATGACATCACCCTCTTTGACGGGAAAATTCATTGTGTCCGCAGATTCGGGACTGTCGCTGAGCACATTTGGCCCATGGCCGGGCGGGGGCAGCGATAGTTGGAAGGGTGTGTTAAAGTAGTGCTGTTGCTCCTCCGATTTGTGGACTATTTCACCGGCACGCACCACCATAAAACCACTGTCGCCAATGTTGGCTGTGTGCACCGTGCTCGTCTCACGATTCAGGATGAGCACACAGGCTGTGCTGCTGCCCAGAATGGGTTTCTTTTGCTCCATTAGCTCGCAGTAGCTGTAGGCAAGCAGGTTGACGGGTCGTTGCGGATTGAAGTGGGTGCAGCGCACCAGGCGCTCGCATGTGCGCATCAGAAACGATGAGAACTCGCCCGGATCGATGCCGTAGCTCCGCCAGCCGCCGACACCATCGGCCACGCCCATCACATCCGCCTGCTCGGTGGATGCTTTGAACCAGGAGTCTTCGCCGTATTTGCCCGGCTTGTATTTGTGTCGCAGATTGTCCTTGGCAAACCCACAAACCACCGAAACGAATCGGGGTCGAGATCGATTAGAGTTTGGCTTTGCAGCACCTTTGGTTGTGGCACCCGTTGCCGAGTCGAGCAGCGTTGAGAAGCTACTGCGTAACGCCCGTGATATCAGACGCGATGTCCAATTAAGCGAATGCATCGCAAAATAATATTCTTTCGAAACGCGTCCTCGTAATTGTCGTTTAGTCGTTATGCACACACACACATATATATGCAGCTAGTATATCGATTTTACACAGTGTACATCTATTCGTGAACTCTGACAGATTTAATTGGCATACGCAACCGCTTTTAACCAGTTGCGAGCCACTAATTTAGCAAATTTACGTCCTAATTATTAACGAAAATACAACTACGACAGAGTTATGTGATACACTTTTTTCCATTAGTCGTCTGGCTCACATACGTCACGAGAACAGGGATGTTATTCAGCAGCATTAACATGGCTGTTGATAACAGCAAACAAACATTATACATTGATCGCACTTAATTTTTAAATAATCAACCTATTTTAAATGCTAAATTACATTAATTATGTTGTAAATAGATTTTAACTGAAGTTAAACAATTAACTTGCTCTAATTGACGGCTAGTTTTGGAGAAAATTGTCTCGAATTTGAATTCATTTCACTGCCAAAAGTATGCAATTAAGTTATTTTATTAACAGGTGTAACAAACCCTCGTTGCGCTGTTATACCATATGTCAAAGTCACATGGGGCAGAACTGTCAATAAATTCACAATGACGATACCATCGCATCTTTTTTAATCGATATATTTTGACAAAATTTTTTGAAAGTCTCAAATTACACAGTAGCCTTTCATTGTTCCTAATTTTATGCCAATCAAAATGTCCGACCACCATAATTTTGAATAATTCCCCGTTCTTACATACTAACAATAGACAAATTCTAGTCTACATTTAGTTTCCTAAATGATCCTTCTATACCGAAGATGCTCTCAAAATCAATAGGAACTCCGGGGCGTAGCTTCTCGTCCGTGCCATATTGTGCGTTAGCCTTGTAGTAATCTCTGTGATCTTCGATCTTTTTACCCCAGATCGTAGTACTTTCCTCAATGGAGCCATTTTCACCACCATACTCCTTGGGCAGATATTTCAAAGGAAGCTGTTCCATCAGAGAATCAATATTGCTGTGAATAAAGAGTCGCCCCTGTTGTTTCTTTGACATCATGGGCTTAATCATATTGAAGACGGTCTCAAATCCGGGGATTACGTTGACAAAATGCTGAGCCTTGGGTCGTATGGGGAACGCCTCCTCATTGAATACAGTCATCTTTTTCGCCAAACCCGGCGTCATTTGAAACAAGTGCGATGCAGTCGCACCCTTCATATCCATAATAAAAACCACTCCGCTTATAAGAGCATCATCATCCTCTAAAATTGACAATTCCTGCATAGCTAGACCCACTCGCATAACATCAGTTATTTTATATTTATCAGCTGGTGTAACGCCCATTCTAAAAATGCCCACGCGAGCTCCATTATACAGATTAGGTAGGAAGATAATGGGTCTGTTTATGACATTTAATACATTAATAAGTGACCTTCGTATCGAGTTTTTGGTCGGCTTACCCCAATCGTTGAATTTCTCGAAACTTCGGGTCGTCAATATCCGTAATGTTAAATAGCTCCGGGTATTTGGTGCGCAACGTGTAATATTTATCCAATTTGGATTTGGTTCGCTCCAGACTGTACTTGCAGCCGCGCAGAAAAGCGATCAAGAATTGATCATCTTTGCGAGAATTAAGATGCGGTTGCTGGTCAATCCATGTCTTCAATGTCTCCAGGTCGGCTTCAATGCGCTCAGGAACCTCGTTGAGGTACTCCTTGGCCTTTGCTTGCAGTTCCGCGGAGAGTGGTCGTATTTGGGGTGGCATATTTAAATGTTCTGAGAACCGCTCGTCACTACCTCAATCACTGACTATTGGACGACTATTGATAAGTAAGTACGTTCATATGCGCTGTAAGTTATTGCTGATTTGATTAGTTTATCATTTTGCGATAACATTAATGGCCGGCCATATACCCAACTTACCCGGCCTTCTAAAGTATGTATTTCATCAGCGAACTTAAGCAGTTCATAATGTAAAAAAAACAAAAAAACCAAATTCATCCAGGCACTTTTCAATTTACTGGCGTGCTATAATTTAGTTGCTCTTCTTATAGTCTATTTCTGGAAGGGATAATAATCTAGGCCTGAATTGTAGTTATATTTGGGCTTCTGTTTCCTTTTCGCTATATCGATAATCTCCTGCACATCCTTACGGTATGCCGGTGGCAGCATTTCCTCATGCAACGTGCACTTGTGCTCCTCCGGCTCCTCCACCCGGAAGATGTAACGGCGTATGATATCGATGTCACGCCCGAATTCCTCTTTCAGATCCGATATCTTTGTGGGTGCCGTATCAAACGTAATGGTAAAATGTGTCGCCTCCCTATGGACGACTCCATGTTCGCTCACTTTGTGTGGCAAGGCGCGTGTTCCAAGATTCTCAAGTTTGCGTATAATGCCGCCTTTGTCGAATATAGCTTCAGCTGTTCGCTTTATCACCGAGATCAATTCCGGCTGGAATAAAACGCACATTGTTAATATTTAATTTACATAACTGTGCATTTGCATTTGTTTTTTTATTTATACTTTACCCGAGGCAGTTGCCGCAATACCAGAGCCAATTCATAGGAGGGCATTTTATCGACTTGTGGCAACTAAAAATTAAGGCTCGTTTTGCACAATTAAGTTATTATTATTATTATTAGTATTAAATTACAAATGGTACAAAAAGCAATAAAATTGTTTTGGTTAATGTGAACAGTGTGACCAACAAAAGATACAAAAAAAAAAACCTTATTAGCACAACAGCTGTGAAACACATTTGATGCATGCTTTCCGGCAGTGCGCCAAATATGATTTTTTATTTATAAAATGTAGCTGTTTGATAAAGAAAAAGAATGAATATAAAAATACAAGACACAGAATGAAAATTTAAATCAAAAGGATCTTAAACATAAGTACACAGCATGTATAAGCATGAATTTTAAGCTTTGAAACGGGCAGCCCCAGTCGTGGTGGTGATGTACTTATTGCTATCGATGCAGATTTGTCTTCGGAGTTAAATTGAATATTAATGGTGTAGTCTTCTCATTTATCTGCTATACCTTCTGCTTCCTTAAAGCTTTCTGATCGTGATTTTCTTGTTGTTCTTGGTAACTTTAATGTCACTGGAACAATATGGACTTCTTTTCCTGACAAGTGTTTTCTCATTCACGACTCAAAATGAGTTTCTTATGGACTATACATATGATATGATATGATATTACAAATTCTTTAAATAAAATGCATTATCTGATTTTTGTCTTGGATCCTTCCTTCTTCTCTGTGTTCCGTTTTGAACCCATTCCCTATCCTGAAGATTCCTAGCACCCAAAGTTGGAGGTGTTGTTTGATGATTCATCAATATCTGCATTGTTGTCCTCGCTGCCTGTCACTAGTATACTTGGCTGGCTCCCAACTCCACTCCCCTAACCATTTACAATTGTATTTATTATGTAGTCTTTTAGTTAACTCCCTTTCTGTATTTGTGTGCAGCAGATTTCTTGTAATATAATAAATGCCTAGGAACTATGCTATTGCAAATGTGATTTCAAATTGTTTGCGACAATCAAGTTTATCTACATTGTAGAATGGTTCCGATTTAAAAGTCGATAATATTATCTTAATAATATTATATTTTTAAGAACACTTCAGATTTCTAATCAAAGCAGAATATTTACCTTTGTTATGGAATAATTTTAGCAATTGCCAATTTGACATATAAAAATGTATTCAGTCAGTGAAATGTGGACTTATCAATTAAACAAAATAGGCAGCCAAGCAATTGAAAGATTAGTTTCGAAAGTAGTGCTTTATCAAAAACTTATTCGAACATTGAACATCACTTTTTCTTTCACAAAGTATGTACTCAAAAGACGAGACATCTGAGATTAGCTTTACTGTAGCCGATGAGGATGCGTGTTTGGGATGCGGCACTTTATTAATTGATAAGGCACAAATGGAAGAGCACATTTTATTCAGTTCTTAGCCAGAACATGAGTACTAGTTAATTTATGCAAATACTATTGAGTTTTCCAGTTCCAATCTCTTACTTTAAATATAAATGTTTGTTTATGCTTATCACTGTTTTTTTTATTTATTATTCTTTGAAAGGTGGAAAAAAAATATATGTGTCTCATCGATGTCATTATTATTCAATGGCTCATTAAACTCAGCAGGCTCTAAATAACAAAGTCTCGTCTTTCGAAAGTAATAAACATTAGGCTTGGAAAAGAATTTGATGTTCTGATTGTATTGAGTGACATGGCATAAAAAATGTAGCGACCCAATTCTAGAATCGAGTCCCGGCATAAAACCGAACATGTTTTTCGACATAAACTATCATAAATGTCGCGAAGCTGGCAATGGCACTACCCACATCATCTGATTTTCTTATTCTTCATTCTATTATTTTCTGACGATTATCTGATGCAAGACCAGTTATAGGGCAAGCTGCCCACCTGGAAAAACATTTTTCGGTCTCTCAGTCGGACTCATTAGAAAGAACATTTTTTTTGGGTAGGCTATTTCAATTCGCATCGAATATCATTTAAACAAGCACTCAAAATTCTTATGTCCACCGCTCACGATATAAAAACCAAAGACTCGCTCTTAGCTCAGGTCAGTCTATAGTTGTTGTTGGACTAAACCACAAGAAGACATCATGGAGGCTCATTCCGTTCTCGCGGCACTGCTGCTTGGTAAGTTTATGCGAAGTATTGACTAAGAATCCTTTAACTGAAGGATTTGTTTTCGTTTTAAGGCATTTATTGCACGGCCAGTGCAACATTATTGAACTGTAATTGTGAGCCAGGGCCAAGAGGACCACCAGGACCACCAGGACCGCAAGGATCACAAGGACTGCCTGGTCTTTCAAGTGGTGGTGGCCTAATTGGTGGAGGTGTTATTGGTGGCGGTGGACTTTGGCCACCGTTTCCAGTGCCCCCATTTCAGGGACCTATGTTAGGTCCAAGAGGCTTCCCAGGAGCATCAGGGCTACCGGGACCACCGGGACCACCGGGACCGCCAGGATACTGTTTCCCTTGCCCGTTTAATTTCTTTGGATTACGACCAGGTTTCGGCCCAATAGTCGGACCAGGACCAATAATCGGACCAGGACCAATAATCGGACCAGGACCAATAGTCGGACCAGGATTAGGAACCGGACCAGGAGCTAATGCCATTGGCCAGGGTACTGCTATTGGCAATATTGTTATTATCCCACCGACCCCCAATAATCGCGCCATGTTCTTCCGCATCACACCCGATGGCCAATTGATCCGCCTTGAAAGTCCCAAAAATGAGCTCGCTGAGATTCTACCGAGTAATTTCCAAGAAATCATCGCCCAACAGTCTGCCGTGCCAACAGCTGCCTCCTCAGAAACAGGCATAACACCACCCACAGAGTCCGCTACCGATGATCAGTCGCCCGATGGCCTGGATGAGATGTTTGCAGCAGAGACGATACGCAAGGAAAATGGCAACTCTGAAGCAAACGATTGGCGTCGTGTCCTCCTGCTGGGCGAGCCGCCAGCAACAAAGGCTGCCTCCCCAGAGCCGGGCACCGCCAAACAGCTAGAAAACAGCATGGACAGCTTTCAACAAGCGCTGATCGATCTTAGGGATAAGTATTCCTCTCTAATGCACGCTCCACGCGCCAGCCATCCACCATATGCAGTTATTGTATAGACACTCGCTTTAATAAAACACGTACTCATAATTTCAATAAAAGTTCTTGACAGAGGATAGTAAAGGGCATTCTTTGAACTTAAAATACCTGCAGGAACTGTAACTTTGGCAATACTGCTCCGATTTTAAAAACCCAGGGGCTCTTTAGTATTGCTTCTTGTTGTTATATGACTAAAGATAAGATTTAGAAAGCAATATTCAGTGTAATATTCAATCATGAGAACTTAATAGTACTGTTTAACTATAATCAAAAAAAGAAAGCACAGAATAATTTCTTAACCGACTTGTAGGTTCACAAAAGTTCACGAAAGACTTAAATTAATTCATTTAATTTTTAATTTAATTAACCGCCACTATAAAAGCTGTCATAATTCAGAATCAGTTGAACTCAGTCTTGTCAAAATCGGATTACCTTTTAATAGTAAATATTATTATTATTTACAAAGTTGCAGAAATAAACATATTTGGGTATTTCCATGGTCGTCACATTTCGTCACATTTGAACGTGTTTGGAGCACTGTTTAGAGCAAGAGGCAGTCTCTGCCGATTTTGTGGTTCCAATATATTACCAATATTTTATTGGTAATAAATTAAAACCACCAAATCGGCAGAGCGTTCAATTTTCACGTGAGTATCACGTTCACAACAATATCAATGCTCATGTACAATTTAGATTTAGAATACAATAGAACCAAATTTCTAGACAGATTTGATATCGGTCAACATAAGCCCACGTCAAGATTCAGACTTACTGATAATACATAAGAAACGTTTTTCTCCACCTGTGCCCACCGCCATGAGTCCTATCAGCAATTGGAACTGGAATAGGACTAGGAATAGGCACAGGTATCGTTGGATCCGCTGTTGCTTATTATTGATTAACATTTATCTGATAGTAGTAATAATTTAATGTCTTTTTTCGACCTCTAAATTCATACTACATTTAAAATTGAATGCATGATTCTTAGTTGAGATTCTTCTCATATCCTCAAAGTTTATCCAAGTATAAATAAGATGCATAAGCTAAAACTGTACCAACTGTTCAATTTATATAAGACCATATACTAAAAGTCACTCACTAAATCAATTACTTATAATTCAACGCGTGTGTTATATGACAAAAGATTAGATTTAGAAAGTTAGTTGTCCGAATCATAATCCAAAGTCGTAGCAATATTCAGTCTAATAATATACAATCATGACAATTTCATAGTATAGTTTGCCTGTAACAAGAACACAAAATCATTGAATTTCAAGATAAGAACAACTAATAATTTATTAACCAATTTATAGGTTCACGAAGGATCCATTACAAATAAAGCTGTCATTGTACAAAAATAGTAAACTCAGTAATGGGATTCAAGTTTCCGTCAAAAACGGATTATCTGCTGATTATAAACATACGCAAAGGGTAAATACATTTTTCAAGTGTATGGAAATGTATGTTTTATTTTTAGATTGTGAATACCATCTACGTTAAAATCCCAAAAATAGTATAATCAAATGTCACGACAAATTATACCAACTGACATTCATCAACAGTAATCTTTAGACTATGTTTTTAATGATATCGCGTTCGACTTTTAATTAAAGTTAGAATTTATTCAAGCTGCCAATCAATCACAGGCTGTTTTTCCATCGCCAACGCAGGCGGCAAAGGCCATCGTGTGGGGAATGGAGTTCTGCTCGTAGACACCAGTGAAGAGATGCGCCCAAGGACCCGATGCAAATACTGCAACGTCCTCGCCACCGTGCGTCTCGGACTCCAGGGGAGCAGTAGCGGGGAATAGCTGTTCAAAATCGTTGCCAGTCAATAGGGAGTTGGGGTCGACACGCTCGTGTGCCTCCTTATCGTAGTAGATGTCGAAACTCTTGCCATTCGCATAGCTCAATGGCAAATAGGATTTGCCATCGGTGCCCGGGGTTTCGGCTGCGCCAAAGATATCACTGCCTCGCGGCTGATAGCCACCCAGGCTGAAGGCGTGCGAGTGATCCGACGTAACCACAATCAGTGTATCCTCCTCGCTGGTCATCTCGCGCGCACGCCTCACAGCCTTCGACAACTCGGCGGTCTCATCCAGCGCAATGCGCGCCATTGTATCGTGATGGCTAATATCAATTTTGCCACCTTCCACAAACAGGAAGTAACCGTTCTCCTCGTTCTCCAGCATCTCGATGGCCTTCTCCGTCATCTCCTCCAGCGTGGGCTCATTGTTGTCCTCATCGGCTAGCTGCTCCAGATGGTAGTGCATGTGGCTCTTGCTGAACAGACCCAAAAGACGATCCGTTTCTTTGGGATCAACCTTGAGCAACTTCTTGCGATTCTTTACGTAGGTGTTGCCCTTGGACAGAGCCTCGAATTCCTCGACCAGATTGCGGCCATCTGTGCGACGGCCCTTGTCATAGTGCTCGGGATCAAAGAAGTTACGCTTTCCGCCGCCAAGCACGACCTTCAGTTTGCTGCCCACCTCGCCATGGATGAGTTGCACTGCAATATCGTCCAATCCGGTGGCCAGCTCACCACAAGCCTCTTCTAGTAATGCATTATTCTCCCATTCACGATCGGCAGTGTGGGCATAGACGCCCGAAGGAGAGGCGTGTGTGACACGTGTAGTGGTCACGAGTCCAGCTGCCTTGCCCGCATCCATTGCCCATTTGCCCAAAGAGAAGACGTGATTCGCTTCGTTGGCCATGGCCAGGCAATCGCCGCGTTTGATGTGAGCATTGACACCAATGGTGCCGTAGTTGGCCTTGACGCCGCACAGATACGATGTGGATGTTGACGCCGAGTCTGGCACAATCTTATCCACGCAATAGGTCTTGGATAGGCCCGTGTAGGGGAATTCCTCAAATGATAGCTTCTTCTCCTCGCCGCCAATATAGTTTCTAGCTGCAGCCAACGTTGCCAGTCCCATGCCATCACCCAGGAACAGTATAATATTCTTTGCACGCTTTGTATTCCGCACATAGTTCAGCTTCTCCTGAATATGCTCCTTGCTGGCCGACAGCCAATAATCCTGTGTGTCCTCGCCGTTAATGTGTTTCGCGCTCATACGTGCACTTGATGGCAGAAACGGATGCATGAACTCTTCGTCATCATCCTCGGGCACCTTGCCCGGCACTGCTACGCCCAGCACACAGTCGGCCAAGAGTAGCAACGGCAAAAGACCGCTCAGAAATCGTTTAGTTAGCATTGTTTTCTTAACTGGTTCTCAGCTCGGGAGTTGAGCAATCACTGAACTGGGCAGACGCTGAACGGTGCTACTTTATAGAAGCGCTTTTAGCGGCTGCAATTAATTTCAAGTGATGATAGCTCATTTTCGCGTGATGTAGTATTTATGGGCACTTCTGGGGAAGGTGCATGTGTCAAAACAGCACTTGAGCTGTCGATCGATTGACACATTCAAATATCACACAATACCAAATAATATACGACTTGAGTAGCGGGATTACAATAACAAAGGCCCATTTTGTTGGCTATATAACCTTGCCTGCTTCTCGATAGCTCAACAGTCTAACGTTAGCCGTCGGACGGATCGAAATTAAATCGAAAGTTCCGAACAAATTTTACCAAATGGCAAATAGTAGATTTAAGAGTACTTGCTTGCTGCTGGCAATTCTCGGACTGGTCACCTGTCCAGTCTGGGCTGAACCAACCGATGAGCAGGATAATGGTGAGTAATGTCAAGAAGTTCTTGATGGTAATCTTTTTAGTGGCATTTCTATTTTTTCTTTGATTTATACATTTAATTACACTTACATATAATATAGAAATCTTATCGCAAAAAGATTGTTACACTCGCCATCACGTTAATCTATTAACAATATTCAATATATTTGATCAATAATCTATTTAGTGTATCTACAAATCGATTAATTGTAGAAAATTTGAGTTTTAAACATTACGAAGCAATTTTGATTACTATCTGTGAGAGACGATTAATCATTATCAGACAAAATATTACTTACGTCTTATGAATTGAAATTTGATTAGCAATTTGATTTATGATAACCAAAAACAGCACAACATCCACGTTTGCAAATCTCACGTGAATTTGTCGAAATGGCCGAGGAGTTGGACACACGTTTCTGGCATGATAAGGCCCAATCCATACTGACCGATAAGCTGGAGCACCACAAAAAATTGAATGAGAATCGTGCCAAGAATGTGATACTCTTCTTGGGCGATGGTATGTCCGTGCACACGATTGCCGCGACCCGTGCCTTCATGGGTGATAGCAATAAACAGGTCTTCTTCGAGAAGTTCCCCTATGTGGGTCTGTCCAAGACCTATGCGGTGGATGAGCGCACTCCAGACTCGGCCAGCACGGCGACGGCGTATTTAAGTGGTGTCAAGGGCAACTATGGCACTATTGGCGTCAATGCGAAAGTGCAACGTGGCGATTGCCACGCGGCAACTGACAGCAGCACACACACGGAGAGCATTGCCCAGTGGGCGCAGGAGGCGCGCAAATGGACGGGTCTGGTGACAACGGCTCGGGTGACGCACGCCTCACCCGCTGGCGTTTACGCCCATGTCGCCGATCGTAAATGGGAGCATGATGGCAAGGTAACCAAGGATGGCTGCAGTGCCGAACTAAACATCGACATTGCGCGACAGCTGGTGGAGTCGCCAGTCGGCAAGAATTTGCGTGTGGTGCTGGGTGGCGGACGTGCCAATTTCCGTGACAAGAGCATGGCCGATGAGGAGGGATATGCGGGCAAGCGCACGGATGGGCGCGATTTGATCAAGGACTGGCAGGAGGATAAGCAGCAGCAGGGCGCTGATGCACACTATGTCTGGTCACGCAGTGGTCTCTACAATGTGGATCTCAGCAAGACGGATTATCTGTTGGGTCTATTCGATGCCAGCCATTGTAGCTACCATGCTGAGCGGGAACATGATGAACCCTCACTCTCCGAGATGACAGAGGCGGCCATCGATGTGCTGAGTCGCAGTGAGAATGGCTACTTCCTGTTCGTGGAGAGCAGTGGAATTGACGGGGCACATCACGCGACAAAAGCACGCAAGGCACTTGAGGAAACCGAGGAGTTTGCTCGCTCCATTGAGCTGGCCCGCAGTATGACCTCGGAAGAGGACACGCTCATCGTTGTCACCTCGGATCATTCCCATACAATGACCATCAACGGATATCCGGTAAGTTGCCTATTAATGCAGCTTTAATTTTATACTCAATCGCTATTCTTTTCTGTGCAGTATCGTCGCCAAGATATCCTCTCACTGGCTCCGAATTTGGCCACCGATGAGGTGCCCTTCACCATACTCTCCTATGCTAATGGCCCGGGCTTTGTGAATACCTATGACGATGGTGGCCGCATGGATCTGACGAATGTGGATACCACAGATCCAAACTTTCAATTCCAGGCCACAGTACCACTTGCGTCGGAGGCCCATGGCGGCGAAGATGTGGGCGTCTTTGCATCCGGTCCGCACGAGCACTTCTTCTCCGGCAACTATGAACAGACGACGATTCCCGCTCTGATGGCCTATGCCGCCAATATTGGTCCCTTTGCCAAGAACGAACTGAGAAAGTCTTAGTTTGAATAAAGTGATCATTGTGATTAATCTGCTCATAGAATAGGGTTCTAATAAGTTTTTATAAAGTACATGAAGTACATGAAGTGGGTGGTGTCCTACAAAATTAGATGGTAGATTCAGTTGTGGATTTATCACTCGCTGTCAGCAGAAATAGACAAAAAATAATATTAAAAGTGATATATTTATATAAATAAGAGCAGATAAGTCTGGTTGCATATTTTGTGTATATTATTTACGATCACTTTGACTTTCAAAGGGCATTCACTCAAAAATTAGTACTCAAAAACACATAATTATTTGTATTCTACGTACATGTAAGTCAAATGTACTTTCGTTTAATTATTGGTTTGCTTTGTTTGTTTGTTTTTCTTTTATAGTTTTGTATAAATTTTCGTTAAATACATGTCGTATCATGTTGCTTAGGCTAAATTCGACTCTATTTGTTTCAAGTCAATCGCTCTATTTACACTTGTTTTATTTTCTTGTAGAAATCAATAGACTAAATGTTAAATTGGTTCACAATGCAAAACTATAGCTATAAAAAATATGTCTAACAATAAATGCGCTTTCTTTACAAAATACAAATGGTAAATGATATAAAAAAAAAGAAGATAATAAATGATGCTGAATAATTGCCAGGGACTCGTTGCATTGTTAAAATAATATATCTAGTTTGATGATACAAGAAAACTACTTAAGTCTAGAATTTTATGATGTGTCCAGCTAGTTGGGTGTTCTAAGTACATACTATACATTGCGAACGGGATTCTTAAAATAGACTTTAGGCATGGGTTTAAATGGGTGCGTGCAGTGGGTTTGTTTCTTTTTATAAGGTCTCCACCAGCTGCGCCGGCGGCGGATGCTGATCAACATCGGGAGTCGCTTCAGCAGGCGTAGCCGTCGTCTCGTCTTCATTGAGATCGGTATTGGCCTCTTCCAGGCCGGTATTGCCCACATCAAGATCTAGTGTCTTTGGCAGCGGTCCTATTTTCTGCAATATGTCCACGGGCATAATTTCACGCATCGTCGGCACCGGCTGTACGGTGAAATGTGACGACAACGTGGGCAACGGCGGTGGCGTAAAGTATGGTGACACCAACGCTGGCGGCGGCGTTAATGTCAAGGGCGGTGCTGTCAAAATGGGAACGGGTCCGGGTACAGGCAATGGCAATGGCAGGGATACAGGCACTGGCACAGGCGCTGGTATCGATGCAACGGAAGGCACGGCCGATAGCACAGGTGCTGGTGCTGGTGGATAGCAGGGATAGCTCTGTGCGCCCAGCACGGGTATCGGTTGTGAGGCGATGGGAGGCGGTGCGGCGGGATGGGGCACCGTTGCCATTGGCGGTGGACCACGCAAATAATGTGGCAATCCATGCTGCAGTGGTGGCGGCGGATGCTTACTAAAGAACTCCTGCAGCATGGCATCCGCTTGCGCCGGCAACGGCGGTGGCCGATGCCTCAAAAACGCTGGCATTGGTAGGCGTCCAGATTTGACCAGCATGGCCATATACTTGGGATCGAAGCGGGGTGGAGGATGCGACACTAATGGTCGCAGCTTGCGCTCCCATGACTTAACAATGACGCCCTTCATCGGCTCAAAGTGATAGTAGCGGAATCTGGGCTTCTTTTGCACCAGCACAGGTTTCTCCTGATTCGGCGGCTTCGGCGCAACTGGCGGCAGTACCGCTGGCATCGCCAACAGCTGTTCGCGGATGCGCTGCAATCGAAGTGCCATGGCGGCACAGCGATCACGGCACAGACTCACTCCACGCTCCACGGCTGTCTCAATCTTGATGCGATCCTCGCTATCGCTCTCGTAAGTGGGCAACACGTTATCCACAAAGTTGACGCGCTTGCGTTTCGGTTTGCTGTATGTGGCGGATAGTGAATTGGCAATGATCAAGATTTGTACATTTCAATTAAGATTTCAGCCGTCTTACCTGTTGTCCTCGGGTGGTTCTTCTTGCACAATGTCCGGTATATTCGCTAGTTGCATTGCTGGCTCCATGGATGGCACAATTTCCAGCACATTACCCTTTTGCACGGCCACCTGCACAACGGGAGCCATAGGCAGCTCTCGCAGCACTGGTATTGTTGACGGTGGCATCAGGCTGACAGCATTGTAATCGTAATCCATGGGTGCAGCAACCGCACCCGAAGAGTACTCCTTGTATTGGGCATAGGCCTGGTCCATGTTGTAGGCGGTGTCCATGTACGCCGCATAGCTATCATACTGCTCACCACTCGCATCCTGCTGCATCAGCGACATATTATAGTAGTAGGCAGCCGCCTCCAATCTCTGATTCTCCACAAAGTAATCATCAAAGATCTGGGCGTGCGGCGATCTCGATCTGCTTTTTGATCTTGTATGGCTGCGTCTGCGCGACCTTGAACGGGACCGGGACTTTGTCCAGCTACGTCGCATCGGCGGCGACGGTGGCTTGAAGGGCAGTGGTGATCGCGAAAAGCAGCGCTCGCGACTGTAGGAGCGACGTCGCGAGATCTTCGGTGGTGGTGAGCGTGGACCTAGCATCTTGCACGGCGGCGACAATGAGCCGCGTCGTCGTCCCAGCGTCGGCTTTACGCTTCGCCAGCGCAACGGACTCCGACTGCGCGTCCGACTGCGACTCGCACTGCGGCTGCGACTGCGACCCCCACCCAACCGTCCTTTGCCAAAGCGTGGTCGTCGCGACAACAGCATCGGACGACGTCGTCGTGGACTTGGCGAACGTGTTGAGTCCTTGCCGCGACTGGGTCGCACATTGCGGCGGAAACGATTGCGCGATATCGAACGGGATCGGGAGCGTTCGCGGGTGTGTGATCGTTTGAGTTGGTGCTGCTGCTGGTGTGGGTGGTGTTGCTGGTGTGAATGGTGATGTGGATAGTGTTGATGTTGCGAATGCTGATGCTGCTGGATACGCGGCTGCTTGGTGCGGGTCTCCACTATGGTGGGCTTCACAATCGCTATCTCTTTGGGTGGCTTGGTAAGCTTCTCCTCGAGCGGCTGTGGCTGAGGCGCCACTTCTGCTTCATCCTTATCGAAAATAGCGGGCTTTCGTGAGAGTTTAAGGGGTGAAATTGTTAGCTTGATGGCTTCACGATTCGCATCAAAGATCTTATTAATTGGCGACTCTGGGATTGGCAGCTGTGTCTGCTCTTGCTCCTGCTGTTCCAGTGGTTGCTGCTGCTGTTGTTGCGCATGTTGTCGCTGCTGCTCCTCCTCACTGGCTGGTTTCAGTTCTGGCTTCCGGTACTTGTTCATAATGGCATTGCGCTGCATGAGGAACAACGATTCCATTTTCAGCAGCTCCTCGCAAATGTCATCGCCCGAGTCATAGTTCTCACGCATCATCTGAATGCGCGCCAGATTATCTTCGAGGCTCTTCAGTTTGCGCAAATCCTTGCTGACATTGTTCTTCTTGTGGCTGAGCAGCTGTTTGCCACCAACTGCAACGTCTCGAGCATCGCCAGCAGCTGGTTGCGCTTCCAATTGTTGCTCCTGTTGCTGCTTCACTTGCTCATTATTGTCATCCTCATCGGTGCTGGAATCATCATCATCATCGTCATCATTGTCATCATCATCGGAGCTGCTGCTGCTGCTACTGCTGCTGCTTGTCGTAGCTTCTGTATCACTCGATGATTCTTCGGCAGTGGAATTGCTTAAGGAACTATTTGTGTTTGCCTCCGTTGTGGCAGCTGTTGTTGCTTCACTTGCGTTGCCGCCCATTTTAATACTCTTCATGAACTTCTCGTACAGATCCTGTATGTTGATCAGCGCCTTGTCGGGCACAGCTGGTCCTGGTCCTGTTACTTCGGCTGCTGCTGCTTCAGTTGCAGCACTGGCTGTTGCAAGCTGCTGTTGTTGTGGCTGCTTGGATTTAGGTGGCGGTGTGCTTTTTGTATTCCACAGGGAATTCGAATCCTCATCGTCGCCGTTCAAGCGTGTCGCAATTGTGGATGCCGGATTTTTGGGCGTATTACTGTCCCCAAACGCCATAGAGTCATCGTTCTCCCAGTTGTCTATGTAGTCATCTGTGTCGGGACTGTGCCCATCCGCCTTATTGGCAGCTGTCGTTGTCATCAGCGTCGCTGGCGGTGGCGGTGCATTGGCAGCCAGGACACCATTGCGCACGGGCACATCTCGCTCGGTGTCGCGTTGCGGTGGTAGTGGTGGCGTTGTATCGCGCTCCACTTTGATTTGTCGCACTGTGAGCAGTGGCGGTGTTCTGCTGCGATTCTTCTCTTGCTTGATTGCACGCTCCTTGAACTCATCGCTCTGCCGCTGCGCCTTCGAGTCGCGCTCTGCTCTGCTATTATGTCTGTCGCCATTGCGCTGCATGCTGTGACGCAGTGACTCCGTTGAGCGTCGGGGCGACACGCGACTGGAGACTTCGTTTAATACTATTTCTCGCTTGAAGGGATTCGTGTGGCGTTGCGGGGGCGGTGCCGTGCGGTGTTCGGGTGTGCTGCTCTTCTTGGTATGGCGGCTGCTTGAGGTGGCTGGCGATGGTTCGATCGGCTCCTGTTTGATTTGCAGGGGCGAATCCTTGGGTGCCTCCTTTTTGTTGCGATGCTCGGTGCTCTGGCGCAGCAGTTGCTCCTTTGTGGCCAGCAGCGCTTCAAGGTGCGGATCATTCTCCTCGAGCAGTGCACCAATACGTATGTGAATCTCGCTGTGGATTTTTAGTTGCGGTGTTGTCGCCGTCGCTGTTGGCTTGGGCGAGTCTGCAACTAGTGCAGCAACTGGCTTGGGTGTCATGTGTCGGATCTCCAGCGGCGGCGTTGTGCTGCGCTCCACCGTAGTTGCAATATTCATTTGGGCAGTAGTAGGTTCACCTGACAGATGATTCGGGATTGGACTGCCTGGTTTGTTCAGTCTTGGCGGCGATTCGGCAAATATATCGAAAGATTTGCTTGAATCGACTGCAGGTGGCGTTTGCTGCAGCTGCTTCTCCGCATCTTGGACAGCTGCACTATTGGCCTGTGGCAGTGGCGGCGTCTTTGCTCTGCTCTTGGACTTGCGACTTTTACTTCGACTTCGTCTATGTTGGCTGGACATGGTTTTGAGCGTGAAGTTTTCGGTGCGATCTCGTCGCTCGTCTTTAGCTGCAGTGGAAGCAAGTTTGTCGGTTGAGCGAGACGTAGTTTTATCTTTAGAGCTATTTGGGTCTCGTTGCCTCTCCTTAGAGAGTTCCCTGCGCTTCTCGTTGGAGCGATCCAGCTGCTTCTCCTTGGAGCTATCCAATCGCTTCTCCCTGGAGCGTTCCCTCGGCTTGGCCTTGAAGTGTTCGCTCTTCTCTTTGTAGCGCTCGAATCTTCTCTCTCTGGAGCGATTTCCCTCTTTGGAGCGTGCTCTCTGCTTCTCATTCGACCGTTCCCGCTTCTTTTCCTTATAACGTTCTCTCGAGCGCTCCCTTGGCCTGTCTCTTGAGCTAGCAGTTTTTGACTCCCGGGAACGTTCGCTTCGCTTCTCTCTGAAGCGATTCCTATGATTCTCTTCGCGCTCCCTAGGCGTATCCCGGCTTCGTTTACCCTGCTCCCTTTGCGCACCATCGCTGGCAGTTTCATTGGAGTTGGATGCGGGCAGTTGCGACTCTTTTGGTTTACAGCTCTTGTGCTGCGGATTGCCGCACTCCGAAACAAAATTGAAAACAAACGACACTGGTGGCTCCGATGTTGTCCAGCTGTGCAAAGACATCAAATCAAAAGTAAAAGGATTTTGTTTTTGATTTTGCTTATCGACTGATCACTGTATATTATTAGTTGTACTCACATTAAGACGGACTGCGGCCGCTTGCCGCCTTGACCTTGACCTTGCGTCTGACCGGGTGGCAGTGCCGGGCCGTAGGCACCAACACCAGCCGAGGACGACTGTTGACCTTGAATTCCATTGCATGACAATGCTGTCGAAGGGGGCGGCGTTGCGCCCCTGGATGTGCCACCGCGCTTCGGTGCCGGCGGACGTGGATAGAGTGGGGAGCGGGCGCCGCGAATGCCGCCACGCTGCATTCTGGGCATATAGCCTAAGCGAGAGTAGTCGAAACACGGCGGACGCATATGAAAACGTAGCGGACTCATGCCCAGGAAGGGATGGTGGGGTGCGGGTGGTTGTGGTGCTGCTGCTGCAGCTGCTTCCTCTTGTTTCTCCTTGCGCGCCTGCTGCACGTCCTCCACATTCTTCTGCTCATCATCGGCGGAGGAGTCCGTATCGGAGTACAAGCCCTCACTATCATCAGCATCCTCCGTTGATGCAGCCAATGCTGTGGACACCTCTGCTGCCGTTGCACTGCCATTTTCAAGAGGCAGCGGTGACGATGGCTTCTCATTGGTTGCAATTTTAGCGGTGGTCTCCTTGCGTCTGATGGCCTCCAGCTCTAAAATAGCGCGCTCTTTTTCCCCACAGTTGACCGCTGTATCGATTTGTGTCAGCTTGCGCAATGCTTTGTTCATAACGTCCTTGGCGAGCAATTTCTTCGGAGCCGGACTGGCACTGGCATTCTCTGCCTGCTGATGCGGTGGTGTTACCAACTCACCCGGCTCCAAACTATTCTCACCATCTTGCAATTCATCGGCAATGAAAGGCGTCTTCTGCGCATCGCTGACTCCGCCACAAACTCCGACTCCGCCGCCGCCTTCGTCGCCATCTCCGTCGATGCGCGTCATTTGCGACATTTTCGCATAAACTTAGCGTTGAAAATGCTTTTGGTGTGTAGAACTTGCCTGTTTTCAGTTTCAATGGCGGCGCCGCGTTTCTTTTTAACTTGCTCTGCTTTGCACACGATGAAAATATGTAGTAATCAATGCGTTTGCGGGGTGCGGGTGTTGGTCATCCTCATGGACGGTGGCGGTGGAATAGTTACTCGGTTGTTGCTCCGATTGCTGATGGACGCCCTTTCCTCGATTGTCCTCGTACGGCACACGCGCTTCGTTGCATCCACGTGCACACGTTTTGGGTTTGCTTTTGTTTGAATACTTCATGTAAAAAAGTGTTTATACATTTTCAAAGAGCTGATGTTCATTTTTGGGTCATGACTTGCGCAGACGATACTGATACTTTCAGGGCTGCAGTGCGCTCGATGGCATCGATTACACAAATACAATGATGCATTGAAAAACTAACTTTGTGTTTTGCTCTGCATATGTTTATGACATATTTAAAAATCTCCTGTTTTTTTTTTCATATAAAATAATATACATAGCATTATTTTTACTATTACTTATCTTAATAACATTTCTTAAGTTCAATAACAATTTTTGTGCAGCTTAAAGGTATGCAACGAAACATATCTTACAGTTTGAGATCCACAAACGATTAAAGACCTCAACAATCGATAAGTTGCAATTTAGTAACGATATATTTCAAATAGATTAAACGGTAGCAAATTAATTTTGTAAATTAATTTAAGGTAAATAATGGATTTGATTTTATCGCAGTAAATTGAGCGATAATGCACTTAAAACATGACACTCTACCAACATAAAGTTACTTATTTCCGCTTCCTATGCCCACAGCAAAGCAATGCGCACTCAAATGCAAAGTGCAAATAAATGACAAATAACGAATACAATTGCCATTGGGCCTGGCACCCAACTCAAGCGAAACGATTTCGGCGATTGCAATGAGGAAAAGCCACAGCGCCAGATTATGACATAGCCACAAAGCACATCATCGCACTGTAGGAAAAATAAGAAGGGCCCAGCGGCCACTTGCCACCAGCCGATTGCAGCAGACCCAAAAGATGAAGAAGAGAAAAGAGTGCAGCGAATCATGGTTTGGGTTTGGGTTTTTCGCTGCTGTGTTAGCCAGTCACAGTTTTTCTCTGCTTTGTATTTGCATGCAACTTTCACCAACTGCTGCGTCGCTATCTCTGCTGCTACTGCTCGGACTGATGCTGCTGCGACAGCTGCTGTTGATGCTGCTGCAAAGGCGAAAGGTGCAATTTAATTTGTGGCGCCCCACAATAACCTTATTCGCTTTGTCTTTGTCATTACTCGTATTTTAAGTGTAATTTTATTTTCATTGCTTTTCTACTGAAGTTTATCGCACTTCCCAAAAAAAAACTCCAAAATGTGACTTGTTATCACTTTCGAAAATCGCATTTGTTAAGTGAATTTGCAATAAGAAAAATCCACCATTGTTTTTCAAGATGTCGACAAAAAATAATAAAAAAAAACCCCCAATCAAGATAAATATTCATAAGTACATATACACTTATATATACTTATTGAAGCTGGAGCGCAATACGCGGACTTTGACATTTTGGCAATTGTGTGTTGCCATAATTTTGACACCTCGGTGTGAAAACCCTGTGCATTGTTTTCATTTACGCTTAGCCCCTGGATAATTGTAAACATGCGTAGATGGGATGAACAATGCGACTATTTGTTGCCTTTTTTGCCTTGAATCATCATTGATTTTGCATAAAATGTTGATAGTTTTTCAATGATCATTTTAGTTAACTTTACTACTTATCGTACTTTTCCACAGCTCTTTGGTTGAGGAGGCCTGTTCTCTAAATTTGAAACTCGAAACACTCCCACAGCAACAAATCCGGCAATTAACATTTCTAAATGCCATTTCAAGTCAAATATGTAGCTTCAATTGTTGTACATATAGTCGATTATTTATGATCTGCTTAGCAAATAATAACACAAAAGCATTAAAAGCGCAACGCTGCATGGGCATTGAGGGCGACATTGTTGCTGTTGTTGGTGTTGTAGTTGCTTGTTGTTGCTGTTGTTGTTGTTGTTGTTGACAAATGAACACTGCAAATGCCACTGCCTCCAGCTACAGCTCCAGCAACAACTCCACCAACCAACCAACAGCAAGTCATTGACATTCAGCACGAAGAGCCGAGCCGAACAACTCGAGGGGGCTTGAACTAGAAAACAGCCAAATGGGCTTGGCAGAACGGATGGTGTTAATCACTTAAAATAAAAAAAAAAATACATTCAAAACTAATGCCAATTGGCATTTATATACAATAACATAATGGTTATTATATTTACAATGTGCGCAAGTAAATTTCACTGCTCACAATAAAACCATCACTAATTTGCGGATCTACACGTAGATATAATAGTAGATCTCTAACAGCAATTAACGGTCTCGCTCTGCTTTTGTTCCAGTCCAAATTGATTAAATGCATTTGCTCATGCTTTCATCACATGCACACTGAGAACCCCTTGGAGCAACACATCAAGGGAGCGCTGGTGTGAGGGGCTGGCGTAAGTGTTATATTTGTGAGGTGCTAAACGCAGATAGCATCTTCTTGAAGTGTCGGAGCAGGAGGAATTATCTTTCATGCTGTTGAATCACTTAACAAACAAAAACCTGTTCAAACCAATTGTTTTTGTTCGATGACAAACTGCGAACTATTGTATACCTGTGGCCAGTGAAAGAAATAGATAATTTGGAAAGAAGGGATCTACACTATAATTACCAAGTCACAACAGAAGTACCACATCGTGATTTTTTCTTTCAAAAAAGAAAAAAGGTATCAATCATGGCAAAAAATATTGTTTGCTTACGAAAGTGGCACACGCTACATTGTTTTTACGGGAATACCCCTTAGATCTGCGCAGTATAATACAAAATCCCCGAACAGTGTACAGTCACTTAAAACTAATTCTAATTTTTAACACCAAAGCATCAATTCTATCTGTAAAATAACTATGAATGTAATTATATTTGTTATGCCCGACACAATATTACAGATTTGAAATGGAATTTTAAAAGCAAAACAAAAATAATAATAACGAAACGTGAAGAGAAATTCTAAAAATGAAGTGCATTAGTTACAGATTCGTTTTCGTTGTTATTCCTTGAGTAGAGCATTACAAATTCGTCTCAAACTATAAATAAATATGTATTATTGTTCAGACGTCGCATGACAAAAAATTGTTGATTTTTTTTTTTACGTAGAGTTTGTTTTTTTCCTCTGCTTGTTTACCTTTTTTATTTTTGTTTTTACCTCTTTTTTTTATTATTAGCTAATTTTAACCGAAATCAAAATGGCGACGCCGCTGAACAGCATCTAATGACTACAAATAAAAACATTGCTTTTTTTTTGCCGCCGATGTTGTTAATATTTATGAGATTTTATATACACATCTGTGCTTAGTTATAACTATGTATCTGTGTTTGCATAGTGCATATGTGAATGAGTACATGAATACATATGCTAGTATCTTTCACCGCTCCCTGTTGAGCAGCAAAGCGCTTTTGTTTTCCTTTTGTTGCCGCTGCTTAATTCCCAGACATGCGCCTAAGCCGGCATTGGTGCCAAGTCGTTGCTTGGTACCGTCAGCTCCCTAGTCAGGTTTGCTTAGCGTAGATAAAATTACAGTAAAAATAATCAGGAAAAAAGCACCACAATAAAATGAGAAAAATGTAATTTGTAGGCGCCTTTAATGGTTAACAATTTTGAATATCAAATAAATCCCACATTTATTTTTGCAATCAATTGCGCAGTAGACAATTTATAATGGGTATGCCATATGCATATAAACAGATAAGATATAAGAGATAAGATTTGCATCAGTGACAGGTCAGAGAATTCAGCGAAAATTTACCTCAACGCTAATTAAAAACATTTAGTTATATATTCTATAGTTTTAATATACATATAGATATAAATTTCTCCAGCTATTAAAGAGTTAGTCTCAAATTAATTTAATTTATTTCTGTTTTGATCAGAGTCCTAATATATTATAGTAGAATATACAACAACATTTTTGAGGTAACATGGGCCAAATTTTGTTAGAACTGCTCTTAGTTCTAAAACTTTAACCTTGCTCTCTCATATTGCTAGATTAATATTTAAGTGGATGAGCGATGAAACCAGAAAAGTGACTTTTGAAGTGGTAATTCCCGCAAAGCGCTTAGTTCACACAGGTTAAATAATTAAGATAGTGCGCCATTTGGTGAGACAAACAAAATCCCAGAAACTTAATTAAGATCTCTGCAAAAATCAAATTTATTTTTGTTTAATTGAACGATGAGAAATTTGTATTTAAGAGCTGAAATATCTAAGGTGCAACGATTAAATATATTACGTAATTTTTCTATAATTAAAATCGTTTGCTTATCATGGTAATTTAATTGGAGAAGCCTGCAATTGGATTACTTAGTTGGTGCAAGATTTTTGGTTTCTCATTGGGAATTATCTTTAATTAATTGGGCATTTCAGCTATGCGCCGAATTATATGCAAATCAGCAAATCCACCTTTTGAATCTGGGAACGAAAATGAAACAAACAAAGCCCTGAAAATGAAAACAAACGAAAGTCATGCTAACTTTGAAGCTGGCAATTAGTGGAGCTCTGACAGCGACTCCAAAACGCTGGAGGATGCCGTAATGTCCAAGTGGAGACGTTTAATGAACTGGGAATGGGGCGGGTGATCGCTGCTTTGCGTCGGCGTCGGCGTCGCCGTTGCCGTCGTACATTGGGCAGTGGGCATTGGCCACCTGATTGCATAAGCATAAGACCTAAAAAAGAAATTTAATAACTAATCACTCAATGGCGAGCTGAGGCTGACTGAAATTTGTGCGGCGACTGCGTTCGTTGGCTTGTGACATTTCAAACATAACAATTATGTAATTACAATAATAAAAACAGAAACATAAATAAACTGAAGATTGCATAATGAAATCTGTCAAACGCCGGTGCGGGCATTAGGTCATTGAGATGTTGCTAATAAACGAGCGTCTAGCATGATACAAAGCATTAGTAAAGCGATCATAAAACAACTCTCGAGCTCACCGCGTCCACCCTCCATCCCCCCTAATACTACCTATCCCCCCTGACCCAACTGCGGATGCGTTTGAATACGTATACCATTTATAAGAATTAAATAATAGACGCAGAGATTATACAAAGTCGTTGGCGATGCCAGCGCCAATCACCGAAAAATTACGAACACCAGAAAACAAAATCAAAAACCATAAAAATAAAGCAACAATATAAACAATATATATAAGCAAATACAAAAAATATAAATAAAAAACTTCCACTGTTGTTGTGATGGCTTATAAAAGGAATAATAATAATAATAATAATCAAAAGGTAGCGACTAATTTGAGCGGTTATATGAGAGTCATTCGTATACAGACATGAAAAATGATATTGGTTAATGATTCGGACACGGGATTTGATACACTCCAATGATATTTGCAACGTGGCGTATAAGCAATGTTATTTGCTTCTACAATTCATTTGCAGGCCACTGCGTTTTTATCAGCTCAGATTATGCACCTCTGTAATCATATATGTATTATTACTAAATCATTTCATACACAGATTTGCTGTAGTGCTGCTGAACCAAACAAATTTGGATTTCAGCTCAAGTGACTCTGAGGTTAAATGGACAAAGCAAAGCCGGCAGCGCACAGCGGCAGCTGCTAAAGCAATCAAGATGAGCCCAGGCCGCCAACAAACTATACGCTATTTATATATATATATATATATATAAATATATATAAATATATAAAATTATCTGTGTGTACTGCAGAGTGCAATGATTTTCTGTGGCCACTGCAATTATTTGAGCGGCACAGAAAACGAAAAAAGAAACAGCAACAAAAACAAAATCTGTACTACAGCAAAAGCGAAAAGTTTTTGTTTTTCGTAAGCAGCAACAAGTTTGAGTGGTGCAACAACAACAACGTCAGCAACAAGAGCAGCAACAAAGACAGCTGCCACAAAGGCGACTTGAACAACGACCATTGCAGTGTAGCAGCGACGCAACGCTGACGCCGCCGTTGACAGCGACGCCGACGCCGACGTCCACAACAAATCTAAGCCGCAGCGAGTTTTACGATATCTGAGTTTTAATTTATGTATGTGCGAGTGTGTTGGGCACCTTTAATTTGCTGCTTGCCGAGCTTTACGCTGCGCTACAAGTCGAGCATGTCATCCGATGCAGTTCAGATGACATATATAATATATGCAATATAGAACGATCATTTCAATAAGTACTATGAGCCTTTGAACCACAGTTTTTATTAGCTTGTGCTAAGTTTGATTCAGAATCAGGTTGTTCAACAATCTTTCAACATGAGAAAAGTAAGCCGTATTTCAGTTCATTGTTTGTATATTTATGTAACTATAATCTATAATACACGTAATATATACACTGTTATTTATACTTTTTATAAACCAAACCCTTCTGATGATGTAATCAATTCTTAAAATTGTTACAATGTGGAATGATTATTGGCAAAAGATCGGACTCTCCAAGAACATTTTTACTTCGATTATCAATAAATTCACTTTTTATACACATTACCCATGCACTTCCTCTTCTCTTTACATATATAAGGCCAAGCAGTTGCTAATCTTTTTTGTATTATTTTTATGGTATATTAAAAATGAACAGCTGCAATGATTAAATTCAATTTTTCTCAGAATCTTGCTCGATCTGACAGCATAGAGGAATCTCTAATCAGTCGATAGGATGTGTGTACGTTTGTCTGTGCGCAGTTTCCTGATAAACTAAATGGGAGTAGATTACCTGATCAAGCTTATAATCAGTTTTATAAACTTGATGCATGTTTACAATTTAATAATGAGCATTTTTGACTTGAATATACAAATTCAATACAAATTTAACGTTATCTTTTGAGTTTCGAACAATGCTTTTTCAGTTATCACTCGTAGGTCTTAACATTTTGCTTGTTACTTCGCAAATAATTACAACTACTGATAGTTTATAAAATCGGAATGTGAAGTTATCTGTTCTTTGTAATTTAAAAGCTATGTGTTCAAATTAGAATTATTTTTTGTACTTTAGCTACAGTTGCATAAGTCCGCAAGGCAGCTGTCAATTATTTATATGAATGATAATCTTTTTATTAACATTAATAAGTACGAGAACTGTGTGTAATACTAAATGTAATATTATTGTGATTGCTGATTTTAGATTTGTAATCGCAATTGCTATGGTCTATGATAAATGTGCAAATACTCGGAATGTGGGAATTCATCACAATATATATAAGAACCAACTCCATAACGAATGGAAAAGACTGTACAGGCAATTAGAAAAGACGAAGAAAAAGAAAAATATATATATATTTATACATATATATATAAAGTGCTGCGTAGCTGCTTTGGTAAGTCAACAAACCGCACCCGAAAGCTTTTAAGCTTGCAGTCAAGCTCGACTGCAAAGCACACAATCACACGGGCTCACACACACACACACGCATACACACACACAGACATGCGATTGTCAATGCTATTTGTGTAGCGTTTTACTCTTATTTTTATTCGTTTCTCGTTCGCTTTTTTTCAGCCGCTGCCGCCGATCGTCGATCGTGTATGGGGTTGTCTTTTGTGTGTGTGTGTTTGCGTATGTGTGTGTGAGCGGCGCTGGCAGTCGACGCTGGCAGACGAAAAAAGTTTTAAATCTGGTAGAAAAATCTGAAACGAAACGCGTTTGAGGCCTCAGACGGCGAGTGGCAGTCGTACAATAAAGACGTATTATTTTCGTTATCCACCTGGCGGACCTCTGAAAAGTTGGTCAGACAACTTTTTAAAAAAAACCGCACAAAGCAACCAAAACGGTTAAAACACTACTAAGCGCAACAAGCAAGCAAAAAAGTCAAATTAAATAGAGCTCCTTTTACTTTTTCGTTACTGAACGGCGTTTCTGTTAAAAAAAAAACAACACATATAAGTTTCAATGTAAGTGAAGAAGTCGAATGCAAAAAATAAGAAAAAAAAGAAAAAAACCAATACAAATGTCATAAAAGTGAAATTTTTGCAATATGTATGCATTAATTAATGAACAAGTAACGTTTTCGAAAGTGCATGAAAAATGGTCGAACTGTGTACAGAATGTATAATTCCAAGAAATCAATCAATGATTTCAAGGAGAAGAATGTGAATGAAAAATCAAGTCATTTATATATGTATGTATATGTATTTATCTTATAGTGCATAATAACATAGATGACCGAGAAGGATAACGTATCGATGGCTACCGTGCAACTGAAGCCCGACTATGCGGCTAGCGAGGTCTACAGCACCGCCAGCGAACCGCCACCGGTGAGTAGTAAACTACGCAATTAACTAATAACTAAGACAATCAACAATGGTCACATTTATATGTATATTTGGTCGATTGCGTTTAATGCGTCTGTTTGTCATTGTTGAATGGCGCAACTAATTACAATGTCCATTTGTCATTTACCTCTCGCAATTATTTGCGCCAACTTTATATAAGCGACAAGCAGGTCAGCAGCGATCCAAGCGTTACCTGCTGGCCCAAGCCCAGCTGCAGATTAGCAGGTAGCAATTAAAAAAATGCCAGGGTCAACTCAGCTGGCCAGCACATCCGTTGCGGGCAGACTATGCGTATGCGCAATATGTCGCTGCCTGCATCTTTTGTATTTTTGTCTGCCTCTCTGCCAGTCTGTTTGTCTGTTTGTTTTTGCCTGTCTCTCTGCACGCAGCTGCAAACGTGATCAGTTTCACTAACGAAGTCCTCGACGACGTTTCGACATGGCCTCTGCAAACTGCATGCATAAGCAATTTGGCTGCGGATAATTTTAATGCATTTTTTTAAAATTATTATTATGATTACAAGACCATTGCGAATTGCATGCAGCATGCACGGCTTTGACAATTGTATGTTTGTGTGTGTGTTGCACCGTTGACATTTGAAAACTACAGAAATAAAATCACCCCATACAGACAGAGGGCTGCCTGCCATTAACCAAATAGGTACAGCGCACAATTCTCGGCAAAGTGTGAATAGATTCGTTCCCATTTGCAGCAGCAGCAGCCGCAGCAGCGGGCAAATAGAAAACCAGTTGAATACCAAATTTGAGATCTAATACAAAAGTCACGACTGTAAATACAAAACTTCATAATGATAAACACAAACAAAAAACAAGCAACAAATGACATCAGGCAGCAGCAGCAGCAACAGCAGCAGCAGCAGCAGCAACAGCAGCAGCAGCTGAAACTGGCGCAATTATTGCACTGGTCTCGAGCTTGAAGAACTATATATATATATATACGTATGTGTAGTGCACTATGTGGGCCGCAATTGATTTGAAATTTGCATAAATAATGCATTTGCATTTTGCATTTTTTTTGTACCCATTTTTTGCATTTGAACATCCGCATCAGCAGCCATAAATTGCATTTTGTGTAGCACCACTCAGCAAATGCCAAGCGGCCAACCCACTTACAGGGTGCCCCTTACAGTGAAAGCTGGCAGTTATCTAACATGCTTATTTGATTGATGCCAAGGTTAAAGACTAAAACAAGACGTCTGTCTTTTTTTCCAGTGTATTTGCAAAATAATACATGTTAGTTGAGCTTGAGCTGAACTTTCTTGCTCATTATTATTAGACCTAATGATGGATTCAAAACAAGTTCAACTAGTTTTCAAGTTATTGATTTGCTGATGACTATTAAATTACGCGTCTCATCTCTTGGGACAGCCTTCAAAATAATTTACGTAGACGACCAGCTTTCACCGTCACTTTACTTTAAAAGCCATTTGAAACCCTCATGCAACCAACTCATTAACCTTTTATTTTTTTTGTTTTTCTCCCCATGTTATGTGTGTGTGTGTCTATGCCTTTGTCCAACAACCACAAAAATCGTTTTTCTTTTACACACTTCAACCAAAAATTGTGAATGCAAATCGAAAACGCGATTGACAATCACCAAAATAATAATAAAATAAAAAATATATATATATGTATTTTTTCCCCCTCGCACTACACATAAAAAACCAACAACAACAAATATGTAAACCACAGCTGGGATTTTTTCACTTTAATCATCAGGTTTGTCGTTCAAGTCTTTTGTCTTCAACTGCACAAAAAACACCAACTACATAAATAATGAGCCAACAACAATAACAACAAAAAACTCAACAGCAGTAACAAGCGACAGCTGTTTTTTTTTTAATGTTGTTTCTATTGTTGTTTTTGTTGTTGTTGCATGTAGCTTCGTCTAACATTCGCCAAAAAAACAACAACATCACTTCACTTCACTTTGCCACACTTCATTTTTTTACACACGATGTCTGCTGCTGATGACTTCGACTCACTTTCGCAATTGCATTTGAAAACAACTAAAAAATGAGCACGTAGCACATCACTATAGCAATCTAAAGGTGTAAAATTGCACATTTCGCTGCACACACACACACACACACACACAGCTGTGTGTGTGCCTCACCTGACTGACTGCGCCCACACCCACAATACAGCAAAGACTTTGAAAAGGCGTTAAAACTCTCCTTAGTATTTTGCCTGTTTCTTTTTTTTCGGCACTGCTCTGTTGGCATTTCATTTCCTTACATTTTTGCGGTCGTCTTTTTTAGTAGTTTGGCATTTCCTCTTATGCAAGTTACTTTATATAGTTATATATATGTGGTAGTTTGGTTTGTTTTTGACCAAAAAATATATCTCAACCTATATTTTTGACATGAAGTTGTCACTTTTGGCACCTACAATAACAATATTTGTCAAAGCACTTAACTGAATATTTTGCATAATAAAACAGAGCCACATTGCTGAATTATCTAATCAGTTCCAGTTACAGATGGCCAACTCAGTTAACAACTTGGTAAATTGGATACATTGGGCAATGCCAGCTGCCTCAATAGCTGATTCAGTCGAAACTTAAATCTTTTTCTTATAATAATATTGTAACTGTATATATATATATTTTACATTAACACTCAACTCTTTAACCTTTCTGTTTGTAGTTTGCACCTTGTACTGCAGTTTTTTTAAGCCACAAAGTCAAAGACTTGGCTTGATTGCAAGGTCAAAAAACGCTTTTACTCGCTCGAAAGGTCAACACCAAAAGAGCACGTAACACTTTTACTTTAAGTTAATATTAAAATGAAAAATGAAAAAATACAAAAAAAAAACTGAAACTAATCTAAAATTTGTTGTTGCTTGCAGGCGTACAAGCGTCAGGCGAATTCGGTGAAAATCGCCAAAATCGCCGCTTTCACCATTATCGCCTCCTCCTTCATCCTGGGCTCCTTCCTCTTGGCCTTGTCCTATGTGCAGGCCAGGGCATCCTGTGATCAGGTGCAGGCGCTAGATTCGGTACTGGAGAAGGAGCTAATGCTAGAAACGCTGCAGCAGGTGAACAAGGTAAGTCTGGCGATTGTTGCACGCCTCAATGCACACCTTAGATAAGAAATAGAGATAAGAGAGAAGGGAAAGGGGGAAAGGGAGCTATAGAGTCAAAGTACAACTTATAAAGTTAGGTAATGCCTACAATTTGATATGGTCATTATTGCTTTTTGCATCGTTCGTTGCGCATGCCACAGCATTTTAGAGTCGTCGATTAGCCGCAACACTCGAATTATTATTTTAAATTAATGATAATTACCGGAAAATGTCCGCACTGCCTACACCAATAGATTGCCAGTTTGATGCGTGTTTACTGATAATTCCCTATATATATATATATATATATATATATATACATATATATATATGACATGCACTAGCAGCTGCTGTTTACCCGCATATTTATTGCTAAAGTTAATGACTTGGAATAACCCAAGCGAAATATGATCCAAATACAGATGTTTGTAAATAAATATGATGATACATGAAATTGTACAAAATTAATAAGAAATAATCCAAACACAAATGCTGGAAAGTAGATAAAAATGCATGTTTTTTAATAAATATTTGTATTTAGACTATTTCTCGTTTGAGGCTATTTCATTGCCCTCAGAGTGTGAAGGTTTACAGAGTCTAGCGAGATATAATATATACAGATATGTATATATGTAAAGGGCTACCTGTTAGACTCAAACAATAGCTGCATAGAGTTATAAATCAAATAGATATAGATCAACGGCTGATGGAATATCAATAGGGTATAAACTTTAACCTTTGCTGTCAGCGCAAAACAATATAACTGATGTCTAGAGAGTTACAAGCTGTATATATACATACTTAATATATATGTATGTAGTATATCGTAATATTTGCCAACTTGCATGCACAATTAAGTCAATTGAATGCACACCAAGTATTGGGCACTCATTGTGCATTCACATATTCATATTCATATTCATATTCGTATTCATATTCGTAAAAATTGTATAAGTGCAAATTCAATTAGCGTGTTGCGTGCTTCCTTGAGAAATTTCACTCCATGTAACCAAATAGCGCATTAAATCCATTATAGCCTCACCATAACAACCACATGCTATGTATGTATGCTAAAATGTTAGACATGGGTCAGGTATATAGAGGCAACTATTTGCTATTAACTTGATGACGGCGCAGTTTTGTTACATGCCACATAATTCAAATTGAATAGCGTTTATAATTCAACTGTAGCCGACGTCAAACGTATGCACATATAAAGATAGAGATTTTTTTTAAGTTGTCTATCCATAATTTGTATAACTCGTAACTGTATTTTTTTATTATTTGAACATTTGCATACGAAATTATGCCGCATCATCAATATTCAATTATCGTGCAATGAAAGTACCCATAACAAACAATAAAACTAATTAAATGCAGCAGCAATTAAATTTAATGATGATAATACAAAAATACAAACACAGACACAGACACAGACAACAACACGAGTTGCATTCAACAGATGATGCTGCCAATTGGAGCAGGTTATTCAACTCGAAACAAAAATCAAACTCTCTATAAAACGCATTGTTGGCTTATGTAAAGTTTGCGGCGTTGCAATGAAAAATTCAATCAAGCGAAATTCCCATAATTTGACGCTTAACTGGACACCAAAATGGAATGGAGCTGGGACAGCTGGTGGTGATGGGAGATGGGAGACGGGAGACGGGTGCTCTGGGAGCTTTGGCAGCTTGCGACATAATCATCAGTGGCAACAAAACTAACAATTGCAAATCAAATGGCATACAAAGTGAAAGCAGCAAACGGAACACAGCAGCCGCAGAGCAACACAGCAACACAGCAACAGAGAGCAACTGCAATGTTGCATGTTGCAACAACAATACAAAAACCAGATTTACACACACACACACACACATATATATAAATATATATAGTAGTCCGCTGAAGCGCGGAGCAGCGGGCGTGGGCGCGGCAAAATGCCAGAGATCATCAGTTGCAGCAGCCGCAGCAGCAGCAGCCATAATGCATTGGCTGTCACTTCTTGCCGGCTGGCGCCGCTTGGCACCGTACCACAAACAGACAGACAGGCAGACATACAGACAGACTTGTAAGCAGTCAACACACACATATAAACGTATATATAAGCAAACGACGCAGTCGAAGACGCGTTGACTGTTTGCCATTTAAGGCAAGTTGCGCGCTCAAGTCTTTCGTTTTGGGCACGCAAACAAAGCCAAAACTTATGGCCCCAACTGACGATTATGTAATGCCAATATACACACACATACACACACCTGGAAAGAGATGAATTATAATTTATGCGGCTGTTGTTGTGCAAATTTGCCAAACACTTTGAGCAGATGTGTGCCTGATGAAAATTTTAATAATGATTGGCATTTTCGTAAAGGAAATTTGGCGCCTGTAGAATTTCAATTTTGCAAAGCCAACACTTGCGTCAATGCTAAAAATAGGTTTAATCGACAGACACTCGTACAAAAAAGTAATTGCACGCAGTCGCATTCAATTTGTAATCATTTAATTGTCATCTTTTGATGGGGCCTACGTGTCTAGTTTGTTGTTTAAAGCCAAGTAAATAAGTTTGTTTCGCAAACCGTTCTCTGTGCTGTGTAGTCTAGTGTATTGTGTATAAGTTATCTGTGCTGCTTGGCCTTGAAATTCATCAGAAATAATACACTGAAAACAAATAAACAAACACACGCATACACATACAATAGACAATTGAGCTGTAAACCAAAGTTTATACTTAGCAATTGACGAAGTGATGGCGCCGCAGGGTGGAGGCTAAGTGGAACTGGAACAGCGACTTGCTGACTTGGATTCGAGTGCTGTCAAACTGGTATTGGTTGGCTCTGTTTTTAGTTTCAGTTGCTCATTTTTGTAGTGAAATTTTTACATTTTATTTCATACGAAAAGTAATTATGTGTCACACACATATTTGCTAAAGTGAGCACATGAGGCACACAGACTTACAGTGAAAAATAAATCATGTTTAAGATTATGTTTTTATCTTATTGTACGAAAGTGTCTCAGTATTGTTCTGATTACAAGAATGATTCACTCGAATAGCGAACAATTTAGTCAAGTTAATGAGAACGTCATTCCATTCTCTGTGCATTAAAACAGCTGTGTAAGTATAAAAGCTTTTGCGTCTTTTAAAAAGCAACGATTTCTGGGATGTATAATATGTCGTCTCATTAAGCGCTAATGAGTCTTTCTAGTGTACAGATGACATAACAAGAAGATTCCTAATAGTGGAGAGCAGCTAAGTGGCATTTTCATAGGAAATGTGGTAATGCGATTGACTTGAGCAGTCGTTATCTAAATTCAAATTGCAATTGCAGCTGTCCAATTAGCTCCCTCAAGTTATGGTCGAATGTCATTTGACAAAACAAGCAAACAGAACCGAAAGCGTCGCACATCAAACCCATCATAAGTTACCGGATACGACATATAGTATTTAACATTATTTTTCTGGCCACATCACTTGATGGGCGATCTGCCCCTGGGCAGGTACTCGACGTACGCCTTCACCTTACCCTACCACCACCAAATCCACTTGGCTCCACTATCAATCATCATCAGCGGCAACAACAGAGTCGCATTGAATTAATGAGGTTTTTTTTCTTCCATTTTTTTTTTGTTGTTTTGTTCAACAAATTATTTAAATTTTGCTTTTGTGTGTGAGTTTTGTTTTGTTTTGTTTTCGGTTTTCTTTTTTTTTTTTTTTGATGTGGCGTAAAGTATGCTTAGCCACAAGCACAAAGCACGGCTCGAAACACACTCACACACAGACGCACAATTTGGGCGGCTTATATATATGTGTGTGTGTGTGTGTCCGCTTATGTAATATGTGTTTTGTCCAAAAACAACAACAACAACAACAACAGAAAGCTTAATTTTATGGCATTTTACTTTTAGTTTCAGTCACAGTTGCGTCTGACGTCGATTTGTTTATACATGTAGGTTGGGGTCACATCTTCTGACGATAACTGCTCATTGTTAGTGGAACATAACAATTGCAGTCACTGTAGTATGTAGAATACTATATTGCCACTACGTGCCTGTTGGCCCAAACCATTTTAAGTGGATTCAAACACATACACACAATACAAAAAAAATACGTCAAATACATTTCCTTGTCAAATGAAATACATGAGATATGCTAGAAAACCTTGAAATTCTCTAAATTCTGTAGCTTTGTGGTCATGGAGAATAGTAGACTAAATTTGAGAACTTGTTATACTGTAGGAAATGCAGAGAATAAATATTATTGCGAATGACTTTAGAATCGACATAAATAAAAATAAATGTTTGTATTGTGTTGCAAAGATTATCTTTTTTCCTGGTCTAAATTTGCATAACTTTTTTGGCATTTACAGGAACTACCAAGAGCTGAAGCTTTGCTGGGCAAATCAGAAGCCGGTGAGGATTTGCAAAATCTAGACCACGATGAGACACTTGCTGAAAAGAAGACAGTGTCAAAGAACGAAGACGTCAACGATCACGACAACTCCTATTCGGACAGCGATGAGACCGAGGAGATGCAAAAGTTCCCTGGCAAGATGCCGCTCGAGCTGGACTTGAGCGATCTGGCTGCTGCCATTCTGCGCAACAACAAGAAGTAAAGCACAACCAATCTCTTTAACTGTAACCGTAACTAATCTGTGACCTTATTAGATCCCGCATGAACTGCGTGGTGGAGCGCAAGCATGCCGAGGAGATTGTCGATTCGCCCTCGAAGACTGTGGCGCTGCCTTTTGGCGTCAATCTGACCACCGATCCGAAGAAGGCACGCATTACCGGCGAGCGCATTTCTATTTTCTGCGATGGCGGCGAAGATAAGGAGGAGAAGGAGGCGAAGCGTCAGCGTGAGGAGGAGGACGATTCGGAAGAGGATACTGAATCAATGCATCCCATGTTCATACCACTGCAGCGTGTGCCAATGCCATTTGGACGCATACCCGACCAGATGCCACTGACCCATATGCCACAGCGCATGATGCCGCCAGCGATGCAACAGCAGTTGCCCCAGCAGGGTCATCCATCCATCATCCTTCGCCAACTGCCTCCTCCATTCCAGCATCTGCCCATGCGTCCACCAATGCCGCCACAGGTGATGCAGGCTCCACGCATGGAGGAGCAGCCACATCAGCCCCAGATACAGACCGTGCGCATTCACATGCATCAGCTGCCCTTCCGCCCCACCTTCGACATGCCCAACGATATTCCCAGGCCCGCTCAGCACCAGCCAGAGATGCCTCAACGCGACATGCCTCCACGTGAGTTGCTGCAGCGCGAGATGGCCCAACGCGAGATGGCTCAGCGCGAGATGGCTCAGCGCGAGATGGCCCAACGCGAGATGGCCCAGCGCGAGATGGGTCAACGCGAGATGGCTCCACGCGAGATGGCTCCACGCGATATGCCCCAGATCCAGATCCAGCATATGCCACTGGGCATGGCTTTGGAAAGCGTTGGAATCACCGCTGACGATCTGCGCAACATTCAACGTATGGCCATGAATAGCTTCGCCGGCCAAATGCACCGCTTTACCGCCGGGGAGGGAGCCGACTCCAATGAGAACAACAGCGCCAACTCCAGCGAGGAGGAGGAGCAACACTCTGAGACGGCCATGCCATCTGGCGAGCAGTCGACCACCACAGAAACTCAGTCCTCGAACCAGCAACAGCAGCGGGAGCAGCAGCCAGTGCAGCAACCGGAGCAGCCGCAACAGCAGCGTGATCAGGAATCCAGTGAGCAGCAGCAGGAGGAGCAATTGCCTCATATGCAGATTCAGCGCTTGATCCTGCAGCCGCTGCCAGAGCAGCCACGCGACACAATGACACCACCCATGCCCGATCAGTCCGCACAAGCCGTGCCAGTCAACCGCATGTTCTTTGGACGCAGTCTGGCACAGCCTGTGCGCATCCCAGTGCCCATGATGCAGCCAGCCGAGGGCGGCGCCGTCTCCGAGGAGTCGCAGCGACCACACTGTAAGCAGCAAATACCAATTACCAATCCACCAATATACCTATAATTTTTACCCACTCTCTCCCTCTCTCTGTCTTTCAGTCGTCCAGCCTCGTTCCGTTTAAGTAACAACAACAACACGCCTGTGATTGCTGCTCTGCGAATCGGATCTGGTTGTCGTATTGTTTCTACAAATCAAATTGTAACTGTTTAGCGTCATCCGTTGCTCGATTCCATCGAAATTAAAAAAGAACATCTCAAAAATTAATTGCATATTTGCATGTGTAGCAGCCCCAAAACGCCAAAAAAAAGCAACAAAAAAAAAAGAAGTAAATAAAATGAAGACCGTCAATTGTTAGAAATTTTTGTGTTTTGGCCCCAAGAAATCTCTGTGTATGCTTCCCACTGTATCTCTTAACCCTATATCTACTATTTGTATATGTATTTGTATATTTTCGTATAAATATTGTATGTATAACATTCCAATCGGTCCTTTGACGTTTGTGTTATTTCAAAAAATTAAGCAAAAGAGAAATCGTATGTGTATTTTTTTTTTTTATAAATATTTGTCTACAGTTTTAATTTGTTTTTCTTTTCGCCTCTTTTTCACAAATAAATCCGATGAAATTTGTACATAAATTATTGTATTTTATTTTTAATACTTTTTTGTAGCTTTTAGTAAGTTAAAAACAAATGAAAACAAAACCAACAAATTGTACATTTTTTTATATACATACATTTTGAAGCGAATAAAATTGTGGATAATTGGAAATTAACTTTAAAAGATGTTTGCCTTAGAATCGAGAATTCTGATTAGGGACATGTCCTCACGAGCCAATGGGGAACATCATAACATATTAGAATGGAAATTATTGCCTTATCAACGATTAGACAGCACAACACTTACAATAATATTGAGTTGTCGACATTCCAAAGTCTCTTAGCGCATCTAACGGCAACCAGACCTGTGATGATGATTACTACTTGAACTTAAGATCAAAACCAACTCGATAGCTATAGCGTCATTAAATTGTTTTAATTGATTTGATTGTATATAAAGTTTTAAACATCATTTTCGGTTCGTTACTTTTCGGTACGTTTGTTTAGTTGTATTATTATTATTATAATATATTAAATCTCGTGTTTAACAAATTGAATTGAATTTGTTGTCTTAAATTAGGTTTACGAATTGCAATTCGTAACATAAAATCGAACAACTTGTATCTGATTATTTTCTTTACACTTTATATATATATATCAATCAATGATGTAAATCTGTATGCATGTGTATATGGGTGTTTGTGTATTTATGTACAATTTGCATGTGCACAAGACGGGGAAACAACCGATATCAACGTCCATTGGCGCAGCAAGGACGCACAGCACAGTATTTACTTCCATTTTTTATACAGTTAGTTTATTTAAATAACATATGACTAAACGTAATAGAAAGTTTGCATTGACGTGGTACCTCGCCTCTCATAACCAGAAATTTACAATACATTTTTATTTTGCTTTTGTGGCGCTTGTGGTAAAAACTAGATTCGTCCCTAAGCCTAATAAACAGTTTCGATTATAATTTTGGGGAGTTTGTGCGTAAATTTTTAGCTAAATTAAACATTAAAATACATTGTGAAGTACCAGCAGCAGTTGAAACGGGATATCTATCGATCGCGTTGGGATGGAGTTGATTTCTTTCTATTCTTTTGGTTATCCAAGTGGGGCAGATGCAGTTTAAGTTTCCTTCGTCGTATTTATTTATTTTTCACTTACTGGCAGCAGTGCAAGAAGCAAATCGCTTCAGCTCTTGCTTCTTGTTAACTCACTCAGTTTTATCACTAATTATTTGTTGGTTTGTTAATAATGCAAATTGTGTATATATTGTATAAAGCTGTAGCAACGCGAACGAAATTTATATTTATCACTTCTGTATTCCGTATTTGTGGTCTTAACCGTTCTCGCAGAGATGACCCTCACAGTTACCCCAGAAGATGCAGTTGCCGACGCCGCTGTAGCAGATCAGCGAGACAGCCGTGAGAAAGACCAGGCTACAGATTGTGCATGGCTTCCTCTCCAGAAAGAAGCCAATCAAGTAGAGAACTATAAACATGACATGCGTCTCCATCAGAGCTGGATTAGTGGGCTTCGGTATCAGCAGCACTGGCAGTAAACATTGCAGGCAATACATTATTTTTTGTTGATTTGTGCGTGTTGTTGACGTGTCCGCTTATTGTTGTTGTTGGGTTTTCTTGTTGCAGCTGCAAGAACAGAAATTGTATCTATAATTCCGATAATCGTTTTGTCCTGGAAAGAGCGAGACGTCAGCAGTATTTCTGTGCCGTTCTTGTTGTATTTGACGTTGTCGCATTTGTTGCTGTCTCCTCTATTGTTGTTTACCCAGAAATGTTTCCCCTTCCTTTTTCTTAATTTTGTTTGTGACACTTACCTCAAGCCCAGCTCTCTGCGTCGATCGTTGCTAATTTCAGAGTCAGTTTGTTGTGTGTTTTAATGTTATCACACATCGCCCATGCTTCTAAATTTCTCAAATCATTTTACACATATGTCCACAGCTATCGTTATCGCAACCAGACCTACGCACATATCGTGAATATTTTATTATCGATAGTTGTGTGATAGCAACACTGCTGCTGGACAAGAGGACTGCTAAATTTAAAGCGATTTTAATGTGCTGTAAAAATAGTTGAATGCTTTATTCTTAACGGAAGACTTAGTTACACACAATGTACAGTCAGCTAAGTGTGATATGAACTACAATGGCAACAAAACAGTTATTAGACTAATTCTATTTCTTTGCTTCGACTACTTAACATTCCAATAAAGCTTATTATCGTAAAGAGACGGTTCAGTTGCAATGGGCAGCAGATAAATCCAACTAGCGAGTCCCACCAGATATAAGATGCAGGCAACTACGCGTCGCCACAGATCCTGCTGCCACAGATCTTGCACATCTGGTAATCCCATATGATTGCACACCGCGTGGGCCAACAACGGGGCAATATAATGCCCCGTGCGGGCAAACAGATATGCCGAATAGAAACCGAAGAGGGTCGTATAGGTGAACTGGAACAAACCGATCATCAAAGCGGCGCTCAGCTTTACGCCCAGGCTCAGTCTCTCGGCGATGTGATGCAAATGGGCAACGCCAAAAAATAGAGGCGTTATAAACACCGCCGTCAGGGGGGTGAAGCTCTGCAATATTAGTGGCATCATGCAGGCACGGAACACAAATTCCTCACTCAATGGTGCCATCACATGGTTACGTATCCAGATAATATTCCCAAGTGAGCCACGCCAGTAGTCCACGTCTGAAAGTGAGATTTGTAACAATATTGATTGATTTGTGAGTATTTCAATTGACATACCAAAGTACGAGCGCCATGATTCGTTCTGCATGTTGACAAAGATGGGACCCGCATAGAGGAGTGCTGTCAGCAGATATGGGATCACAATGGCCTGCCACAATCCGTGCCAGCGAAAGCCGAGCAGCTTGGGGAATGGCTCTTGCTGCAGCAGTTCCGGCGACGAGAAGAAGTATACGAAAAGCGGTGCGATCAACATGACACACGAGACGCTTGCGAAACGGCGCTTTATCGTCGTCGGATGATCGCGATTGTGTTTGGTGTTCCACACGTAGAGGCTGCCCACATAGATGACTGCCAACACAAAACTGCAGCCAACCGATTGCAGCACTGGAATTTGGGGCAGTGCTTCTGTCATGTGTGGCAGTGTTGTGCTTTCAGCAGCCATTTCACTCATGTTGTCCATTTATTGCTTCTTACAAGATTAGTCATTAAATTTGTATGTTTCTTCTCGGAAAAAAAGATATACAAAAACAGCTGTTGGTTCGATCCCAGCATAAGCGAAACTGTTTTTAGCGTTGCTAGTGCTCACTTAACATAACTCTGTTAGCTAGACGTTTCACTTTGCTGCATACGTTGCTCAGTTTGCGCTTACGTCGTCTGATAACATAAGTGCTTTTCTGTTAATCGACGGTGGCGGCGACTGCGTTTGGTTGTGTTATTTAAACCAACCGCATTAATTGATATCAATAAAAAAAATTTGCTACGCTATTCAAATAATTAAATTTGCCCTATAGTTCAGTGTTAGTCTAGAGTGCAACATGTCGCTATTAATAAAAGCCGCCACAACAACACGCCAGCTCATTCATAAGGTTTCTTAAACATATGTTCAACTTTATCGTTCAACGTTGTTGACCTTTGTCTCAAACTCCCTTTTGTTTTGTTTACCTGTGTTTTTTTTTAGGCATCGGGGCTGCAGCAGCAGGTGCGTTATCTAAATTTGCTCGAATTCCAGTCGAAGGATCTGTTGCAGAAGTATGGCGTAGCCATACAACAGTTCAAAGTTTTGGACAACACGAGCAGCGATAAGCAAGTGGTTCAATCATTTGGTAATCAAACCGGTTTGAACTTTATGTAATCGTTGGCTAAAATTATTGCTAATTATCATTTATCAGATTGTCCCGAGTATGTGGTGAAGGCACAGATCTTGGCGGGCGGGCGCGGCAAAGGTACTTTTGATAATGGCTTCAAGGGAGGCGTGCACATAACCTCAAAGTAAGTGGCCGCCCAAAAATATATCTCGTACCTCATTCAATTGATAACGCAGATGAGATAAGAGCTACGAACGACGACAAATAATACATAATAATCATAAAAATAAACATTGAAAATTACTTTGCAGCAAGGGAGATGTGCTGTCTCTGAGCAAACAGATGATTGGCAATCGTCTGATTACCAAACAGACGCCCAAATCGGGCATCCTCGTCAACAAGGTGATGGTGGCGCGCAGTGTGAATATTACCCGTGAGACATATATTTGCTTCCTGCTCGATCGCGAGCACAATGGACCCGTGCTGATTGCCTCGCCGGCTGGCGGCATGGACATTGAGGCTGTGGCCCAGGAAACGCCGGAGAAGATAAAGACTGTGCCGCTGGATATTGGCAAACCTATACCTGAGGCGACACTGCTCGAGGTGGCCAGGTTTCTGGAGTTTAAGGGCGATGCTGTAAAGCGTTGTGCGGATGAGATTCAAAAGCTTTATACTCTCTTTAAGGCTGTGGATGCTCTGCAAATTGAGATTAATCCGTTGGCCGAAACCGATAGCGGCGAAGTCATCTCTGTAGATGCCAAACTCAATTTTGATGATAATGCCCAGTTCAGGCAGAAGGACATATTCGCCATGGATGTCACCGAGGAGGAGGCCGATCCCCGTGAGGTGGAAGCTAACAAATATAATCTCAACTATGTGGCTATGGATGGCAACATTGGATGCTTGGTAAATGGTGCCGGTCTCGCCATGGCTACAATGGACATCATCAAGTTGAGAGGCGGCGAGCCGGCAAATTTCTTGGATGTTGGCGGCAGCGTTAAGGAGGATCAGGTGGCCAAGGCATTTGAAATCCTCACATCCGATCCGAAGGTGAAGGGCATTCTGGTGAATGTATTTGGTGGCATTGTTAATTGTGCCACCATTGCCAATGGCATTGTGGCGGCGTCCAAGAAGCTGAAGCTAAATGTGCCGCTGGTTGTGCGTCTGGAGGGCACCAATGTGACCAAAGCACGCGAGATTCTGAAGAACTCGGGCCTGCCCATACAAACCGCCTGCGATTTGGATGATGCCGCCAAAAAAGCAGTTGCTGCCCTATAAAGTTGAACTACAGCAGCACCCGCACAGTCAAGACGCACATTGCATTTAAACGTCGATGACATATAAATTGTACATGAAAGGCCTCTATTTACTCTAAGACTTAAAGACAATATATATGTATATTTATATATGTATTTATCACTATATACAACAAAAACGAATTTGTTTAAAATGTGAACGTTGCGCGCTACAAGAAGTTAATTAACAGCAATCTCTTGCAGCCCTGCCTTATCGACGGCCCAAGCTAAGTTTTATCGGTAGCTCTGTTATTTGGAGTCAATCTGCTGTTAACTTAATTTTTGAGTGGTACTCGATGCTTATCTTGTATCTTATGGTAACGAAAAGCTTTAATTAAATTTATTAAATCAATTCGCATTAAATTGAGAACTTAAGTCAAAAAATAAGAAACGAATTCTAATAACGAACTAGCCGTAAAATCAGCGACTTAGCTCCGTGATTCAGTTCATTGAATCGCTGGTTCAATTGAGCTTGTTCAAACCGATTCAATACAACTCTGCAGTCCACACCCTAAGCCCAGGAAACACAAACATTCGAAGTGAAAGATACGTTGCTAAATTTATCATATAGAGCATGGAAAAATCGCCTCATTTTGCACGCGAGGATTCCCAGGAGCATCTACCCAGTCCCCACAACACAGTAAACATGAAGCGTCGCACCCTCGCTGGCAGCTGTGGCGTTGGCGTCTTCATCTTTGCATTCGCCTTCATTGCAATCGCCTTTGCAACGCCCAGTTGGCTGGTCAGCGATTATCGCATTACGGGCGCCAAGCTGGACAGACTGGGCCTCTGGGTGCACTGTTTCCGTTCACTGCCCGATGTGAATGATGACAGCCAGCGACGTTTTTTTGTCGGCTGCCGCTGGGTCTATGACCCATTTACGAAGGGCTACGATGAGATTCGAGGATTCCTGCTGCCTGCCTTCATGATAACCACACAGTTCTTCTATACGCTAACGTTCATTGGCATGCTGGTCAGTGCCATTGGTGTGTTGGTGTTTTTCCTCTGCGCCGGACCTGATCAGCGCCATTTCATCACTCTAATCCGTGCCGTTGGATATGTCTTGTTGGCTGCTGGCATCAGTGCTGCCATTGCAGTGATTGTATTTGCTGTGTTTGGTAATCGCAACGATTGGATGCCGGAGCATGCGAATAATTGGTTCGGCTGGTCCTTCGTGCTCGCATGTTTGGGCACTGTGCTGACACTGGTGGCAGCTACGCTGTTCCTCACCGAGGCCGATGTGCAGCATCGCAAGCGCTTGCAATTTAAGGAGTCGCAGACACGATTTGAGCTTGTGCGTGGCTAGCGCTAGTTGCCTTATTCTTCCTCCTCCCACCCCCACAAAGTGACAATAATTTTCGGTAAGTATATATGGCATACCAGCAGAGAATGACCTTCCATCTAAAAATTCTGTTTACTTGCAGCAGTACACAAATTATCACAACAACACTAAAAACATTCCGTCCCACGACAGTGCTGCGAAAAATTCTCACCATATAATTAAATTTAGTTTTAGTTGGCGAATACAAAAAATGAGCCGCTAGTTGAATGTTTATGCAATTGTCAGACAGCTTTCCGCATTGTCGCACCATCATCCAAAGAGACTATCAGTTGGTACTTATGAATCATCTAATCTACAGCTTATCAGCACGCACGCAATAGCAACGACTGACAGAATTCGCAATGCTTCATCTCAATTCAACAACAGTAACAACGACAGCAGCTACACATCAATGAAGCTTAATTCTACAAGCTAGAAACTCAAATGAATCATTATCGCGTGTATATCAATATTTGCATACCAAATTGCGCTCAATTAACGTACAAGGCTTCCCCCGTCCACTTTCAATACCCTCCCGTTAAATTAATTAATTTGGTCGTCGCATGCGTTTAGAACTAGCAACAGATACTAAAAAATACACACGTGCCTTAATTTAGACAGCTCTGCTGTAGTTTATGATTAGTTTTTATAAAACTCTTGTTAGTTTATAATACTGCCTGTGCAAGTGCACTGCGACGACTACCGATTGGATTGCATAAACTTCTACTAATCTAGTGCCTTAGTTAAGAAATTCGATGCCCAAAAAAAGAACCATAGCATAGGCTAAACGAATCGATAACGTCCAATATTATTAAGACATTCCATTTTCTGTATTCGAATAATATAATAACAAATGATTATAGTGCTTGTCTAACCTGCAACCTGTAACACACTCTATTTAACAAATTGTGTACCATAATTGCAAAAGTATTGAAACATTTTTACCTTTTACATATCTACATGCATACAATATATATACATAAATATGTGTAACTTTTTTGTACAAACGATTTTTTAGCTAAAGCGACGAATAATAAAGATTTTTTTATTGTATACAAATCAAAAAATGAAATGCACACGCTTCCACTTGCATTTCCATTACTGTGCCCCAACTTATCTTTGTATCTATAATGCGAGTTCAAGGCAGCAAAAGCAATAACAATAGTCGCCGAAAGAGCTTTGTGTAAAGTTTTCACATGAGATTCAGCTGAGTTGTTGGGTAAACAACTTTACTTATAGACTTTGGATTTGTGTAAAGTTTGGCAATGTGCAACGGATTGCATAGGGAATTGTAGCAACCATCACTGGATGTATCTACATGTTTTTGATGATATTAGAATTGCTCAAGGTAGATAAACAACTCAGATTTGAATATTGTTCTTAAGTTAATTAATTGAAACATTTTAATGTTATTTGGTCATAATTAGTCAGCACGTCAGGCTTAATGTTACCGAATCAATTATGAAACCGATTTTAGTCAGTTGCCCACGCATTCGAGCTCAATCTTTGCAAATAGCCTCCAGCTTTTGTGGCAGCTAATTTCGAAACTCGTGAGGACGTGTCAAAAAATAGCTATGAACTTTTTGAAGCGTGAAAAATCACAATCTACATTAAAATATCTATTGGCATTTGATGGATGGCAATTTAAGTTAAATTAAAACAAAAATAAGGAAAGATTCGCCACAAATCTGATTAGCACTTGCCGAACCGGATGCCGGACGAACAGACTGACTCATTGGATAAGCCTATTCAACTACATATACAAATACATATATGTATATATTTGTAGCCTTGATGATATATACAAAAATGTGCTAAGCGAACAAATATTTATGAATATTTAATGACACTCCAAATAAAAATCAGAAAAACTCACTTCGCATGACCTCAGACACTTAAAAAATTCCCAAATGCCGTTAGTAAAGCATATTATAAATCCGATTACAAGTGCAAAATAAGAATACTAATAAAAAGTAACGGAGCGGATTTGAAAATGCTGTGAGAACATTTGCCAAGTTGTCGACGTTGGATGGCGGGTTCAACAAACCGCATGACGGCATAAATGTCATGAAATGACAGTTGCGAGAACAAATTTTAAATTGAGCATAGAATGCAAAGCTAATTTTAATTTCAGACAAGTCATAATTACAAATTTGAACATATTTTATATAATATATAAATTATTTTGCGGAAGATTTTGAGCGTGTGCTAAATAAAATGATTTAAACAAATTTTAATGTATTTATTCAAATGCAAATAAATAAATATAAACAACAAAAAAAAAAAGAACGAGCATACACAACAATTTAAACACAATCTCCAGTCTTGAATATAAATAAATTCTATGTTAATTTGTATCTAAGTTTAGGAAGTTTTAAGCTTTTTAAACATATTTCGTTTTCATTTGCATAAAATGTTTTTGCAACCATCAAAAACTTGACTAAAGGATAGACAGACAGACGGCCAGCGCGACCAACTAACCAACCAAATAAGCACAGCAGCCTGTCAGCAAATTAATTTTTAAGCCGAGCTTCATTAACAATGGCATTTTGGACCTGTTCTCAAGCGCCAAACACAGAGATTAATTACCAAAAAAAAAATCTCGATAAATATTCAATACAATTATTGTTTGTGGTTTCTTGTGACTGCTACGTGTGTCAAGTGAATGAACGCATCGAAAACAAAAGTTTTTGGCATTCAAGAAACCGAGAGTGCGCTTTCGATTACGCAAATGATTTTAGATAAACACATTAGTTTTGACTTTTGTTTGCGTCACGCAAACTTTCGTTGTTTTGTTAACCTAACTCTAAATATTGATTGATATCGAAGAGTGGGCTGACTTTCTGAACTGAAGGTCTTCAAATCCGTGTGTTACATTAAAAACTTAATCAAAATATTTGTTGTCATTCAAAAATGTAGAACAATAAAATGGCTACACATGCCGACTTAAATGATAAACTTGTCTTGTTTATTAGATCTTATTTAAGTGGTTTCCTTTTATAACTACTAAATGATTTTGAATGCGGTTTTGCCGCTGACCTTGAGCTTGACCAGGACAAAAAAAGCACTGATTGGTGTTTAGCCTAAACGCCGCTGACGTCTTTTTAGTTTATTTAAATGCTATTAATGATGCATGCCTCCTCGCTCTTAAAAACCACCTTAATAGTTTGAAATTTGCATATTTCAAAATGAGCAGCCACAAAGCAAATTCAACTTATATAAAATGGAGCAGCTCTGCAGGAGCCAGAATTAACTATGTGATTAGCATTTTATACGTGTTTCTGCGTGTGTTTCTATAAATATGTTAATTTCACAATAGACTTTCTTAATATTGAAATCGAAAAGTTTCATTTTCGGAATAAGATTAACTATAAAAAAAACTAAGAATAAATCGATATGTTAAATGTAACCTGCATGGGAATCGACTTATTATCGAGAAAATTTCATAAAAAATTGAGAACAAAATAAATTGGAAAACAAACCGCCCAGAAATAATCCGTATGAGTTCAGTTTTTACAAAGTGTATTAAGTTAGTCACATTATTTCATATTTGTAAACATGAATTTTATTTACGAATTTCAGTCTCAATATGTTTGTTGTGAATATATTATTTTGCTTTGCATATTGAGCCGAAGATCTTAATTTTTTAAGCAAAATGTCACAACTCGGCCGGTTCCTTGAACTTCACACTGCTCGGGATACAAAACATGTTAGGCTTGACCCAACATAGGCTCGAAATCAGTAATAAAAGTATGAATACATATACGATCCTAATATTTACCAGACAATAGAACCTGTGCGAGTGAGAGATATTATCATTTAAATGGTTTGCTCAACCGCGATGAACTAGCCACCAATCCGGAAAACAAGATTGGGAACATAAAAATAGTGCTGAGCGAATGTATGCTGGATGAGAGAAAAAATATCTAGCTTATTTGAAATTTATGCTAAAATATTATTATCGTGGGCTCATTGGTTTGATACAGGTAAAACTAGCTGGCAGACTTAAGAACAACAGTCAAGAATGAAATTTGAAGAGTTATGAAAGTAAAAAGACGTTAACACTTCATATATAGACCTGTTGAGTACGAATTTCAAACCACTTTTGGTTGCTATACTAAATTAGAATATACATAGCAATAAAAATTTGGGCGCACACGTCGGATTTTTGCCAGAAAGTGGCTGACTAATAAGACAAGACATAAGACAACCAAATGAAATTGGCATACAAAAATGTGGTTAACTTTTCTGCTCCTAGCCGAAAAGTTAAATTTTTATGATTAGTAAATAACAAAAATTGGCTTGTTTGACTAGATTTGGAGTGCGGCTTTTACGAGCGTCTGTTAATTGAGTTTTATTTGTGAATGTATAAAAGCAAAATAGCTTAAGGCCAACTAATTGAATGATTTCCATACAAATCGTAAAAATTTAAAAGCCCGCCTTCTAAACTTCCATAAATTATAAAAGTGAAACATTAGCTGCAAATTTATCACAATCTCCTGCTAAACAATTGCCAGTTGAAATGTTATTTAATTTGGCATTTGTCTTAGTTTTAGTTTTGATCGCATTAATCTTTGTTTTTGCTTCTGCGACGCGTCAATGCCACTGGTCTTTTTTTTCGTATTGATATTTATTATTATTATTTGCTCTCATTTGATTGCATTTCCTGCACTATCACTTTAGCGAAATGCCAAAAGTCAGTCAACTGAGCTGTTATATAAATAAAGTTGAATCAATAAAGTCAGTTGAGTGAAGCGACAATTTTGGCATATGAAGCATAGATAAATAAATTTTGAAGTCATGCGAGTCGAATTTTTAATACATTTTTGTCAACTCGTTTCAAAACTTAGTTTAACTTGAATAAATAATATTTTCAAAAAAGTACACGAAAATAGATAATTTCGTATAAATATGACCAAGGTCCTATCTAACATTGATGATAAATTTTGAAATTTATACTTATTTTTAAGAATTCCTTCGGGACTAACAAGATTATTTGAATAAATCAAAAATCGATTGTTATATATTTTTTAAGCAATCATAAATAAATAAATATTCATAGAAATGCCCAACATATCTTCTTCATTATTGTAGGTACATATTTAAAGCTGACACTTATTGTCTATTTAAATATTATGTTTCATAATTAAAGACCTATAAATAATTGATTATCTTGAATGTAAATTTGAAATTATTATATAATTTAATATATCTAATAGGCTCATTGGAACTAATCGAATTATAACTTAATCATTCTTCTAATCATATAGAATTATTAATGATACAAATAAAAAATGTGGTTAAATATAACTTCGACAAATCTGAGCTGATTTTTATGAAGCAGAGCTTTTCCATCATGATTTGACCTATAGATGAGTGCTACATTTAAAGTTGGAAATGTGATTCTAAGTCAAAATTCATGTAAAAATGTATGCTCGAAAATTACTTCTGGACTAATTAAAATTGTAAATAGTTTGACTTTTCCAAAGTAAGTAGATTTTAAAAAAACCTGATCTTTTAATTAAGGATTGATTTCCAGATTGATATATCTTTCTAAAGCTCAATGACATAACAGCTATTGATTAAATTAGTTTATTTAGGAGAATCTAAAACGGATTGTATTCAGTGTGTTAAATGAATTAATTGAATATGATAAGAACGAACGTGAGCTGAATTTTTGACGGAAGTACTCAAAAACTCTGATTATTTTCTGGTTTGAGTAGCTGCAGTCTTGTCAAACGACCTTTAGACACAGACAAACCAAATACATGTATATTTTTTTATATATGTATTAAAAATAAACACACAATATGTGATCAACAATATTAGCATTCAAAACACTAAGCACCGTTTTGTAGCAGCCTTCTAATGACTTCGTTTGATTATTGATTGATTGCAAAATGAGAAAAATGTGAAATTTGTATTCAGTTTGTCCAAATGTTTTCACCGCCTTAACAGCCTTCATCTTAACGCAAACGCAATTTCTAACTAACCAAAGGAATTCACAGTAAAGATGGGCATGTGTTTTGTTTTTATTTTTTTTTTCCTCCTCAATACGTCGTGTATTTCCTCTTGTTTTATTTTATTTTGTTTGGAAACTGTAGACATATTATATGCTAAGTTATTGAGACAAGTAAAATATATGCAAACTATTTGTTAGTTTTTATTTGAAGGTATTTATGATGATGACTCCCTGAGGTCGCCAGCTACTGTGACAAACAAGTTCTTGTTCTGATATCATTGATAAGATATCAAATACAAACAACGAGCTGTCATTTTGACAGCTCTGTCATTTGTTTTCCCATTATCTTCATTTTAATTGGCTATTTTAAGACACGCATATTGCTTGAGGCTCGGAACAAATTTTCACATAGGCTGATGGCATTGTTTTGGACAGTGTAATAGGCACACGTCATAAGCATAGTTAGATTTTAATTCGTGTTTTGTGTAAATTTGGTTAATGCATTTATAATGAACTAAAAGAAGCGTAATGACATCATCTGATGTTTTGATCTGATTCAAACTGAAGACCTGCAAAATAGATGAATGTAGTACGTTTCAAAAACTTCTGAAAGATTATGATAATGCAAAAGATTATCTTCGTTGTGGTTCCGCAATGAAATGCATGCACATGACTTGCATCAGGCCAAGAACCTTTCATAGTTAATTTACTTTTCGCAGGCTTCAATTTAGTGGCTCAAGGTCACGCATGCGACGACCCCACTTCAAGTTCAGCATCGTCAGCATCATCACAGAGTCATTCAACTTTTTTTTTGCAAGCGCTCGCCTTTCAAGTTGCGCAAGCATGTCCGCATGTCACCAGTGAGGCATGCAACGAGAATTGCACAGAGGAAACAGCTGGATGCCTCCAGCTGGATCAAGGTCAATTTATGTTGTCAGCTTATGTAAAAGGCAGAAGGGCCGACAGGAAGCTGGTGATTCATGCACAGAAATTGTAAGGCTGTAAGCCATGTTGCCTTAAATTTTAAATTGATGGCCTCACAATATTGTGAATATTATAAGGTAAAAGGCCCAGACTCAACCGTCTGAGTCAGTGCTATCTGATGATCATTTTTTTAAGCACAGAGTCTGAGGCAGCCGTTGACATTTGACATTTTGGAGTCATCTGTGGCGTCATGGCGATTGCAATTTGCAGGCTTTCTAAATTTGGTCAGCCAGTAAAATGTTGTCCAGTTGAGAACTCGAGCGACTAACTGGGAAATTATGGCTGAGACTTGGTCAAAAACTCACTGCGCATAAAATAAACGATTTTGTGTTAAACTATTGACTGCTTGTCAAATAGATTCAACATTAATATACATATTTGTCAGCCGTATTTCGGTTATTGTTATTTTCGGCATATATTATAAATATTCAACTTGTTTTTCAACTCTGCCTTTGACTCTTTTTGTTTTGTGGTTCTCATCAAAGGCCATTTCCAATATTTTCAGCATTGTTTCAACAAATTTGAGACGCGTGGGCTTTTTGAAAAACATTTAGTCACAAATTTATGTTCTTTCTCGCATTTTTCATCGATAAACCAAATTACATGTATTTTGGGGCTTGCCAAAAATTATGATTAATAAATTTGGCAAAAAAAAAAGATATCGCCCATAATATTTTTTGTCTCAATGAAGCGCTGTCAAAAATACATTTACATATGCAAGTAAGTATAAGAAAAAGAAAAAAATATGAATCCATAAAAAACTCATAAACTTGCATTTTTCACTTTGGCTTTACAATTATGTGTAAGGCACAGCTTGAGCTGATTGGAGCTCAATGTATTAATATGTGGCTTATGCGATCCACCACTTTTATATTTTATTTAAATGCAAACTAGAAATGGTAATGAAAAAATATATATATAAGAAGTAAAGATGCGCTACAATTGTGGTGTATTTTTGTTTGCTTAGTTAGAAACTATTAGAAATTGTATATCACTTTACTTATAATAATAATAATATATGTATAATAATATAATAATTCAAAATTTATATATTTAAATGTACAAAATCATTTAAAAAAATTTTGTAGAGGGCACACTGGGGTCGCCGTGGCTCCATAGTTATAGACATTGACCAGGCCCACGAGTTATCTGTTTTAATTCAAAAAAGACTGAACCAAAGCTGATACATGTTGTGATTCGTTTTTTTTTTGCTTCTCTTATTCTTTTTTGTAGCTAAATTTTATAAATACATATTTTATGCCTCGATTGTTGATTTCGCCTTGAGTTAAGCATTGTCATTAACAGCATCCTCTTTATGACAGAATTATTATTATTATTATTATTATTATCGGTGTCAATTGCAGTTTTCAAGAGCAACAACCACCGGACTCTAGTGAGATTTTTCAAATTTAATAAAGTGTTTCCTTTTACGTAAGCCAAGAACAACAAATCCGAAAAACATTGCGTATACGCAATGACTTCGTTGTAGCTAAATGTCAGCCAGAGCTTAGCAACTTCTCACAAAATTCTAAATTCTTAAGCGGATCATTAAACGGAAGCATGTCGTCTTTGAAGTGCTGCCACTTCAGGTGTCTCAATTAAGCCAAATGGATTAAGATCAGGCTAATCAATTTCCTATACATACAAATATAGTATATGAATAGCAACATGATCTCAGCGTTGGTTACCGTGTGAGTTCATAATGAAATTATAAACGATGCGTGACAAAGAAAATATTCTCATCTTGAGCTAGTAATTTATTTTAATTATTGGACGTGGAGACTATTAAATATATACGGAAATCAAATATCGCATTCTGTCTAAATGTCCAAAAAAAAACTAACAAACGCGGCATTATATAAGCATTAATTTAATTAATTAAACTAACTAACTATTTTTAAGATACTGTACACTTTTGATATTTACATAATCTTGAGTAACAAAAACCCACAAACAAAATTCCTATGTGGCTACTATCTTTTGCCAATAGATCAGTTTTCTATTAATGCTCAAAAATTAAGTCAAAAAAACAAGAAAAACACGAATTTTCAATTAAATACAAAGACTCATAAGAACCCCAAATTATTTTTGCTAAAAAATTAAAAACAAAAAAAAAAAAAACAATAAATCTTAAAATTTGTTTAATGAAGAAAAAACCTGAAAGTGAAGCTGAATTCTTGAAACACGCAGCGCGGTCCTCGCTCCAACTTAGTAGGGGTTGTCCAGTTGTTCGGGTCAGTCTCTGAGAGAGTACATTTTTTGAGTATACAATCTGAGCTCAGCTGCAACTTAGTTAAGCTCATCTGCTGCTCTTGCCCATATAAATTAGTAAATTTATCGACGAAACAAAACTTGTTTCGAGCTACGCAAATCACACACACTTACACACACACACACACACCCATACTGAGGCACGCACTTTAAGCCATGTTTTACACACACACACACACGTAGATGCTGACAATCAACTGTCACTGTAGCTGCTCCCCAACTCATTTGTATTGGTGGGGAGCTGCTCTCAGGCTGGGCTTTTGGTCTTTTACTTTTTGTTTTCGACTGCGTTGTTTATATGGCAAAGACGAGCTGCGTTCATCTTCAGTTCGTCCACATCGGTCCCCACGGTATGAGCTCTAGTTAGGCTCCCTTCCCCAAGTAAATACAGTGATCTACGCTAAACTCATTGCAAACAAAACCTCAAAACTGAATCAAGAACTCATCATACTGTACTAATCAGAAGGACAACAAAACATTTTTTGGCGAGGAATTCGCTATATAAATATCTCAGTGTTATATGTACAAATATATGTATATATAAAAAAACGAATGTGCAAAAATACAAAAGATATTTTAAAAACTTTTTCTTAATTTTCTTTATTTCAAGATTGGATAACACAGTATTTTCAATTGCAAAATTTGTTAAAATCAATATAAAATAAATAATTACTGGCGATTCTTGTGTCAATTTCAATTGTTCGTTGCAAAATGGCGCGTGCAGTTCTTTGCATGGTGAGTGTTTAAGCTAAGATTCATAATCAATAATCATTAAAAAAAAAATCAATTTTTCTTGACTCTAATTCTTCAATACCAATTAAGCAAAAAAATAATTGTATAAAAAATAATTTCTTGACAAACTTCAATTTATCTCCATTATACGAACGTAATGAAAATGAATTTCAGCTATCGATGAAATAAAATTAGCTATTATCACATGCAGCGATTACTATTATAGTATTATGATTGCCAGCTACCGTTTTGAGTCATGGCCAAAACTGAATCTACCATCTGTACATATTGGCACTTAGCGCTTAGCTAACATAAAAGATAAAATATTTCAAAAAGTTGTTTTGGTAGATGAGAAATGCAAATAAATAATCGAAATATGAGTTCAGACTGTAGTTGCTAAGAAATGCATGAGCTCCAAGGTTGAGGTTGCAGATGTAATCAAAATTAGTAGGTTTATTTGCAAATCTTTGCTTGTAGGCAGACATTTGAAAAACTCGCTTGATTGAACTTCAGGTCCGGGTCAACTTGTAACTGTGTATAACATTTTGCATAGCATTCCAGGTGCTAAGTGACGGCTTCGGTAATAGCCGGCTTTTTGCTCATAATACAAACAAAAACCGGAGATCTTAAACGACTTCTGAGTAGCTTAGGTTTGGTTTGTGGTTTTGTGTACATTTACAAGTACTCGCCTGGTTGATACAGTATATATATATTTCAGTATATTTCTTATTTGCAATTTTGTCAGCTGTTAAATAGTCATTATTGAGATATTTGTGCTCTTTAAGGTTTTGCGTCAGTTGACAAAAATGACTGAAAAAAACCACAGCATTATGAATGTGGGTCTTCACAACAAAGCGCTTTAAAAATAATTAGCTACAGATTTTTGTTTTTTATTGTATTTGTTTTGAATGAATTATTTACTTATGGTCTTTTGTTTTGCTTATTTACTTTTATGCAAATATCCAATTGCGTTGTTCACAATTATCGATGGTTGCCAAATATAAGATTGGCTGTTACTCCAGCTGGGTTAGACACATTTGGGTAACACACATAAAATGACAAATCCATTATGTTATTCATTATTTATCTATTAGAGCAGATATTGTTTGCACATCACGAATGTTTCAAGGATATGGCGATGCTTCATTAACTTTGCTAAACTCATCTAAAAACTCATCTAAAAACTCTAATTTTTTCACCAGCACATGCTAATTGATATAATTGCAACCAAAGAAGAAAATGTGTAACTTCGGCTGGGTTTATTCAAATTCTTCACGCCGTGCGTGAAAATATGAATCTGACACGTGCTCAGCGCTAAGTTGAATCAACAGATTGTGAGAGTCACAATATCTAAGACAAATTATTTTATGACAGGTAGTTACAAAAAAAAAACAAAACAAATATAAACTGTACATAAAGGTGTCATAATGACACTATAAGAGCATTGCGATATGATCAACAGCAGCAGCAGCCTCAACACCTTTTGCACAGACGAACAAGTGACAAATTTTTGGGGTTCGTGTTTTGTTTTGTCACCAAGTCAAGTGGCAGGCTTTTTTTTGGGGCACGTGCCACAGTTTTTTGACCTGTGGACTTGACTTTGAACTGGAGTGACGCCAGTTCCCATTTGATTTATATATTCCTTTTATAAAGATATCTATGTTTGTCATCAACAGGCTGCTAAGCCAATTTCGTGGTCTGCCGGGGCACAATCTTAGTCGTGGTTTGCAGACACGTACGCGGAGTTTTGCCATCAACTGCCAGCTAAGCCAATTTCTTGGTCCGCCTGGGCTCAATCTTTGCTGTGGCTTTCAGACACGTATGCGGAGTTTAGGCCCATTTGTTTTCCCAGTGTTCGTCGCTCTGACTTGACCCACTTGATAATAAGCTGGGTAGCTTATAGAACTTCAACACTCTTTGCAAAAGGAAGAAATTAATTTGATCAACTTAATATTCATCAATGCGGATTGCTAAAAAGAAATGGGTTTTGGGTTTATTTTGAAAATATATATTAAACTTCTTTATAAAGTTAAATATTTGGAAAGGGCAACTCTTGTTCGTTGTGACACACAAAGCTCTTACCGTATTTTATTTTATTTCCTATAACACTGGAATTTTAAAGAGTTGGGCATTTTTTGTTATTTTTTTGCGCTGCACTTGAAGATTTCGCATTTAGATAGATTTAAGTTTTGTGTACGTGGGCGTGTGTGTGCCATTCAGAATTCTTGCACTGATATCTCAGCATTGTCATATGTGTATGTGAGTATCTGTATAGCAGTCCGTGTGACTCATAAAAGTCGAGACCCCTGCCAAGTGTTTGGCATGCTAAATCAGTTCGTTTTATGGGATTTATTGGGGTCCATAAATGTGTTTACTTTGCAAGTCAAGTGTTAAACTATTTGTTGCTTTTTACAGTTGCTCACCGCAGATTGTTAATGGCTTATTTGAAGAGCTTTAAAATCTTCAAGAGCTTTAAAATCTTAAGAATGCATTTCGCTATTATTGATTACATCATTTGATCGGAATGAAATTTGCTCAGATTCACTTTTAAAAATGCTTGCTACCAGTTTCTTCGCTTTCAATATGGTCATCGAAGGCGCTGCTAAAGGTCTTTGGCTCGTTAAGTTAGTTGGCTTGAGCTCATCTACTAAAAAAGACAAAACTCGCCAAATTGGATAGTGCATATACATATCTATAATACAAAATCTAGAAATGCAAATTAGTTTTTTGATATTCGTCAGCGGCTAAAAAAACACAAAGAAATACGCAAAGAACGGTTGGGTTTGAATCGCAACTTGAGGTTGTCTCGTTTAAATAAAAATGAAAACGTTTTACGTAAATGATATTTGATATTTGACTGTGGCTTGCCTAAATGCCAAAAGTGGCTAAAAGAAAGTAAGAGTTATTTGTATAGTATGATATAATTATAAGAGTATTATATATTTGATAGAATGTGGCTTGTCTAAATGTCAAAAGTGACTAAAAGAAAGGAAGAGTTATTTATATAGTATAATAAAATGAAATGATTATTATATGCTTGAAAGTATGTGGTAACCAAATGATGTCAGCCTTGGCTTGTTTAAATTAGTGTATCAGAATAGTTTTGCATTAATATAGCAACTAATAAGAGATTCTGTTGATTCGCCTTATGTGTTATATAATGTCTTAGCTATCTGCACTTGTCTATCTCGGTGACTTTCAATGATCTCAATGAACTCATTAGCGCTGTTCTCTAGTTTGTTCTTCATATTTGGCAAACAAACTCTGCGCTAATTAAATCAATGTCTGGATTAACAGGAAAAACCAAAAAGGCCATCGCCCAGAGCTGGTAATACTTGTTTTTTTTTTTTGTAGCTAATAAACAACGTCAATGCGAAGCGAAGCTATGCTAAACTAATTCTTTTTGTGTTTGAGCTCATTTTATTTTAAGATTAATTTATATCCATTTCTTGTTTGGGCTCTTTTTTTTATATGTACATAAATGGAACTGAACACGGCTATCTTTTCAGGGATTTTACTTTTCGCAATGTGTACCTTTATTAAATTTCACAATTTCGATAAAACGGTCAAATTTATGGGTTGCAGCTGAGCAATTTTATTACAATGCAGTTGTTGTGTTGTGCTGTGTTGTGTTGTCATCGATTAAGGTCAGACACAGCCCAAAGCAGTTGCACTTTATGATAAAACATATATATATATATCTATAAATACATATGTATATTTCTTGTAGTTATTGCTGTTGTTGCTTTTGGCTTTTGCACACAGTTTTGTTTCAGCACCAGTTACCAGATACCAATTGACCTTGAGGTGTAAGTCCAAAAGATACTAATAAAAAAAAAATTTAAAAGGAAAAAAGTTTCGATGACGCTAAAAGGGCAACCAAATTGAGAGCAAAATAGAGAGCGAGAGAGGGGAGAGAGAGAGAGAGTGAGCGAAAGATTGAAAGCGAAACCAGTTTGCCTCCGTAACGGGCCTTAATACTTTGGGATGCTACGGATTGCTCATTATTGTGCATGCTGATGATCATTATGATTGTGTAGCTTGCCATGTAAACAAAGTGTGCGTGCGAACGACTCGATTAATATAGATGGCACGGCAACTGTTCGCCTCTGTAAGACCGCCCAGCTGTCTTCTCTCTATATACCCATATGTCTGTCTAGATATCTGACAACTTATGCAAAGCTATGCAAGATTCATGGCGCATTGTAATGGTTTTTGAGACTGAGACAAGGCTGGCAGAACTTTTGGGTCAGCCACGGCGACAGCAGCACATTCATTTAATGTCTTACCTGTAAAGACGAGTTGACTTGAATGATATACGAGCAGCAGAACTTGTTGAATGTTGCACACACCGTTGCGTACAAAATGAAAATGTACAAAATGAACTTTTAAATGCTGCATATTCGCACCTCATATAAAACTCATACGCCGCAACTGGCAACTAAATTGTCTCTTAAATTGATTTTACTTGAAATGCGATTTGACTGCTTGCGTCATGCATGAATTACACGTTAGTCAACTGAAATGTGGGGCATGCCACGCCAGCGGGCTGCCTGTCTGGCATGCCGAGGGGTGCGGTAGCCGCCAAAGAGCTTCAATAACTAATTAAGTATAACAAATGATTTTATGCTTTACTTTTTACCATTACAGCCAGCTGATTGGCTTAACACTTATATAATTTGCACATGTGGGTGGTAATAAATGGGCATGGTTAGCCAATTAATTAACTCAATTATAATGTCTGCGAGTATGAGAGTTAGTTAATTGCGGTTTACCTTAATACCCCGCGGCGTTCATTTATTTTGAATGAATGCAAATTATTTATAATGCAATTTTTCAATTTAAAGTGAATTTCAGTGTACCTGTTACCATAAAACCAACAACCAACAAGTTCAGAAGCATTTCCTTTGACATTTTCTACAAGAGTTAAAGCCCTTTTTCATTTCTGCTCAAAATAACCAGGTGGTTAGGAAAAAGTTTTGAAAAGGGTTTAGCTTTTTCGTTATATCAATCAATAATATCGAATGTCAAGTCGTGTGATCAGCATAGAAAACAACTTTCGCAGCAATCAACGAAATAGTTCTGCAACTTTTACTAAATATATTTATAAGGTGTGTCCTGATCTGAATATGGTCTGCAAAGTAAAAATCTGTACGCAGAGCATTTTCCTTTTTTTGAATTTACACTTTGCCAAAATCGATGAAAAGTTTTTTGTGTTTGCTGCTGCAAACTTTTTGGACCTGAATATTAATAACAGAAAGTACTAAAAAGGTCAATGTTAAAAATGATTCATACGGGCAACATCGAAAAAAAAAATGTATAGACAAAAATAAAAGAAATACCCGTTAAAGTTGCTGTTTGATATGTGGATGACACTGCGACCTCCACTGTCAGCAGCTGAAATAAATAAATAAAAATCCAACATCTCTTGAAATATGATTTGCTGTTGTGGCGGTTGCTGCTTCATTTTGACTGCAAATATTGATTTGTGGATATTTTGGAGCAGGCAAACAGGTAACAGACACCAGCAAGACCACCAGCTCATAAATGGCTATGAATTTATTATTGCAACTATTTAGCAACAATAGGAATCTGTTATACTCATAGGGTATGGCATAGCGCAGTTTTCAGCCTCGTTAAGATGGCCATTAAAGCCATTTGCATTAATGAGATTCGATTCCACAGAGTCTATGATGGTCGTATGGCTACTGAGCAAAATTCCCAACGAGTGGATCAAGTTCAGCCTCCTTTTGAGTTTTGATTCATTTGGCTTCGTTTGGTTTTCATTTCGCCTATCCAAGCAATTTATCAATCGTTTCGATATGGGTGTATACAATTATTATTTAAAATGATTGACCTTATCACATTTCAAATGTTATTGGCATTAATTTATTGCAAGAGGCCGTACGACCGCCAGTTAAGGATAATTTGTATCCACAATTTATAAATAAACTGTGTTAGTTGCATTTTATTGTGGTGCATTTGGCTATGCTCAAACAATAAATACATTTTTCTGATTTATGTCTTTATTTTTGTTAACCTTAACACACCGAAACACACCCAATCAAGTCCCGCTTAGAAAAGTCAATTTATTTTGAACGAAATGAAAGATACAAATCACAGTACAATAAACCAGTGTAAAAAACTCCACAATTTACTGAATAAATTGATCATAAAAAATTGTAAAAACCAATTAATTATTTGGCTGAATGTGAAGGTTAAAAGTTTTAAACATTTTTCTTTTAGTTTCCTTGAAGAATTTTCGACAAAGAGATATATTTGAGAATTATTGCTTTATGAATTCTACTATATTAGTAGAAACATATATCTATTTCAAATTTGAATATCATGGAACTGGTTTCTTTATAAGGAAGTTTTTTGAGCATTCCCGGAACTTGAAATAAGTTATTTGCTACATATAAGTATGTGAACACATATTATGTTAATTTATAAAGAATATGTATGTTCTCAGAGTATATTCAATTTGGTTAAAAGTGAATAAGCACTGTCTGAACAAAATATAATAGTTTCAGTTTGCCCACTGATGCAATCTTGAAGTTAATAGAAATTCACAGTTTTTAAATGAACATTGATGGGGTTGTCATTCTGTATGTACATTAATATCTAAGCTAATTGACCATAGCTGTCAGCAGAGCCACTAAAAATCAACTGGTTTTCCAGCCGCTGACATTTGTGCTACATACATGCGTAACTGTTGTATGCATCACAGCAACTAAAAGATACAAATATATCTGCGTAGAGCAATTTGTTGCACGAAATTTGACATAGTAGGTGCAGCCAAGTGAGCCATAGATCGAGTTCGACACAAAGTTTGTCATCTGCTCAAGCTTGACAATAGAGCGAAACAAGAATTTGAGTGTGATTTAAATATTCATACCTATAAATGTATACATGGATAATGCCTTTGACATTTCGTTTGCTTGTATTTGTGGCATTTTTGGGCATTATTTCGTTGCTTTACTTTTTTGCAAACTAGACGTATCGAACCGGATCTAAAAGCATTGCTAATTTGCATACACAAACAACAACAACAATAAAAACCAGTGCCGCTCAGCTCACGGACTAACTGCCTTGAGTGTGGCATCTTTTTTTGAGTCATCTCACACAGGTCTATGTAAATGAAGTTGATACCCAAGAGGCAAATCTGATTGTTAAAAGCAAAAGTTGTGGGCATACCGTGAATGACATGTAATGACAATAAGGCGGTGACCATTTATCTTAACTGCTCCACTTGACAGCCGCCTATTTGGTCTTCGACATTATTTGAATTTTATAAGCTCTTATATAATACGATTATTTTTCTTTTTTCCATTTATTTGCAGGTCGTCGCTTGCATTTTATTGCAATGCGTTTACTCTGCTAAATTTGATTCAGAGAATCGACGTTTAATTCTCGATATCAATGATCAAAAGACAACGAACCAACAATATTATTCCTCAAACTTTGACACAAGTAAGTAATGACGTTTAACAATTTGTATCATACATTCGCTTAATCACATTCAAGAAAACCCGAAACTATATCCAAATTTTCTTTCCCACACATTGAAAATGTAATATATTAGATTGAAATTTGTATCATCGTATCGTTATCATAATGACTAAATCTATTTGCCAAAACCATTCATGCAGTTTGTTAGTTTTTTGTGTACTACATTGTTTCGCCCTGTAACTCGTTAATCGTATTTACCAAGTAGCTCAATTTGTATTTGTAATTTGTTTGTTTTTAAGTAGTTGACCAATTTACATATTATTTTGTTTTTTTTTTTTTGTATTGTTGAGTAGTTTTAAGTAATCGTTTTGGCCCCAAGCCCTATCTACCCCACAAAAACCAACTTCAGCAGTTTGATCAAAAACTTACACATTAATACCCCGATATCAAGAATCAAACGAAACAACAAAAAATCAACAACAACAACAACAAAATGCCACTATTCTTATAGTGGTTATTATTTATATACATATATATTTTTTACCCTTGTAGATCAGCTTTACTAAACTCACCGTAGAAACCGTAGTCTGCGTCGTAGCTAAAACTCAACTTGTATATATGCTCAAAAATCGACAACAAAATCGCTCTATCTTCTATCTATCTATCTATCTTTCTCTTACTCTACTTACGCTCTACTCTCTCTTACTCTCTCACACACACACACACTCCAGACCTCTATCTCTCTCTCTCTCTCCATCTATCTCTCCTCTCTCTTTCTTATGTATAAATATTTCCATATATTTTTATGTATTTATTTTGTTCTTAGTGGAAAAAGTTATACATAAAATACAAAAACAAAAGGCTTTGCATACTCATACTCTCCACACCATTAAAAAATCAACCCCAACCCGAGCCAACAAAAAACAAAAAAGCCAATTATAATAAAAACAAACAAGAAAAGACGAACCCACAAAAGCACACACAACAAAAACACCACAAAAGATATTTTCTCTATTTTCTTCAACTTCATATGTGAATGTACGGATTTGTAGGCTTACTTTCAATTTTTGCAGTGTTCAGCGCCCAAAGGCAGGCTATAAATTGATGTTAGGCAGTTAAAGAGCAGGTCGTAAACAGAAAACTTCTACAACAACTTCACAGCGCAATTTTCAGCTAAACTCAAAATCACTACAACAAAAACGTTATACTCTAAAAACATTATCTTTCAACAAAACCCCTTTTCCAACACAACAAAAACCAAAATCTAAACAAAAAACAACACACACAACTCAATCGCAAACACGTCGAAAACAATAACAACAAAATACCAAATTGAAACGCAATAGACGCCTATCGTTATGGCTATGATGTGGGGAAGACTGGAAACTTCCACCACGAGACTCGTGGCCCCGATGGCGTCACCTACGGTTGTTATGGTCTGATCGATCCCTATCATCTGCTCCGCGCAACACATTATGTGGCTGATGTGCATGGCTATCGCACCGTGGAGCCGGAGAAGCCAGTGGAGACCTTCCCACCCGGTCTGTACAATGAGACAAGGGGTGGACCATCCGAACCGGGCATTCTGCTGCAGTGGAACGAACTATATTTCCCCATTGGCTGCGGCAAGTTCGTGGGAGGTGCCGTCCATGATATACCCTATTTCGTAAAAGACGATGTAAGCAGACCGAGCAGCGCCAGATGATATGTGGCTACAACTTACTCATGGTGTGATCATATTTTTAGAATAAGGACAAGGGCGATGGCCTCGCACACTCCTCGATAAACATACCCTTGGTGAAGGGCGAGGCCCAGAAGAGTCTGCCCATTCACAAGCAGGGACCCAAGGGTCTATTCCACACGGATAGCGGACATACGTACGGAGGTCCTGGCGATCAGGCGCCATCCTTCCATTCAGTGAAAACTCTCAGACCCGGAGCGGCTGGCGGCAGTGAGATTTTGTCTGCCAAAATGGAATGTTTGGGGTGGATTCAAAAAGATTTGTGTTTCAGATGATGGAGGCTACACGCCAGATGATAGTCCCTATAAGCATGTTGTGGGCTCTCAGGGCGGTGTTGGAGGCAATGGAGGTTTTGGTCCAAATGGTGGACCCAACGGTGGTTTCGGCAATAATGGTGGATTTGGAGGAAATGGAGGATTTGGACCCAACGGACCGGCCGGTCCCAATGGCCCTGGTGGCCCTAACGGCCCTAACGGCCCTAACGGACCCAGCGGCCCATCTGGACCCGTGGGACCATTTGGACCAGCTGGACCACCTGGACCCCCAGGACCCCCTGGACCTAATGGACCTAACGGACCAGTCGGCGTGGGATCCGGAGCCTCAGGAAAACCGGTATATAGGGATGGTGATCGCACTGGCAGTGGTGCCGGTGGCGGTGCCCATCTGGGAAGCGGTGATGGCGGTCCTTATGGCCCGCAAAGCGGGGGCAATGGCGCCTTCACTGGTCTCTCAAATACCGGTTTTCCTGGGGCCGTGGAATACACTCCAGGTTAGATAAATTGAGATTTGCAATTGCGTCGCACACAAAGATCAAAATTTGAACGAGCCGCAGAGCGGGGCGCAGATCTATTTGCGGAACTCATCAAGTTTTCAGTTACTCTTTTGTACAAAATTCCACCCATTCGCCAAAGACGGTTTGTTCAAATTTTCGTCTGCTTTGCTGGCCTAGATTTTAAGTTCTATTTAAATAACATATACTTTTATGTCTATATTACGCTAATATACATTGATCTGTTATCTATTTTAAGCAGTCTTGTTTATTTTCAGCCAAATTTTAAATCGATGTATAATTTTTATAATTTCGCTGTTATATTCCTATTGCTAACGCAATTCTCAAAATATTCAGGCACACACACTACTGTAGGGCAACTTTAGGGCACCCCCTAGTTATCTTTATCGTTATTAGAGCACTTTTGTTAAGAGCGCACAATCAAGCAATAAATCTCTCTCTCTATCTCTCTCTCTCTCTCTCTCTCTTTCTATCTATCCATCTCTGTTTATTTCTATATCTATGTCTATACACTGTTACCATTTACTCCACACTCCATGATTTTTCAAATATGAGAACTATTTTCATAAAAATCAAAAACAAAAAAAAAAAAAAACCAATTATATATATTTTTATATCTGCATTTGTCATTGTTCTCTGTTTCGTTTCTTAGCTCATCATTTTGGCTAAGAAATCTTAAGCATTTCACTGTTATTTCTCACTCATGCTTTCATGCACGAGATCTACACAAAAAAGACACACATACACACACACGCACACCCACGCACACAAACGCAAAATACACAAATCGCCCACCTTTTCTTGGAAGCCTCGGCACATTTGTTAAATGTTTATTTACACTGCACATTAGTCACGCCCACATACCAAATGCTTAAGCAATTTTACTAACGGTTCATGAATAACAACTAATAAAGGTTTGGTTTTGTTTTGTAACGTTGGTTTTAGTTTTGTAACCTTGTATAAGTCCCTAACAAATATTATTAATTACCTAACGCATGCTTTTTAGTTATTACTGGTGCTGGTACCTGACCACTCCCCGTAGCTGTAAGTATTTTAGGTCTATCTAAATGTTCCTTTGTAGTACCTAAACGTGTATCTACCAGTATGCAGTACTTTTTGTGTACTGTATTTTGTAGTTAGTCTCTAGCTAATTTACACTAGTAGTATGTAGTTTTTGTATCGAAAATGCATCCTATATCTTTATACTTGCAAGTTTATTAATCGAATATTTTGCATCATATTACTTTCTATTCCCCATAGGATCCGGTAAATATAGTAATCCTAACGACGGGCGTTATTACGGTAAGTTACAACAAGAAATATGAAATCGTTCAAACTGAAGCTAATTTTGTATGCATTATCGAAAACTAGGTGTTAACGATGGTAAATATTATCATGATGATTCTGGGAAATATGTGCACGTTGAAGGCCCAACTGGACCTCCAGCTCCACCATATGTGCATGTAGTTGGACCTAATGGCGGATTTGGCGGCGATGGCGATGGCGGCGGTACCGGAGGATTTGGTCCTAACGGACCCGGCGGACCAAAAGGACCTGGCGGACCACGCGGACCAGGCGGTTAGTGGAAGGTTTTTTTAATAGTGCTGAAGTGGACAATCCATTATATTTTTTATATGGAGACTACAAAATGTATGCAAAACTATTTCTTAAAAACTTGTGAATTTTTATATTTTAGGACCTAAGGGACCCTTTGGCCCACCGGGGCCTCCCGGACCACCAGGTATGATAAAATAAGGATATGATAAGATAGCTAGCGATGGTTGTACGCAAGTGTTAATAATGGGTTATTAATGGGTTATTGTACAAATTAAATGCGATTTCTTGCAATTTAGGACCACCTGGACCTAATGGACCCACTGGTCCAGGACCAAAAGGACCCCCTGGTAAGCCTTTCGCTAATAATTGGGTGCATAGTAGTTCTTAAACAAAATTCTTGAAGGCCCACCCGGACCACCTGGACCACACGCACATGGCGGACACGCAGAGCTTGGCCCACTAGGCCCACCCGGACCAACTCGTCCAGGACCACCTGGACCACCCGGACCACCCGGACCAACTCGTCCGGGACCACCTGGACCACCCGGACCAACTCGTCCAGGACCACCAGGACCACCCGGACCAACTCGTCCAGGACCACCCGGACCAACTCGTCCAGGACCACCACCACCAGGACCAAGTAAATGACAATTGTCTAGATCTGTAGATGCTTAAAGTAACTTGTTTTATTGATTCATTGAAAAAGGACCAGACGATCCCAGGCATTCGGACAAGGATACACCTGGCTACTTGCCACCAGTTCATTTGGGTAAAATCGAACAACCATCGCTATCGAAAGTTATTCAACCGACCCAAAAGCCGCAAACTTTCAAGCCAAATTACGATCATAATGATAATTTTGTGCATAAGAAAGTGCCGCCATCAACAAAAGCACCACTAACCTATATTCCACCTTCTTTCCCAAATACCGTTCCTATCCATGTTCCTGCGAATCCCACACCACGACCGCCAACCCAAACTAAAACCACGACGATAATACAGCCCCAGCCCAAGGTCCCGGCTATCACTATTAAAACGGATAGACCAGGCATTACAAACACTGGTAATTTTAATATCCATAAGACTGTACCGATTGTACCGGCACCCATACCCACACACGCATCCGTACCCGTACACGTACCAGTACCAGCACCCGCACCCACACCCATCCCATATAAACCGATACAGCCAGTACAGCCACACTTTGTCAACCCATACAGTCCAAAGCCAACGGCATCGATACCAATCGAACCCGTACGAAACACGATCAATATACCGACCTATAAGCCATCGACACCGCGGGCATTTGAGCCAGCGCCGACATACAAACCGACAACCAGACCAGTCATTTACACTGAACCGAGACCGACGAGCACTGTTTATGTTGAGCCCAACAAGAAAGTAACTCCACGTCCCTCTCCCCCATTGCATGTGCCGTCGCAACCGCCAAGCAGCGAAACCTGCGTTTGTAATGCCGATAAGACGCATTCATCAAAATCAACCTACTCCTCCTCCTCCACCTACCCTAACTCGAATCCGGCCTCGGTCGACTTTAACAAACAATTCTCCGGTTTTAATGGCAATTTCGGCAGCATAATGAACACCATGTCACTAACACAACTGCCTGTCGTGCCGCAGGCACCAGGCCATCCAGCCTTCTATCCACCCGACAAGATACCCAAAGGTGCTATGATTGCATTCATGCCGGTGGTAATACTGCCACAAGAGTACTACGCCAACTGCGATGATAATAACCTGCACACGGCCAACAAATATCAAAAAATCGATCCTTTCCCACTGGGCGTACAGCCAGCAGCGATACCAAATAGCTTCAGTGTACACTCGATATTCTCGGGCGCCGGACCGAAGGATCAATGTATGTGCCCCTGTTCCTGTACCCAGAATCTGGATAAATACCATAAGAAGCGCGAGACTAATGCTGAGGATGCTGTCGCGGTGAAAGCATCTGTTGAGACACCTGCTGCTAAGCCTGATACTCCTGCTGAGGTGAAGGCTGCGGCACCTGTTGCTGAGGCTGCCACACCCACAGAAGTCAAGGTTGAGGCACCAGTAGCTGAGGCTGCCAAGCCCGTAGAAGTCAAGGTTGAGACTCCAGTAGCTGAACCAGCCACACCCACAGAAGTCAAGGTTGAGGCACCCGTAGCTAAAGTTGAGGAAGTCAAAGTCAAGACCGAAGTCAAGACAGACGAGCCACTTGTGAAGGCCGCTTCCGAGGAGAGCAAAGCGACAGCTACTGTCACCGACGATAAGCCAAAGGTCGAGACTGTAGCCGCGCCGACAGCGAACTAGAGACACAACAAATTGACGTCTGGACATCACTGAGTCTACCCCTCCCAAATCCCAGCTCAAGCTTACAGTCCCGCTCCCAGCACCTCCAACAAACCCTGCACTTTGATTCCCTTAATCCGCAGCACCTCAACTAACCCAATTTACCAGCCCAAACAGCTTAGTCTAAGTGTTTTTATTAACGAGATTACTCTCAGCCAGGAAAGGATAACAACAAGAAAATATTAGCAAAAAAAAATAAAAATAAAAAAAATAAAACACAATTAAGATAGATAAAAGAGAGATGTAAATAAGTGCCCATTGAATGTGTTCGTTTATTTTTTGAAAAAAAATATTATCACTTTATTTGTGTTCGCGTAATACTCAAAAATGCACTCCAAACTTCCTGTCAACTATGACGCTATTTCTGTATCCAAAATACTATTGATAAATCTTTCACTTCTTTCACGTTTTTCGTAAGCATTTTGATATATGGCAGTGTGAGACACTGGCTAAGCACAATAAGATAGATAGAAGAAAAACTATGAAAAACGATGGAAAAAAAAAATTGTTTGTGACATGTTGTTTATTATGCATTTTTGTATTTCTATGTATTAATTTGTATTTTGTTCACTTCCATTAGATTTTAGTTGATAGTTTATTTAATCTCTATTCTGATAACGCTTGAAACGGAAAAATGAATTGTTATATTTGAAGAGAAATTATGGAATTAAATAAAATGTAAGAAAAATCATATATCCAAAGTTGTTTTCTATTGCTCAATAGAATCTAAAAAATATAAATACTTATTTTTTAGCTGCGCCGAAAAGTATGCAATACATCCAAAAGACCCTTCAGCCAGACATCATTATGTAATGTTCGAGCAACAATTGCTGGGAATAAGACCACCCTCTTTTTGTAAACAAATCTTTACAAATTCACTCGCACAACAATTTCGGAGATTCGAATCTTTACACAAAATTCAAAGAAATTATGTTAATAATAAGAATTTTTGGGTTTCATCATAGAACTGCTATAACCCATCAGACACTCAGAGAAAAGGTGGTTATTATTACGGGTAAGGCTTGGTGCACCTTTTATGAGAAGATTTTATGTGAAGATTATATTACGGTTGCGTTTAGGTTATAATTGAGGTTGATAATTATTTTTTCTCGAGTGTGTTTCTTTATAAATAAGCCTCAGCCAGCTTTCTATATTGTTGATTTTACATGTACCCTTTTTGTGTAATACTTTTACAGCCATGAAATAACATCAACACTAAGAACAAACAAATATCTCGTCGAGATTTGTTATTTTTTGCACATCTGCCAATTAAAGAATTGTTGGCATGACCATGGAGTTATACAAAGTAATTGCAATGGATATTTACATTTTAAGCCGGAGATTGGAATATACAGTATAAATATAAAATTTCGTTTATCTTCTATTTCTAGACTTGAGGTAATAGCTATTCCATAATATAGGCGTGTGTTTAACATCTTTAAGAGCAGCAATTCGCTTACCTTGAGTTACGTGCTACGTAACCCAGTTTTTGTTTAGTTTACGACTGTGACAAGTCAATATTGAACAGTTGTAATTCCCGCATCGCACAAGCCCAAAAATGTTTCATACGTTTTTAGCGAGTGCTAAAATAAAGATATGCGTGGAGGCTATGTATATTCCTAGATATAAGGCAAGGTCGGCATAATCTTGTGCCAGCTTATGGTCATATGAAGAGTTGAGTTTCATCGGAAATGAGAGTGGATCCCTAATTTGAGGAAAACAACGAAGTCTGCAGTCTGTCGATTATATCCTGCGTACTTGTATCCAAATTGAGCAATTAGCAGACACACCTCCAAAGTTTCATGAAGGAATTTTGAGTGCGTTTTGTGTATAACGAAGTTTTTGTATGACAGGCAATTATCTTTCTGGCCGGGTTTTTTTTTGCAAGAGCAGCAACAAAAGCCGTTAGTAGTGGGCCAGCTAAAAGAGAAGAAGAAGAAGAGTATGCCAGAATAGCTGGTCAATATTAGTACAAGTCGCTCAACGATTGGGCCCCTGCCACAGATTTTGCGTGAATTGTATGTGTGTGGATAATTGGAATTAAAGATATAGTATGCAAACAATATGGGTACTTGCATTTGGTCTGAAGTTCTCATAAAAAAAAACCGCCGACTCGTCGGCCCACATGAAAGAAAGCGATCTCTGTGAACAAAGTTAAACAAACCCGATTTCGAGCGTTTCGAGTTTTGTGTTTGTGTTTGTTAAAGTTTAAGGCGCAAATATCTAAAATTAAACTCACGCACTGCCAACAAACAGCAAGCGACAAGAGACAGCTAAAATGAGGCATTTATTTTGTCACCTGCCCCATACAAATATGCATAATAATACATAATCATCCACAGGCAACAAAAGGTCACAAGTGCCGCTTAATTTGAGGTTAAACATATGTATAATGCTCAAGAATAGTTTGGAAAACGTAACTAGATGTTTGAGAGTTATGCGCAATTGTTAACTAAATTCATGGTAGAATAAATTCAGTTACAAGAAGCACATTTAAGAATTTTGTAAATATTTTATACCCGAACAGTAATAACAATCAATTTACGAATAAATATCGACAGCCTGTTGCTTAAGATATATTTTTAATAGTGGATTCTTTGAAGTCATCGTTCAAAAGGCAACTGCCAGCCCTGATAACGTAAAAGCATTTCAATTTTGGTTTATGGCGCCGTGCTTGTGACTTACGTGTCGTATGAGCAATAAAATAAACGTATCCGCACATTTTAACTGGTGTCTGTGAAATGCGACTTGAAGCTGGCCCAAGCTTTATTATTGTTTTGGCTTGTTTGCTTCGACGACGTTGACGTCTACGCTGACGTTGAGCGGCACAGTAACTCAGCCGGAAAATGAAAAATATAAATTGGCCCCACAACTGGGAAACAGAATTATTTAACGTACAAGCGTCGTGTCAAGCAGTTGTCTCTTCTCACCGTTCATTCTATCTTCTTTTTTTGCGTCTGCCAGTCAAGTAAATTTGTGTTTCTTTTTCTTTGCAATTTATACACTTTGGACAAGAATAACAATGAACGCCAAGTGCTTGTCACTTTTGGTAAGTATTCACAGAACAGCAAGTCAACAAATAAATTTGAAGCTGGCTAAAATTAAACGTGTGTTCCTTAAATCCGTTCGCAGCTGCTCATTTGTGGTGCCGTCTATGGTAGAGCAGAGTCTGCCGCACAGGATGCCAAGGCGAATGATTTGGCCACAGCTGAGACCTCAGCGAAATGTAAGCAGTTTTTATATTTTGAATATTGTTAATCGAACTAAATCAGTTTTTGTCCAACAAAGTGTTGAATTGGAGCGGTTTATTTGGACAGGGCTCGGGTTATCCGAACTATAATAATCCCAACTACAACACTGGCTACTACAATAGACCCAACACTGGATATTATCCCAGCACTGGCTACTATCCAGGCAATACCTACTACGGCGGCAGTGGCTACTATGGCAACACGGGCAGTGGTTACTATCCGAGCACAGGAGGTGGTTACTATCCCAACACCGGTTCGAGCACAGGAGGTGGTTACTATCCCAACGCCGGTTATTATCCGACCACCAATATTCTGGGCAGTGGTGGATATGGCGGATATGGCGGATATGGAGGTAATGGCGGCTTGAGACAATATTCAGGTTATTGGCAGCCAGAGTATAGTGGTCAAAGATATCGCGGTTATGGTTATTATCAGCATACCGATCGCTATGGCCTGCCTTCGGTGAGGGATCGTGATTACTATCGCGATCGGAGCAGCAACAACTATGGCGGCTATCGTGGCTATGACTAATTCTTTTGTTCTGTTTATTGTTGTTTGCTGTTTGCTGTTTGCTGTTATTGCTCTGCTTTTTGTATATAACGTCTGGCTTATGCTAATCACATAGCAATAAAACTTTAATGTCTACTAATTTAATTTAAACAGCATTTTAATAATCAATCAATTTGCCATCTGTCTGTGTGACAAAGTCTCATTTCAGTTATATCAAGCACAAAATTATGAAATAATATTGTAATCGCTGGTTGGATGGGGTTACGCCCAATTGCACGATGAAATTATTTATTCTGGGTGTCATATGCGAAGGCACCTTGCTAATGCCAGCTTACGTCTATTTAATTATGTGTGCTTGCTTGTGGGCAACAAGGCTTAATGGGCGGTAATTGTTCTTGTCTTAATCATCTTGTCTCGTCATGTAATTTGCATGACAAGTACATTTTCAGCTGCTGCCTAAATGTATGTGACGTTATTTATGCTTTGACTTTATCGCGTTGCCAACCTTTTCGTTTTTAACAGCATCTGCATCTGATTCTCTATCTCTCTCTCTCTCTGTCTCTTCCACTTCGTTTCTTTCACAGGCGGCTATGTGCGCAATACATACGGCTAAGGTGGCGAAACAGAGACAGAACGACGCCCACAAAGAACTTGCGCAACTGCTATGCAACAGCGGGCAGCGGCAGCAACAAAGTAACAACAGTAACAATAACATCAATTTCCCGCACAAATATTTTTACATGCACATTGCAGCTACAAGTGTTGCCCGCATTGTCAACTTTCAACTTTACTTGCAGCTTCGCAAGCAAAATGTAAAAAGCAAAATAAAAGCAAGACGTTGACGAAAAAGCATAAGAGGCAAAGACAGATACAGTTATAAAGCATTCATTGCTGCCAACGCATTTCAAGGCCAACATTTGTATTTACTTTTTTTTGTGCTTGAGTCTCTTAGCTTGAAATTAAAGTCATGTTTATCTTTCAATCATTCTTTTGTCTCGCATCATGCTGGGGCAATAAAGGGTCAAAGCTGCTGTTATGTATCGTATATATATATGTATATATATATATATATAAGTATATGTATATGTGTGTCTGTAAGCGTAAATAGTGTACACACAATGCAGCGAAGCGTGTGTTGTCTCGCCGTAATTCCGCTTTCGGCATTTCAGTGGGTTAGTTGCCCCAAACAACGGGTGTTGACAGTGTTAAGTCTTTTGTGATAAGCTAAAAACCATTTGCGCTTGTCATGCGCTCAAGAAAATAAAGTAAACTGTATCTGTCTACGTTTCTTTAAATATACTCGTACATTTATGTACATCAAAAGTCTTTGAAATTTTATACCCAATCGATTTGAAGCTGCGAAAATCAATGTATTATGTTGTTAATCATACTAAAATAAACCCAATATTTGTATTTTACTACTTATGGATAATTGTTGAATTTATATACTCAATTTGTCTACCCTTACCCGTTGATAAATTCAAAAATTCGCCAATGCCAACAAAATGAAAGCATTCACTAAAATTTTTCCATCAGAGCGTTAAGATAAAACACATGTGTGCAAATATTTTATAAATGTACGTATGTTTATTCTGCATCAAGCTAAAATGTTGTTAAATTTCGGAAACTGTATAATTAATGGAAAAATTGTGGCATCTTTAAATTAAAAGTTCGTATCATATGACGGCAATTAAAAAACGTAATTTTGGCCCCGACAAAATATTCCACAGCTCTATGGTCGGTTCTTTAATCTATTAATGCGCACATTCATTCAGTCAGCCAGCCAGCCAGTCTTCAACTGGTTTCATTCCAATGAATGCGTTGCTTCCTTGCGCGTTGCCCATAAAAAAATGTAATGTGTACAGACACAACACAAACCGAATGCTGTGCGGAATTTTATTTATCGCTAGATTGCTTAAAACTGACACACACACATACAGAGAGACTCCCCACACATTTATGTGGCTATAAAAAAGACACCGAAATCGGAAAAATGTTTCTGGTGCACTAAAATTATGATCAAATGGCAACTTAGCATAAATATTTCGCATGCGCAATGTTGTCGGCGAAATATGTTTGCTTTTTGGCAATGCTTGTTGTTGTTTAGAGGAAATGTTTTCGGCTGGCATTGCGAGCACATTGAACGCAAATAATAATAAAAATAATTAAAACATTGACAGTACGTAGAACGCGTGCTCGATGCGGCGAGCACAATAAATAAAATGATAAAGAAATGGAATTATTTATTTGGCGAGCGGCTTTAATACTGTCACGCGTTCAAATCTAATGTTAACAACATTTTAATTAACGCCACCAACAGCAACAATAAGAACAATACCGACGCCAACCAAATTAATGCATATTTTAATTTGTTATTGGATTAATGGCCAACGAGTTGTTGTCTTACCGGCAAGAAGTGTAAATATTTTCCTGGCATATATTTTTACGGTCGCCATCATAAATGTAAGCCAAATACTCGAAAATGCAATACTAATAATGCAATTCCAATTACGAGTTCAAGTACTCCCATGCCAGTTAATGTTGTGGGTGCGGCATAATTGATAACTAAGCCAGTCAGCTAAGTTAAGCTCAGGGTCAAAGTTCGGATGTGTTGGGCCCTTAAACTTGTTGAACCAAATGATGACAGCACTTACTTACCTAAATGTTAGCCGTTGAGCTTAGTCTGAGCCAACAAACATTGATTATTCAAGGCAAAGAGTTTGACTTCCAGCTAAATAGCCCCAAACTTTTCGAGACATTTCATTAGTTAGCTGCATCCGCAGGGAACGCTTCAGCAATTTGGCAACAGCAAAAGTTTTTGCACAATATTATTGCGGTCTCGATTTAAATTGAGTTGGCATATAAAGAGAGGGTTAAGAACCAAGCAGAAAGATTTATTTAGTATGCAGATTATTAAGATATTTACAATTGTGACTGTTATGCTTTAGCTAACCCACATCAAACTACATTTTATGTTTTCCAATGCAAATATTTTATCTGTCAGGCAATAAACAGCATCCCAAACTCGGCTAAAAATATGAAATTTACACTTGTAGACTGTTGGCAGCTGTCGGCGAAAACAAAAGTTTAATAATTAAGCTGTCACATAAATCGGCTGTAGCAATTTATCTGAAAGGTGAATAATTATGATGATTTCCAAATTCCTGGTCTAAGCGTAATACTTCAGGGAGGTGTTTTTCTTGATCCGTTTTGATTGTATTTAAGTATTAGCAAATTTGCTACAATTTCTTCTAAGATCCGTCCCCTCTAATGTAGAGCAAAAGTAAATACATTCTGATGTCTGATGCCAGACACACTTGAGCACCTTTCAAGGCGATTCAAATGTTAAAAATCCGAAATGATTTAATTAAATTTGACGCACGATTAAAAAAAAAACGTAATGTCATTTATTTTTTTTTTAATTAACTCAACTCGCTTTTGTTTTTATGTACATACACTGTAGTATTTTTATAGAAGCGAACAAATGGCATGCGTACCTAATTAGCACCTCGGCGAGTTGAATGGCGTGAGTGAATTTGATTTAGTAAAAAGTGCCACGTGCCCACATTTTGGTAGTGCAAGTCTGATGAGTTCAGTACAGGGACAAACTAGCTAAAGTTGAATTGATATCAATCGCAGAAAACACATGCAAATTGTCAGCTTATCATCGTGGGCTATCAATCAATTTCCCTAAGTAAAAACATTTTGCCCTGACAACAAACCAAACGAATCGAATTCTCATCCGGGGCAAATGTGCGTTATCAAAAGCACGTGCCAGACTGTCAGAATAACGCTGCAGACAACTATAAATGATTAAAATCATTATCACATCGCACTTTGTTTCGATTTCAGGCATTTATTGAACAGCAGGAGGTAAACATCGAAATCCGGCTGCCGGCTGCCAAAGGCCTCCAAATTATTGTGCATAAATCAAGTCGGAAAGCTCGTTAACATTTTGCCATCTGCACTCAAGCGGAATTTATGGATAATTGAATGTAATTTTATGCGTTTTAATGAAGACCAATTTCTGTGAGTCTATAGATGCGTTAATAATTCAAATACTTCAAGGGATGATTGAATTAAAAAAAAGAACACTTCAGAAACCAAAACAATCGATAACTCAGAGACCATTAAAGTGCAGGTGAAAAACCTGCAGCAGAAATTGAAATACACTTACAGATACATTATCAATTAAATAGCTGCTTCAATCTATACTTATTTAAATATATATATATATATATATACGACCACATATTAAAAATTTGTGAGCTTACCTAATTTCACATATTGAAGCCTATTGCAAGCGTGGCAAGCATTAATGACTGCAAATTTAAAAATATCGCATACTCCTAAAAAAAGATATAAATTTGATTTGCGCATTTAGCATTTAAAAGAAACTGGTATCTGCTTTAAGAAGACTTTAAAACTCAGACAAAACAACTCAGACAAAACATATTTATGTGTGTTTTGGTGTGAAAATCGTATATAAAATAATTTGACAACTCTACGCCTCAGCAACTTGAGTTTCATAGCCAGGCACAAATTTACTTTAATTAGTTTGTATTTAATTCAATTGACAAGTAAGTAATGAATGCCTTATGGCGTCTGTTCACCTGCTTTATACTCCAGATCCTCAACACGTGCGTCTTTGTAACATGCATGGGTATTTGTGAAACTATTTAGAGTATTCAAATTAAATTGGGCGTGGCGCTATTAATATTGCGAAAATGCTCTTAATAAAAGTGTTCTTTAAGTTAGCAGCCGATCACAACTCAATTCGAAATGTATGCAATCAATTTGTCTGCACCACAACATTGAACTCGTATAAAATGTCATCAATACAAATTATATCAAGCATGAAAGTGGCTTGAACAATTGAATCTTATTGATTGCCAAATTAATATACAGACAATTATATTATATAAAGCAGTATAGTGGCAATTGAATCTTATTGATTGACTGTATACAAATTAATAAACATTCGATTGTTATATACCCAGTAAAATGAAAATTTGTTTTGTAGTTTTCATACAAAATAATTTAAAACATAACTTTCCTTTACTCCTAGATTCGGTATATTCTAGTCCATAATTTTAAACAATCTTGTTGTATTGTTAACCAGTGTGCTGACCCATTTTTATCAGTAATTAAACATATAGATGTAGTTGACACATTTAATTACCTAACATAAAGATACTGATGTTTGTTTTTGCACAGATAACATCGAAATCTTGGCCGATTGACTTGACACAACATTCTAATTAAATTAAGAAACAATAAACTACACATAGAACAAAATCGTTGTTATATCTTTAAAATAATTTATCGCTATGTTGTTTTTATCTCAAACTAAACCCCAATCGTCTGAAAATTGCTGTGCAACGCCGTAGATGATAAACAAAATATTTGTTTGGTATCAGTATTATTATTTTTTGGGGGGGCAATCAAAGCCAACACAACAAGTATATAAAAGTGGGAAGGTGCTCTGGGTGCCTAGTAAATAAATACGATGTTAGCACGACACTGGACTGATATAAAGCAGAGACACGCCCATCTTCTTAGATTTGGGGGTGTTGTTGTTGTTGTTGTTGTTTGTCGCAAATGTGATTTTTATAGGAGTTCATTGCGAAAATTGATTGAGATATGAAGCTGCACCTGTATTTTCGCTTTCGGTTTTGCAGGTACCACGTGACGTATACGTATTCTTGTACGATAACTTGCTCAGCTTACTGTCTTTGTGTGCGCACGCCTGCCTTTGTTTATGCCTGCGACAGTGTGTGCGTGTGCCTGTGTGTGTGTGTGAGTGTGTGTGTGTGTGATTGCGAGGAATCAATAGAGAAGCGTATACGCTTTGCCGGTCCCAAAAAAAAACGGATACGTAGCCCATCAGTTGCTTCTGAGAGCTTTCATTGTGCGGTTGCTCGGCATTCCGCTGTGATCGTTCGAGCCGACAGCTTCGTGTGTGTGATTCTATTTAAAATT